AACAGTCGATTATAGAGACTATACAGTATATACCGGTAAGTCTTATATGATTATACCCTTTAAGATAATTAATAAGTTATATATTAGGCACTGGCATCATCTCATATCTCAAGGTTCTCGAATGACGAATGGGAAAGAGAGCAGATTGAATGTCTTACCAGTCTGAACCTACCTTTCCGGGTACTTGAGAGGAAGCAGTTTGCTTCCTTGATTCGAATAGCGCAAAAGGCTCCAGTTGAACCTACTCTACTCCATCCTCGCACTGCTCAACGCCGGCTAAAGAAATTGGTCGAGGATGAGCAGCATACAATCCTCACTACCTTACCACAAGATACGAAGCTCTCAGTCGCCCTTGACTGCTGGACATCGCCTTTCCAGCAAGCATTCATGGCGATCACAGGGTACTTTATCGACCGAGACTGGAATTACCGTGAGATCCTACTTGGATTTGAACCACTTGATGGGGCGCATTCTGGTATAAATCTAAGTGGAATGCTTATGGATATCTTTAGGAAGCTTGATATTACTGATCGCGTGTTAGCGATTACATCAGATAACGCACCCAATAACACAACTCTAGTACAGGCAGTTCAAGACTCTATTGACTCCCTTGAACTACCGAATAACCCAGTGGTTGTTCGAATCCCTTGTCTTGCACATGTTATCCAACTAAGCCTTCGCGAGCTGCTTGGATCAGTGAAGGTCGACCCTCAGAACGATACCACAGATCGGAATGTTTCTGATGTCCAAGCCCAAGCCCAAGCTCGATCACTCCGTGCGTCCCAGAGTGAACAAGTCATTGTACAAACCCTTGTTAAGGTAAGTATATCGCTTTATTTCTTATTTAATATACCTAATAAATACATAGATTCGCGGGCTTGCTGTATTTATTAATGCAAGCCCCCAACGTCGTGATGATTTCTTCCGTCTCCAGACCAATGGAGCAAAACTTGCGCCTATCCAAGATGTCCGCACACGCTGGAATTCAACCTTCTTGATGCTTCGTCGTGCGAAACGCCTTAGCAAGCCATGTGATGAATACTGTGACAATATTGGGACTCAGAAATACAAACTTAGTAAGGCGGAATGGCGGCAGGTCGACTACCTTCTGTATATCACAGAGCCGTTCTACCGCTTTACTACAGTACTTTCAAAGACCAAGGAGATAACGGTACATCATGTTTTTGGTATTTATAATGCCCTCTTCGATCACTTCGAGGATTCCATCGCACGACTTACCCCGAAAACCATACCCTGGAAGAAAGCGATGCTACAAGCCCTCAATGCTGGGATGGCAAAGCTTACATCTTACTACGCGAAGACAAAAGAGATCCATGGTAATCTCTACGCAATTGGAACGATTCTTGCACCCCAGCATAAGCTTCACTTCTTCTCAAGTAAAGCATGGGGTACGTCGGAGAACGACACAAACTGGAGTGATCAGTATAAGGAAACGCTTCGCCAGTTCATGGCTCCTTACGCCCAAAGACACACCCAGGCACAGCCCCTACAAGGAGAGCAAACGCCTAAGCGTCACTCAGCCAGTACAAGTGACCTAGACGCTCTCCTCGACATTCGGCCTCACATTCATTCTGATCCGTCAACATCAGAGCACGAACTCGCTAGATACCTTGAAAAGCGTACGTTACATTCACTATTATTATAAGCGGGAATACTTACACCTATTATAGCAAGGAGAAAGGTCGATCCTTTAGAATTCTGGAAGGAACATGAGGATGAATTCCCGATTCTTTCAAGTGTTGCTCGCGATATTCTCTCAATTCCTGCAACAGGCGCTGGAGTTGAACGTCTGTTCAATTCAGCACGGGATGTCTGCCACTACCGACGTGGGCGGCTGAGTGCGAAGACAATCCAGGATATCATGATGTTCCGGTGTAAAACCCAATTTGACATTGAAATAGAAGAACTACCCGATGAGGATATGTCCTTGGATTCTATACAAGAAGCAGACGAGCAGAGAGAGGCCGAACTTACCACTGACATGCCTGAACCAATCAGCGATGGTGAGGATTCCGAGGATAATGATCCTGTCGGGCTGATCGAGTACGAGTTTATAATGGAGAGTCAGCTTCCTTGTCCATCTATTGTGCCAAGTACGCGGAAGCGACAGAGAAGTGAGCTTGTCGACAGCGAAGATGAGAGTAGTCCTCATCTCCCTCTTTATGGAGATGAGGTTGGCACTCAAAGGCGCCCTGGTTTGAGAGAAGTAAGGAAGCGTGGCAAGCCTAGTGATGATCAATTTGTGTCGTATTAGCATGAATGTATGGCTATAATGAATACAAGTCCCGAGGTTATTTTACAAAGGCTTCTAAAGCCCAATTTTCTGACCCCGGTCAAAAAACCAACAGTCGTGTTAAATCATTGTACAAAGGCTTCCAAAGCTAATTTCTGACCTCGGTCAGAAATTTGATAGTAGTATCAAATCATTGTATAAAGGCTTCCAAAGCGAATTTTCTGACCGAGGTCAGAAAAAATGTATATGTAATTAAGTTACTTAAAAATACAGAGAAAAAATGCACAAATAATGCAAGTCACGAGGTCAAGAAATTTTGCTTACTAAAAAGGCCCATGGGCGCCCATGACGCCCACGGCCCGTGGGCCCTAAGGGTAGGGCCCGTCCATGGGCCCTATGGATAGGCCCATGGACAGCTTACATAAGGCCCATGGGCTATGCCCACCCGCCCGTCCATGGGCGATGTCGCAGTCTAGTAATTGGTAATATAGGGGTCTAATCAATGGTATTCACGTCTCTATCTTTCTATATCCACTATTCTGGCAATTTATACTATCCTGCTTACATAAGAAATATTACTGCATCTTGGAGGATTAATAAATCCTCCGGTATTCCGGTATGCTGGTGCTCCATATACCAACAGACAATGTTTGCCTTAGTGCCTGAAGCGGAAGGTCATCTGACCGCCCAAGTCAGTAGACATCATTCCTCAATTTTCCTTCCCCCTCTTTCTTTTTGTGTAACTTCTCACCGCGCCAAGGCCAATTTAAGCCAGTGCCGCGATGGTCATCCTATCAGAACAACACAGACCTCAGAAAAGGAGAAGAGTTGTCATGTCCTGTATCGAATGCCATCGCCGCAAACAAAAAGTAAGGATCCCCACCAAAGAGCTAAACAAGGAGAATTCTAAAGTTGAATAGTGTAACCGCCAGTATCCATGTGACAACTGCATTAAGCGAGGGACGCAGGTATTTATACTTCGAGAAGCAATTTTGCTTTTGGTCTGATTGGCAGCCGCAGGATCTTTGCTATTACGAGACTGAATTGAAGGGCCGCCAAGCTACGAATAGCATTTCAGGTGCCAGTGGGCCGTCGGATATCAGCTGTAGCTCCGATGCGATGCATCTGCACTCACCTTATAGACTGGGCCCTGAGTTCCAGGACAAGATTCGAGACTTTGGATACTCCAATCACGGCAATCACAACTCCATGAGCTTATTACAGACTGCAGAGCTGTATGGATGTCAAGATACAAGTGTTGCTACCTCCTCTGCCACAAACCAGCCCTCTTTTGGAAGCGACTTAGACCGTAATTTCAAGAAATTGGTGCGCCAGTTGCCTTCCCAGGCCTGCATCGACATATTGGTCCAAACGTTTTTCTCTAATGTCAATTGGCAGTATGATTTGCTAGACGAGGAAGGCTTTGGCGAAGACCTCGACGCATGGAGAAAGCTCTCATATTCTGAACTTCAAGTGGGCTTAGAAAGATTCACGCCGCGGACCCTTGCGTTCCCTGCACTACTGTTTCAAGTCCTTGCGCATGCGCTTCTTTTTCACCCTCCTCATGACGAACTTGTCAGTTCTCTTATGAATATGGCTGGTATGACTTTCCATGATCTCGCGGCCGAACATAGTGATTCAGGTGTTGAATTACTCGCTCTTCTGGGGAAAAAGGATATCACAGTCTCCATGGTACAAGCAGGCTTGCTACGAGCCTCATTTTTGAAAAGTAGTGGCAAAGTTGTTGAAGCCTGGCATGTACTTGGGGCAACAATCCGCGATGCACAGGAAATTGGTCTGCATACTGGACGAGTTGTATCTGAACTATCTTCGATCAACCTCAAGCGTGAGAGAAGATATTCCAGATTCGTTGGTCACAAAATCTGGGTGGTCCTGCATATTTGGGACGTTCACATGGCTGTCGTTCTCGGCCGACCGATTGCCACTGATTTCCAAATAGACCGATTCGCTTGCGCTATAGAGGACGTTGAAATGCGGCGAGACTTGTTCTCGCATTGGCAAACCGAGACTGATCTCCCTCGACCATTTGACATTGTCCTCGCCGGCTATAATGTGGCTTATCGATATTTCAAGGACATTCACCAAATAGAACAAAACGGTGCTAAGTACCAAGACTACCACACGGTTGAACATATTCACGCCGCAATCAAGAGAAATTCCGAGCTTTTACCGTCTTGGTGCCGTCTGGTAAACCCAGATACGAAGTTTGATCGATTACGCGGGTGCGAATGGTTACCTGTTGCCCGAGAAGGACTGTCCTCGCTAATCTACTTGGTTGTTCTCGCACTTCATCGACCCTTCATATTCTCTGTCGCCAATAGTCGCACTGAAGCCCTCAAAGCTGGACTATGCATTCTTCGTGCACAGGAACGACTAGTTCAACAGTTAGAGCCGTACCAGTGCAAGGTTTTCAATCCGGTCTACGCTTCTTTCGATGCGATTGTCCTGATTGCAGCGCTCTGCCTCGTCTTTCCGACCGAGGATATCGAACTACGAGCAGAGTGTATATACGGTATTGAGAGAGGGATGCAACGGCTGGGAACTATTGGTCAATCCAATGCTATGGCAAAGTCCGCGCATGGCATTGTGTGTAGCTTATACCACCGCCTCGGTATCTCCGAAACTGCAGAAGACGCCAGAGAATGTTCCAGCGATTCACAATGGATCTCACCTAAGACCACAGGTTTTCATAATTCGACACAATCAGCACTTTCTTTTGATTCCGTGCTACCTCCACGTCCAACCCATGACCTATTCTATGACCACCTATCCATCTCGCAAACTCCGATGGCTGATACACCAAACAGTTTATCATTTGACCCTCTAACTGTTGACCTTACTAATGGATGGGATTTCACGGGAACTTTCTCAGATACCAGCTTCTGGAATTTAATAAATGAGTGAAGTCCATTTATTGACATGTAAATAGCACCTGTGTTGTTCTATTTGATGTCGGCAAACCACGCCGCAATATCCCCCACATTACGGTCGACAACATCTGGCTGGTCATAGTGTTGAAAGTGGGAGACGTCGTTGTTCCAGATCAACTTTTTCTCGGTGGTAGGAATAGACTCGTAGTGGCGCTTAGCAGCCGCCCCATTCATACAGTTGTCGCCATGGATCAGCAGCGCTGGCTTGTCCAGCTTCGCTATGCCCGGGACGGTGGTATAGCTAAAGTGGTCCAGGTCACTCATCACTGCGTATCGGTTTTCGAATCCCTTCAGTGTCCACGGCCCATACCAGGACCAAACGACTGGTCCAGGAAGGCCGGCCAATGCACCAGTATTAGGATCAGCAGCCTTCGGATCAACTAGAGGCTGGTACACTACTTCCCCGGTCTTGTCGTACAATTCACGTGCTTTTTTAGCTCGTTCGAGCCGCGCTTGATACAAAGCTTCTCCCTGTTCAGGGGTCGGCATTTTCATGCTCGAGATATCCGCGCCAGGTGTCCATGCAACACATCCAGCACAAATCATATAGATATCAGTCTCATGGTCTCGGAAGTATCCAGAGATTGAAGCCACTCCAGAAATTCGACTATCAGAGGAGGCTACATCCAGAGATTCGGGGCCACCCTGGCAGATTCCGACCAAGAAAATCCGGGATGCATCAACGTCGCCGCGTGCCGTAAGGTAGTCAACACCTGCGATCATATCCTCATTTTTCATTTTGGGATTCTCAAGACGTCGAGGTTCACCAGTGCTCTCACCAACGGTGCGGGGATCAAAGATCAAAGCTGCATAGCCTTCATCTGCAAGACGAGTTGCGTACTGAAGAGGAGCTTGTTCTTTGATGAATGAGTACGGGCCGGTGACGACAACACCTGGTGGGTTTTTGACATTGGTGGGACGGTAGAGGATTCCTGCGACGGTTTCACCGTGCGAGGGATATTGAACCTTTTCGGTGGTGTATTGTCCGTGAGAAGGCATTTTGAGTTTGATTCAAATAGGGAGTATGGTTCAAATGTGGAATATGGTGATAGATGAAGTTTATGAAACGATAGATCTCACCGGGTTTATATAACCCAAACTCATCGGCGTTACGCCATGGCCTTAAGGCTCTTCTGATGGTTTATGGTGGACCACATAGCAACTATGACGCATCAGATCAATGGGTGTAACATACCAAATCCCAATCATATTAGCGTTTCCTATCTCCTGGTTTCTCATTAGCTCAACTATCGCCGATAAATGTGGGTCACGTGGCTGCTAACGCCGATAGGCCAATCAAGGGTGACTGAAATTGGGTTCTGTGCAAAAGAGGACCCGTCGACTTTAACGCCGAAATCTTATCCCCAGATTTTGATGTATGGATCATAGATATTTGTTGAATGCTGCCGTGGAATTAGTCTGAGCATGCCCCTCTCGTACTGAATCACGCTGGCGGCTATCAATCGGAGAGACAAGTGGCAATCTGCAAGGGGTTCATGAGCACGCTAACTAGTGACAAACCAACACCCTACACCATCCTTTGGTTTTTATCTGATACCTTGGGATACAATGAGTGAGACCTTTTTGCCCCCATCACCTCATGAATACCTTGATTTGCTATTCATGAAAAACGCATCGGTTTGGTTCAATTCTGATTGGACCTTTGCTGACCAGCAGCAATCTTCTACCTTCCAATCCTCCAGTCGAACCGAAGCTACTCCCGACCGCGATGATTCTCAAATTTCCCACCAACACCAGGCAGCTGATGATAAAATCCCTATCACCCGAATCCCTCACCCAAGAATCTTTACCAGCAGTGGCCGAGTCGGTCGGGCATGTGGAAATTGCCGTGAGCAAAAAGCCAAATGCAGTGGGCATCGCCCGACATGCAATCGCTGCCAACGCTTCGGTGCCCACTGTGCTTATGGCGAACGTAAAAGCATCATGATATCAAAGTGGGTGTGATTATTGCGGCAACTCGCACCTTTTCTAATTTATAACTAGAAAATTGAGTGATCTTACTACACGGGTTGAAACCCTTGAAGCTTTGATACGAGGTCTCTATCCCAAACTCGATACCTCCTCGGCCCAGCAGGTCGATCGAACGCTTGGAAAACTGAACCCACGCGCTTCGCTAACGTGAACCAATTTTCGTATATCTCACTTGTCCACCACGCTCACACACCATGATAATGCGTCGACTTCGTTGTCACCAGGCAATATTGAGCCTATATAGCGGTTACTAAGTATTTACCCACCACCCCACTTTGAATCACCCTAACAACCAACCCACTGTTTTGTTTTTCTTCCTATACCCCCCCTATGTCTTCTACAGGCATAGTAAATAGCTCTTTACGTAGAGCAAAAGGTGAATTATCAGCTGATCAGCGCTCTTCTATTGTATACGCTCACATGTTACGCACTGCTAACTGGTTACAGTTAGATTAGATGGGTTCTGGGTATACTTGCCTTAATACTCCTCGTGTATCTAACGTTAACGATCTATTGTAACTGAGCTATTGCCTACAAGGCCTTACTGTAGCCTAAGTACTGTTAATAGATTAAGGAATGATACTAGTAAGAGCGCCGAGTAGATCTATATTAAGGTATTAGTCTACTTATAAGTGTTATTAAGTTATAATTAAGTAAAGAGTTATAGTAGTCTAAAAGGTAAATATAAGTAATAATATATAACCAAAGATAAAGAATTAAACTAAGTATATAAACGAGTGTCCTTATATATCTTTTAATTCCTACTCCTAGATATACCCCTAGGGTATATCTAGAGTTGCCTATATACTCCTATATATACTCCTAGAGTTAATATAGAGTTATAGTTACGTATTTCTAGCTTTATATATAGTGATTTCTAGTATAGGTAGTATCTAGTACTAGGCCTTGACAAATCACGCGGTACCAGTACCGCGGTACCAGTAACGTGCCGTGACTAAGGGTTCACTCCGGTCTCTGCGGTACTAAGCTTGGCGGTACTGATGCTCTGGTCCCGTACTGTAGTACTGTAACGGTAGTACCGCGGTACTATAAATAGTGTAAATATAGCTAAATTTATAGGATCCTGTGATTTATATAAGTTATATAGAAAATCTATATATTTTTAGGTATTTAGCTTATAGCTTTAAAATCCCTAATAGTTATAAATTATAATATATAAAATTTAATAATCTTAAAAATCTTTATTCTAAAGTCTACCTCTGCTTCTTTATATATATATATTTATCCTTATCTCTATAGCGCTTCCGCTCTCTTTAGGGACGCTAGCTCTTAGAGACCTATCTTTAAGTAATTAAAATACTTAGTAAGGGGAGTTTGGTTAAGTTATCCTCTATACTATTAGTATCGTCGTTTTCGCTATTACTATTAGCCTTACTACCTTCCTCTTTATTATTACTAATTATAGCTATATTATAATTAAGGAGCTGTTCTTCTTCCTTTATATTAGTCTCTAGCTATTTAGTTAGATCTTTACTTCTTATAAAAAGCTAAGGTTTAGAACTTTCTATATTAAATCTAGTTAAATAACGAAATATTATTAGATCCTAGATAGTCCTTTGTCAGTAATTTAGCAGATAATATATTATAGCCTAAGAATAGGTTATAATATTTAGTGGGGAAGTTGGATTAGATAAGCTTTATATCTTATATAGTATAATTATATAAGATATAGTAAGGGCTATACTTAGCTATTTTAGGATAGATAGAGGGTGAATATATTGTTATTCTTATTATTTATCATACTAGCTAGTAAAAATAATCATTCTTTATATAGCTAGTTAGAAGGCAAATACTAGTAGTATAGAATGTTATAGAAAGCTATTAATAATAATTAATAATATAAAATGACTTCATTATTTATAGCGATATTAAATGAGTCATAATATAGTTTACCGTATATTATATATCTAAGGATTACTTAGATAGTACCGGTAATATATATCTCATTTCTCATATACTATAAATATATATATATCTTACTTATACTACTATTATATACTATTATACTTATACTACCTTTCTTAAGTATTTAACTAATACTACTTAGTATATAACTAGCTTTAATTTTAACTTAGTCTATAAGAGTAGCGATAAGTCAATTACTTTCTTTATATTATAAAGCCCTTTTATATATAGACTATTAGACTCTCTAAGATTAAGGATATAACTATATCCTCTGTCTTTAAAGTATATAATATACTATTCTACTATTTTAAAGATACCTAGTGTCTATTAGCTTAGAAGAGAGTCCTATAGAAATAGGTTATATTATAGGCTTTAAAAGCTAGTAAATAGAAACTCTTAGTCTACTACTATAATACTAAAGAAGCTTATAGATATCTTTATATAATAGGGATAATTCTTACCCTATTATATAAGTTAGACTACTTTAAAGGTAACGACTAGGTTAGTAATAACTAGGATTAGTATTATAAATATAAAAGCTCTTTATATTCCTATCTTAAAGAGTACTTTTAGGATCGGGGGAATATATAGGTAGCGGATAAAGGTAAGGTACTAGCTAGTACTATAATATCTAGTTTATTAGCCTAAGCTTAGCTAAAAAGTTAGACTTTAATACTAAGAAAGCTATATTAATAAGAGGAACTCTAAGGATATCTTAATCTTTATATATATATTATCTACTAATTTTAAGTCTATAGTTAACTAATTATTCTAAGTACTAATAAAGATAATCTATATTAATTTTAGAGACTTTATAAGAAGGAGTTCCTAATACTTATAGCCTTTATATAAGATATCTTCTTAATTCCTACTACTAGTATAGGTATAGAGCGCTTATTTAGCTCCGCTTATAATATCTATTACTACTAACGTAGGTCTCTTAATATAAAGACTATCTAAGATCTAATAATATTTCGTAATTTAACTAGATTTAATATAGAAAGTTTTAAACCTTAGCTTTTTATAAGAAGTAAAGATCTAACTAAATAACTAGAGGCTAATATAAAGGAAGAAGAATAGCTCCTTAATTATAATATAGCTATAATTAGTAATAATAAAGAGGAAGGTAATAATAAAGAGGAAGGTAGTAAGGCTAATAGTAATAGCGAAAACAACGATACTAATAGTATAGAGGATAACTTAACTAAACTCCCCTTACTAAGTATTTTAATTACTTAAAGATAGGTCTCTAAGAGCTAGCGTCCCTAAAGAGAGCGGAAGCGCTGTAGAGATAAGGATAAATATATATATATAAAGAAGTAGAGGTAGACTTTAGAATAAAGATTTTTAAGATTATTAAATTTTGTATATTATAATTTATAACTATTAAGGATTTTAAAGCTATAAGCTAAATACCTAAAAATATATAGATTTTCTATATAACTTATACAAATCACAGGATCCTATAAATTTAGCTATATTTATACTATTTATAGTACCGCGGTACTACCGTTGCGGTACTACGGTATAGGACCAGAGCATCAGTACCGCTAAGCTTAGTACCGCAGAGACCGGAGTGAACCCTTAGTCATAGCACGTTACTAGTACCGCGGTACTGGTACCGCGTGATTTGTCAAGGCCTACCTAGAACAACGTTTAGACGTGCTACCATTATCATAGGAGAAGGTAAAAGGATGCTATTCAGTTCTAACTGGCGATGGGGCTTAACTCCGGAAGGTGACTAATCACCCAACAGGGACCAACAGCAGAATTGGACTCCAGCTCCAGTAATTATCAAATCGGTCTAGAATACTCATCGCCATCTAAGTAATACAACGTATACTGAAATTAGAGGCCCTGTCATTGGGCTAGCAATGGCAACGAAGATAAAGATAGCTATTGCATTTCCGCGCCGATCGGGCATGTTATAGATATCGCTATATAGCCCACCGAGGACAGCTTGTAGGTTAATAGAGAGGACAGGACCCTACGATTTCATACCGAAGAGCTACTAACCTAATGCAGCATTGATCGAGTATGATCTTCTAGAATGGCAATGATAGCTAATGAAGGAAAGGACAAATAGACAAACTAAAACAGGACCTTCGCAGAGCTGGAGGAGCCTTTTTGGATGATATATTCGACAAAGAAAAAATCAATATCCTGGAAGCTCCGGGAGACTGCACGTCAAGTGTTCCTGCTACTGCTACAGGTGACATTCATTAATTGCACATTTGAGATGCCGTTGCTAATACAATCAGGATATCCTATCACCACAGTTCCCATGGTACAACTTCGCTACAATGGCCGGCCGTTCGGTCTATGTCTAGTAGCCAGAGCGGACGAGAAGGAGACACTATTGCGGTTCATGGCAGCGTATGAAAAGATTGCTAAGCCTCGTCCGGTTACTAAATTTCGAATGACCATGATATGAATTAGTAGTGGTAATTGGCAAGATGAATGCGAAATATCTATCTACAGCAAATTATACATACTCTCTCCAGTGCCTAGTTATCAATCGATGCTCGCATTCGGTACCGGGAACTTGGGGCTTTTAAACGTTTAATCTTATGATTCCTTCCTACGTATGAACCGATACATACGACCATAGGGTGTGGAAAATAGGGCTTCCCGTCCGCTCAGCCGTACTCAAGCCACACGCCGGTGAGTTAGTAGTTGGGTGGGTGACCACCAGCGAATCCTCACTGTTGTATGTTTTTATGTTTTTAATTTTGTTCTATTCAGTAAATCCCACTTGGCATCTGCATGTAGCTACGCCAGGGCGTTGTTGATTAGTGACTTCACGATATAAGCGATCAAGTACCTTATGCGGCTAAACGGATCACGCGTTACGATAGAAAATGGGTTGGGATTCTGTAAGGATCGCATTGTTTTCATTCGAGAGTACTAGCTAGGTCATATAGGTAAATGCAGTTATATAATCCGTAAGAACTAATGTACCCGTATACACAACATAGGACAAAGTTAAGCGGACAGCGGTTAATGACTTGCAAGCTTCACTATGCATCTCTGATTCCGACAGCACCTAGTTAGCTCTCAAATGCCTGATTCAATATACCCCAAATCACGGAATGCTCTTTCTAAAATCTCATGGATCGTCTTATCCTTCCGTTGGTTATAGTCCACCATCGAATCTCCGGCTACAGCCGTCTGTTGAGCCGCTTCGCGTTTGATTTTGGCATAGAGCTCTAGATCCGCTGGCGTTTTAAGTAGCCAGTCACGAAAGATACGGTGTCGGATAACCTCAGGCGAGTCGGGACCCCACACATGGAGATTGACGTGGTAAGCTTTTGGCCAATTTTCCACAAAGAACCGGTGCTGATGCCATTCCGGCTCGCGTATGAGGAACCGAAAACCAGCCTCTTCTAGAGGCTTCACATAGGATGCTTCATCCGTGGCATCTTTTAGGGTGAGATCAACATCAATGATGTCTTTGGCTGGTAGGCCAGGAACGCTGGTGGAACCGGAATGAGCGATGTCTAAGACCAAGGTCCCAAGTGATTTTTGAATCCGCTCTTTGACTTCTTCGAACCGTTGCGGCCATTCTAGCTTGGGCTCAATTATGGTGATAGGAGGTTGTACCGTTCGTAAGGCTACATGCTGCACCTGCTCCGGTTTGTACACATAAGGCGCGAGAATCTGCGCAACTGTGACAGGCATCGTAGGAAGGATGGTAGTTGACTCTAAGTGGACAAAGGAGAGGTGATTAGAGACTTAAACAGGAGGAATTTGTAACAGTAGATACTGATTCCTTGACCTTCACTTCGCTATGGGAAGTGGTAGAAGGTTAGTGACCCCACCTGATTCTCATCCTCTTCCTCACGCGGGCACCCGTTCGGGTTTAGTGCCGCGTTTATCGCGCCATCTATAAAATTGTCTCGACTATACTTAGGTAGGCTTCTCTTTAATCCGTGCATCTCTATTACCTAGTCCAGTAAGTAGTGGTTTATAATCAACTCGAAATGGGTGATGGTAACTGAATTATGCTACCACTATTATACCTGCCTTCATATATATGTTCCAAGGTTAGAAGCCTAGATTCCCTCCAGACCTAGGAATTGCCAATGATAGTTAGCACCTGGACAGACACGCATTATTTCAAACGTTGATCAGGTGATGGTTCCTAAATTCAAATTGTGCTCATATTCTCACTCCTCCAGTATGGCCATTATTTGCTTGATAGTGGCCGGCTTTCGGAGGAAAACATTAACACCTGCCGCATACGCTTTTGAGATATGTTCATCCGACCCCAGACCAGTGAGGGCGATTATACGTGCAGGAGATACCGTCGGTCGCTTTGATTCGATTAATCGAATTTCTTTGCTTGCCTCAAAGCCATCCATAACAGGCATAGACATGTCTGCGCGTGATTTGTTAGAACTCGTCGATGTAAATTGGAGATACTGGTTAAAAAGGAAATCACTCACCCATGAAGATATAATCATAGCCTTGCGGAATTTTCTGCACCAACTCGACGGCTTTTGCGCCGTTCACGGCGCAATGCAGAACTTGCGTTCGGACTCTTGATATGGACTTTTTGAGGAGAGCGAGGTTTATAGCATTGTCCTCTACCAAGAGGACTCGGGGACCATCTTTTGCTTCGGTTGGCGTGGAGGCATGGGTTTGCTGGATATCCTTCTGAATACGAACTGGCAATTCACGGTCTATGACAGTGGGATTTGTGACTTCATCACTTGGGATAGACGATGTGACCGAGATAGATGGGCTGGTTGATTTGAGCTGTACTTCATGCTGCAAAAGTAAAGCCATTTTCGTTCGCGGATCAGTTGAGTTCGAGTCTAGATCTTGACTCTGGTCATGCTTTGCTGTGTTATGAGACGTATGGGCCTTTTTTAGCTCTAAGTTTTCAAGAGAGCCCAAAAGTATCCTGGCTAGTTGATGAGGTCCACAAGGGAGAGTCAACCATATCGAGTTGAGGAGTTGCTCTTTCGCCGAAGTCACCTTTGACCATAGGCTGGGACCTCTATGAGACAAGACCAAAAGGAGGGATTGACGATATGTACTCGGGAGTTGATCTAAATGACGTTCGTCAATGACCACCAAGTCGGATGTGGTAGGCACAGCGTGATCTCCATTTGCCATGCGGAACCATTTGGTCAGATATTGTTTGATCATATAAGACGACGACGGCTTGCTGGGATGAAAGTTATCGGCAGGGTAAAAAAATACCCTACGCCCTTTGAGCTTCGTGGTAGCACGGTCGATAGAAGTCACAACGGGTGATGACAAGCCCGGGGAAGGAGATTCGGTTTCAGAAGGCTTCTCTTGTTGGGGGTATGTAAGAGGGAACATTATCTTGACCACAGTACCCACGCCCAGTTGACTTTTGATTGCAATGCTCCCACCTAGCGAACGAAGTATAGCTCGAACGAGTGAGAGGCCAAGTCCTGCGCCTGGTGACATTGGGTCCTCTTGGGAAAATGGGGTAAAAACATGGGAGCGAAGGTAATCATTTGAAATGCCCCTACCCGTATCGGAGACCGTCATCATGAGCATTGGGCAGTCATTCTTTGACGTCTGAGCCTCAATATGAAGCGAGACGGACCCAGATTCCGTGTGTTTCAACGCGTTTCCGAATACATTCATGACCACACGCCTCAGGGCACCTGGCTCCAATACATAGAGCCAGTTCTGGCGTGCAGCATCGAGATACATGTCCACTTTTTCGCCGCCTGTGATCCGCGATTCTCTAACAGTATCATCCATTGGATCCAATTGCCATAGTCGACCAGACACGCTGCCTCCGTTCATGATGCTTGACAGGGCCTGTCCAGAGCAGACACTTTCAACAGCTTCTTCAACGACTGCAAGGACATCAACCAGCTTCACTATGTTTCGTGACTGCAGTGGAGCACGTTGGACACGCTGATGGGGGGAGCGAGATCTCGTTAGCTCCCTCTCAAAGGAGTTAATTTTGGTGAAATCCAAAATCTGTTCGAATGTTTCGAGGAGAGTTTGACCACAAGCACGAATAGTGTCGAGAAGACGTTTAGCAAACTCTGAGTCCACGTGCTCGAAGAGTAACTCGTTGGATGCTAGAATGCCATGCAGTGGACTTCGTAATTCATGGCTTTGATCGTCTTGTGGTTAGGAATGAGTAGCAAAAAGATCATCGGAAAGGGAGCGTACTCACGACATAGTACTAATAAAATCGCCCTTTTGCTTCGCCGACTCTTGACTCTGAATACGACTATACTCAACCATTAGGGATGAGCCAAACCCAAAGAGACCTCCGAGATCCACATGTGCACTGAACACTCGATTTTCAGCTTGACTCCAACAAAAAGCGCCACCAAACCATCGCGAATTAAGAGAGTCCCAGAGAGGAGCGAAGATAATTCTCGTCGCATTGGGAAAATTCTTCTTCATGGACTGAAGATCCTTCTCACGCAAGGATCTGAGCGATTCTGGATGCAGCGATAGCGGAGGCCGGGAAGGATTCCGAGCTCCCTTCATGCTCCCTGAACTAGTTCCATCTTCATCAGATGAAGAGGCCACTCCGTGAAATTTCAAATACCACAGTCCACCACGCGGGTGGTGTCGTATCATTCGGCGCACAAAACTTGATTCCATTTGCGATACTGGGTATGAGTCTGATTCTTCCCTGGTTTCATGGGGCTGGTCAGTGTCCGAGACTGCCCATAATTTGGCCAGTCTCTTCTCCTTATCATTGTCAGGGGAATCCTGGTCGCTATCTTGGCCGGTGCCGACAATTACCACACCACCATTGGAACCCAGATCCAGGCTTTCTCGCATGATGTTGGCAGCACGCTGGAATGTTCGCTGTGCTCTGTTGTCTTTGTAATCTGGGCGCGTTTCTGTCTTCGATCGTGGTAAACGTTTTCGTGCTCGTGATGGAATGATCCCGGAAGTCACGCTATCAGCAGCATCGTCACTATTCGGCTGAGTCGACGAAAGTGGTGGGCTTCTACTTCTGGCTTTGAACATATATTCCTCAGCCTCTGTGTCGGGAGATCGCTGGGAATTTGATGAATATGATGTGGGAAAGTCCGGCCGGCCGCTATGCCTTGAGTCGCGCGATGTATCCGAACTGGCCGCACCTTGCACAAAAGTATTTAAGCCAGCTAACAGCCTAGTCAAGCGACTTGACTCCAATGAATGACGAGAAGTCTCCAGATACTCCATCACTGCATCCGCGATATTTCCCAGTGTTTGTTTGTGGGAATCGTCCAAACGGAGATTTGGTTGAGGATCGATCACGTACAAACTACCGATATTGATTCCATTGCCAGTCCTTAGTGGTGTGCCGGCGTAGAACCGGAAATGTGGAGATCCTGCGACACAGGGTAGGGTGGAAAAGGTCGGATGCTGCTGTAAATCCTCTACAACGAAGAACGCATACTTCTCGTCCGAGGGCTTTAACATGATGGTTTTCTGCAACCATCAAGAAAATATCAGTAGCAATTTTACTATTCATTCGGGGTTGGAGCTCCAACCTCACACAAGGTTTCCGCCAGTGGTCCTCGTGAACAGCCTAACCAGAGACCGTCATCTCCGTCATGCTGGTCATTGTTTACCAAATTCAAAGACCGTGACGCTTCCGCTACCACATAAAGTGTTTCCCGATCGATCAGGCTAGACGATTATCGGGTAAGTTACTATTTCGATGGACTCCAAAGTTCGCGCGATGAGGAAGGTAAAATAATCCAATGGGGCGATCTTAGTTGAATGATTGGATTTAAAATAGGTCTGCCTTTGATAGAAAGCTGCCTTTTATGAAAATCCTCCGATGCACTGCGATCGAAAAAGTCGTACCTGATAACTGTGCGCTGAACCCCCAGCTTCAATGCGGCCAACTGCGCCAAGGCCGTCAACACCAGATTTGGACTTGTTTTTTGAATGGGATATTCGCATGATGAAGTCACATGCGGGCCAGCTGGCAGCAGGGCCGGGTTGTCTGGTTGAAAATAATGGAACAACTCGCGGGCGCGTAGATCGGCAGCATCGCGATCTTCCTGCACACTCATCGTGAGTTCAGCTAAGGTCGGCAGCAAAAATAGTGGAGACGGTGCTTGTGAGAACTAATATATGTAGTAGAACATAAGGAAACAGGGGGATGGAAAAAAATCTGCAGGGTGAAATGAAGAAATAATCAAGGAATGAAGAAATGAAGAAGCATAGACGCGAAGGCCTAGACAATAATGGCGGTAAATTTCGTGGATATGTATTATTCAGGTTAGAACTTCAATGAAACCTGGAACTCTTCTAAAATTATCCAACCTGATTCGCTGGACCATAGAATTTTGGGTATTAAGACAATTGATGTTTTGTTTCGCTTCATGTTCTGCCACCTTGTGGGTTAGTGACGTATGAGATCGAGATCTCTCAGTCACATGACCATCTCATATAGTAGTAACTAGTTCATATCCCCTTTGTCTTTAACAATATAATTATGCATCTTATTCATGATTCTACCCTTTAACTTTAATTCCGTATCTTAGCATGGATTGCAATATTTGTAAAGCAGATTTTAGCTGAGAATGATGTCACATACGGGTATAGATACATGACAGCAGAACCCCCGTGGAGACAAATACCGGGACAAGCAGAAGAAATTCAACGGGAATACACAAACAACCCGAAATATACCCGAAATCACATTATGTAATCTGCTATTTAGTCCACGGGTCCAATCATACAAACCACGTGCATGTATAACCCTCAACACAACATCTACAACATATCTCCCTAATATATAATGCATTTCTTATATGGTAGAAGTAGGTAGCCACTTGTAAATCCAGTTAGAGATAATTTATCTAATTTAAAATGTGTATACTACTATATGTCATTAATGTAACTAAGATATGGTATCACAGCCTTTAGGATGTATCATGCATAATGCCAGGATCCTGTCAACAAAATATATAAGCTAGACATGATCTAGATTCGCAAAATTCGAACCGAGAGGATCATCTATGTGATCAACAGTTTCGCAGGAATCATAAATAAAATGTAATCTCTCAGGCGCACTTAAATATGAGGACAGCTGATATGTAGATCCCATCGTCCTCGACCGGTGTAAACTTCCCCAAAAAGACTCCGTAGTACTAAAGTGTATGGCACCAAGGATATGTCTCCACTCCAATGTATTTGAGACTCGAACCATCACGAAGGCCGCATTTTTGAGAATTGCGCTGTTCCTGTGCATCCTATGAACATTGCCAAGCCCAAATGCAGCTAAGTAATGCAGAACCTCGTATAAGGGCGATCCCTCGACTGAAAAATTTCTCAGAGCAGACAGTTTCTGCCTTGTTTCTACATCTTCTATCTAACCCAGCATCAAAAAGTAATAAATCGTGAGACCTTTGCCTTGCCTCAGTGATTACATCTTCTATTCGTTTCGTTCTCTTGATTAAAGCAGGGTGGGTTCCCCAATTCATCCTTGTGGGGTAGCTAGCCATTTCAGAGATCACAATCTGATCTACAGAATATGCAGCTTGACAATAGTGTGACTTGGGGCTGTCTTGGCGCCGTTAGCCCCTTATTGCGGCCCTTCGTTGGGGGCCTTATTTGGGTGCCATCGGTAAGGCTGAATATGTATAAAGGTCAGTATAAAAACAGTGTTTATTCCCATTTTGAGCCATCTTTTTCAGTGAATTATCTCTCAATCATCAAAAAATCTTATTCGATAAAGCCAATCGCATCAACATGAAAATTTCAATTATTGCAATCTTTGGCCTCTTAGGCCTTGTTGCATCATCTCCAACTAGCAGCACGCCCGAAAAAAGGGAACTTGGTTATGACGTCGGGGTAAGAAAGTGCTCTTCTATCGGACATATGTATCACTTGTATTAACCGGAAACAGGAGTGCAATGGTACTTCATGCTACCGCAATCTAGTTAACCACCGGTGTGGTGTGGGATCTGTAAGTCTTTCTCCGACATTTCTGAGTAAAATTATAGGTACGGCACGCTGACATTTACATTCTCTTCCAGTGCGTGGGTAAGGGTGGTGGTGATGGTGCAAAGTGTCATCTCCAGAAGAATAGTGGCGCGATCTTCTGCCCGGTAAACTGCAAGGATAGTCATGGACTCTGCCCTTAGATTTATGGAGTCATGTGTGTATAGCGGGCTAGGGTACAAATTCCCGCAGAAGAGATAAATGCTATGGCAATATGTGTTGACTTGGATGCAACATATGGGCCTTCTTGGCAGGGGCTTCAGGAGGTAGACTGTCTCTAAAGCAACATTGTATTTTGGCATTTTATTCTTGATGATCTGATAACTTTTTAAATCCCTAAATTGAGATTTCCACAACAGGGCCGTTGTACACGTGCCGGGCGCGCACAGCGTAATATATTATGGCAAGGAAAACACTCCCTCCAATTGCAAGAACGCTCCAGTTCATCGTCTCCACTGTTGGGTCCATTTTGCTTGGCCAGAAGCTGAAAAAGATGACGATAGTGACGTAGATAATAGCATACCCATTGACCGCGGTACCTATGATGCCGGGGCAATGGAAAGGTCCCCAGACAAGCTTTGCACCGGGAACGTTGACAATATCATCATCACTGTCATTGTACAGGGAGATGTCGCCACGGACTCGGCGGTAAAACAGCAGAACCGAAACCATGAAGTAAGAGAGGTAGATACCCGACACTGCCATGGACACAACGTCCTCCATGGCGGTATTGGAACCAATGTTAATCAAGGAAAGCAATACAGCGATGGTCACTGTAACAAGGATGGCGTAAACGGGCAATTGTTTGCCGGAAGAAACCTTAAACAGCAAATATTAGGTCGCACAAGATTTGGCAACGAAGAAGAACTTACCTGACTCCACAATCGCCACCCGGGCACTCCTCTATCTCGAGAGAAAGACCAAAGCTGCCGAGATGCTGCGGCCAGTAGGCCCATGAGGGAACAAACGTAAATAGTTATGACAATAGCACACATGGCCAATGAACCCGGTACTGAGTTTGTTGCCTCTATGAAAATGCCCATAAAGTTATACCCTGTGATACTGCCCAGCTTACCACCGAGATCGGCGTCTGCGCAGAACATCATAGCAATTATCATACCAAATCCGAGGCTACCGTTGATTCCGACACTAATCATAAGTGCATGAGGAATGACGGTCGAGGCATTTGCGACCTCTTCAGACATCTATTGGAGAATTGTTAGCTAGAAGCGTATAAGAACAAGCTCAACTCCAAGGAAACTCACATGCACGGCAGCATCACCTCCAGCGAAGGCAAAGGCACAACTAGTCATACCAACGAACCATGAAAGTCCCTGGGTGGCAAAGCCTCCTCCATTCTGAAAGCTCAGAAAGACCTGCTCCTTTGTGTTATGATCCGCCATATAGACAAGAGGGATTAGGATACCGAAGAATCCAATAATATGCAAAACCAAAAGGGCCGCCTCGGCGCGAGGCAGTAAGTTGCCACCGAGCAAGTTCACGGCTAAGGAGAGACTTAGCGAACCCCAGACAATCAATGTTCCTTGCCAAGGCAGAGCATTGTAGAGGTTATTGCCCAGGATCGCAGCACCCTGAATCATCTTTCCTGTCAAAAAGGCACAGGCAGCGAAGGCACTCTGCCAGCCGAGGACAGCGAACCATCCTATGGGTTCAAATGTCAGCAATAACAAGACTTTCAGTTTGCATGAGGTGAAAATTTACCTGTAATAAAACCCAGAAACTTTTGGTGTTTTATGGGGGCAAGCATGGCAGCCCAGTGGTATTGGCCTCCTGCGGTAGGCGCCCTGTTGGACAGTCAGCTCTGCTCCAGCGTAATAATCAAAGACGGTCAACATACATGGAGGCCAATTCCGATAAGACCATGAAATTGGCAAAACAGCCAACCCAACCGAAGATGTAGGCATAGATCGCACCACCGGAGCCACCACTGATATCTGGTTAGAGAATGTTGGAAGATAGCATGTGACATGTGAACAAACTTTGTGAGAGGGCCAACGAAAGTACTAAGCGACCGATTAGCGATAGTTTATTTTGCAACTTCGGGATTAGACTCACCCAAGCAGGCCTTCCCAAGTACCCAGAATCGTACAGCTGAAGCCGAGGATCGATAGAATGCCGAAATTTCGCTGATTAGATAGAAGTGTTAATAGTCTGACCATGTAACCCCGAAGGATGCACTGCCTACCTTAAGGACTGGCTTCTTTCCCATCCGCTGAAGCTGTGCATTATCACGATCTCGAACGGCAGAAGTCTCCCGCCCCCTTCCCCTGCTGGTGATGGAAGTATTGCTCTTCAATTCGTGAGTCCCCATCTTCTTTTTCTTTGCTTTTTCTTCTTGGACGAATGGAATAGAGATAAGGGGGAAGTGCGGACCAAGATAAATACGGAGCGCAAGGAATGCAGCTAGGTCAAAAGTACAAACATGGGTTGGAAAAAGTCCGTCGGCGAAGGATCGGAATGCGGGTGGAAGGGGATACAATTTGAAACTACATGGATAGAGGTTACATCGACGAGAACTGGCAATATGAAAGTGCATGGCGCTAATGCATATGATTTATTGTAATTTTGTCTCAAGCGCGCTCTATCCGCTACCCTAGGGAGGGTTTCTAGGCTAGAACGCACTTGTTATCCGGGCAATGTCGATCCTGCCGATCGCAGACGGGAAGCATTGCCCAGGATGCGCGCCATACCCAATTGAAATAAGCCACAAGGATTATATGTGGGGCATACATCGGTGGAGGCTACTTATAGGGCAACAAGCAGTTGGGCGTTTTGCTAATGCAAAGGACTGGGGAGAACTTACGGCGAATCCGAGTGAAGCCTATTGACAGGGGAGAAAGAAAGGGGGCAGAACGTGATAGTGTTCGATATTATTATGTCCTTTTATAACTGTTCTTTTTTTTTGTTTTTGTTTTTTTTTTTTTTGAAAAAAAAAGAAAAGAAATCAGGGAAAAGAATCACTGATCAAGTGAAAATCTTTGAAAGTAGGCCAAATATCTGCTGAAAACCGACGGAATTTGTATAGAACACAAATCTACATGAACGACATGGGAAAGGAACACGAGCGTGACAGATGGGACATAAACCCAACCTTGAACATGTGTGCATATAGTGTATGTGCTAGGAAAGGATTCGCAATTTGCATCCTGGTCACTCTTTTCTGGGCACTCTTTTCTAGGCACTGAAAAATGCAGCATAAATCGCATATGAATATAATAAAAAGTATAGCGCATGTTCTCTCGTCAGCATGATTATACTTCCTAATACTTTCTTTTCTCTCTTTTTTCTTTCCGATTAACCCACATATATTGGCTCAATGGGGACGCGATTCAAAGGTGACACGAAAGACCCAGGGGTGAATGTCACCACCTGGTTTCTTCTAGTTGTGAGCATTTTTAGTGTCTCTGCTCGACTGGGAACTAAAATTCGACTGTTTAAAAAGCTTACAACAGATGATTTCCTGATTATTGCTTCTCTAATATTTAGCATCAGCCAGTGTATTGCTGTTTCGTTGGCAGTTGGATCTGGTTATGGGAAACATTTCAAAGATGTCTCCAGTGCGGAGATTGACGTGGTGATGAAAGTACGTATCCTCCCGTTGCTTGTCGCTCGCTCACTATTTTTATGGCAGCAAGGTTGATGTGCTCATTTTCAGAACCTCTTTGCAGGGTCTCTTCTATACCTCCTAAGCCTCATATTTTCGAAACTATCTCTGGTTGTGTTCATCCGGAGTCTTACACCATCCGCCAAAGATAAATGGCTCGCCCGAGGCGCCGAGGCCATCGTATATACCTGGGCAATTGTTGCGATCTTTGGAACTGCATTTGAATGCTCTGTTCCCCATACCTGGGACTTCTGGAACGGCCAGTGCTTCAATCTGGTAGGTAGTGTTTATTTTGTTCCTGTCATTCCCTCTGTCCCAAATACGAAAACTACTGATGCGATTCAACGTGATTTATCCAGTTAGCTTGGCGCTATTTCATCGCTATTTCCAACATTGTTACCGACCTCCTAATTTTCGCTCAGGCAATGATCCTGATTTCTAGCGTTCAAACAACGCTGTGGCGACGCCTGGGTTTTGCGGGTATTTTCCTACCTCGGCTCTTGTGAGTGACCCTGCTCTTACGGAGTGCACCCTTCCTCATAATTATGAACCAGATACTAACCTTGTTTTGCTCGATAGTGTGCCGGTAGCAACGATCGTTGAACTTGCCTTTCTTAAGAAAGGTACGAAAACAGATGATCCAACGTTCGACATGTGCGAGATCACCATTTTCGAAGTGATCATTCAGTGTCTGAGTATTGTGACGGCCTGTTGGGGACAATTGAGTCCCTTCTTGTCCTGGATGCGATCGAATGGGCTCAGGCTCGATGGCGTGGAACAACCGACTTCGTCAAGCTACAAGATGTACTCGCAATCACAGGGGCGGTCCAGGTCACGGGACACCAAGTCTAGGTTCGAAAACCATGAGACGTTCCCTCTGCCAATGCGACGAGATCAAATTCTAGTCACTCAGGATTGGGAGGTGAATAGTCAGTCGAGCCAGGCGGACATGATTGTGGAGTCGGAGACACACATACACCACTAGGCTAACAGCAGTGGCAAGTGGTTACCCTGCTAGCTTTTCATGGCTACGAATACATCTTGGATTACACGTGGATATGCTTTGACGCTCTTCGTAAGTCACAGAAATTGACACGATGGCTCGTGATGTACATACGGTACGACTTACATAAGTATTCATAATGAAGTATAATTCTTGGTTGCTACGATCATAAATCGATGCTTCATTAAATCCACCATAGGATGAACCAATTTCTCCCCCTTGCGACAAACTTCCTTAATTGCCCACTTCTATAGGATTGTACAAAATTTGTGCGCGTGTCCACCCGTCGACTTTAGGCAAATATCAAAGCTGAGTCAGCCAATCTCACCCACGGGCCAGTTAAGCTTCCCGAGGTTCCGTCTAAAGTTTAATCTCCACTTTTAGAAGCTCGGGCCACCTCTTAGCCCGCTTTGACCTCAGGAGAGTCGCGACCCTAGCCTTTGCTCTCGTGGTGAATATTATTCAAATATGGGACTTCCGTACAAATGCGAGATACTGTGACAGGCAAGGAAGTCGTAAGTATATAAATAGAACATTAGTAGGACCTTTGAAAAGTTGTATTTAAAGATATATATGTAGCTTGTAAGGACGCTTCAGTTTGATAAAAACTCGATTTAACGATTATTTTACTAAATTGTCCTCTTTTAACTTTTTGAACCAAGCCTTGGGTGTCATTGGGTGTTGTATGAGAGAAAATGGGCTACCGGGGACGGAAATATACTCCTCATCCCATTGGCCAATGCAAGTGGCTCGGCCTCTTGTTATGTGTGGGCCTCAAAAGTTATATATAGTGGAAGGATCCAAAGATGCAGGGCACCCTTGCAAATCCCTTGTTGCTTCGCACCTTTTCCCTTTTACGAAGGCTCTTCCGCTTTCTAAATCACCCCTTGAAATTCATCTCAATACCCCGGTCATTAAGCGGGATTTATTCCCAAGTTAACTCCGAGGCTATGTTTCGCCAAAAAATAGTTCCCATCATTTCTTCGTATTACATTAACCAGGCGCTCCTCGGGACAAGACTCCTAGTCAGTACTATTTCGCTAGGCCCCTGAAAGCGTAATCAGACCAATTCAGATATGGGATCAACAACCAATTCCCTTGTACTAGAACCAGCAACACTGGAAGATGTCTCCGACATCACCGAAGTATGGTTCGCTGCCTTCACACAACCGGTGATTGGAAAGATTTTCCCAAACACTCCCGGTATGCACCAATGGCACCGGGATTGGCACCAGGGGGACATTCAGAAATCACACTACAGATACCTGCGAGTCGTCGACACCGAGTCAAAAGATGAGCACGGACACCCACGGCTGGTCGCATTTGGCAAATGGGACCTGGCTATGCCGGATGAGCGAGGTCGTCGCTTTCCGATTTGGCACGCGGACTCGCCTTATCAGGAATGCGAGGATTTCATTGAAGAACTAGAGCAGGCTAGGAAGCGCGTTATGGGCGATGAGAAACATTACTGTATGAATGAGACGACATCCCTTTCAAGCCTATTAGGAAGAAATTCTAACTGACATCCAAAACCAAAAAGACTTGGATACACTTGGTACTCATCCTGATTATCAACGGCGCGGCGCTGGCTCTATGCTTGTCCAGTGGGGATGCGACCTCGCAGATAAGGATGGCGTTGCTGCCTACGTGGATGCCAGCAAGGAGGGTGCATCGCTATACCTAAAACACGGCTTTGTGGATTTCAATCCGCCCGGCTCGGAAGTGGCTGCGATGGCTCGTCGTAAGGCGGCTCCAAGCGAGCGCGCTTGACTTGGGGGATATGCTTCTAAGCTGTGAGATCTGCCGTCAGAGAGAACGGGAAGATAGAATTTATCTTATGGCTCATGATATAGCTCATAGCTGGCTATTACGTCACGCGGATATTTACTATATGAATGTACCCTAAAGATTTTGTCTTCGCAGTGTGGACTACCTCCTCGATAGACTCCAGACTTACAAGTTTACGGGACTATCCGTGAATCTAAATTGTTACAGTTGGTTCCCAGAGAAAATTCAGTACCAAGTGGTGTATTCTGCTTGTGGCATTCATCTGCCGCAATCAATTGACGTGAAACAAAGCCTATGAGAATGTTGGGAGACAGCTTGTGACAGCACTGGCGATGAAACACAGGTGAATCTCCTAGTTGAAGCTAATTATGCCCCTCGTTTCCCAACAATCTGTAGAAGAGATGTAGCTCTATGTACCATGTAGCCTCACATCTCAAGTACTAGGAGTTAGTGTGCAATTATATGCTGCTGAGGGCCCTATACCACTCCACATTCAGGAACAGGTGGCCAGTTAGATCTCACAGTGTAGGTGCACCTTTGCATAGCAGACATGTCATGATAGTTCAACCGACATAGAAAGACCTTGACGAACAAGAAGATGACCCGCTCCTCCAGGCCTCCTCTCTCCGCGATCTAGGTGTTACAAAGGGGTCTTCTACCATAACCACAGTGAGTACAGTTTTCTGAGGGAGATCTCTTGGGTAGAAGGAAACGAATCAAGCGGAGTGAATAGTTCACATTACACGCTCTCCAAGTGGAGACAATCACCCGCTAGCTCGTCCAGGCAGTAATCCATGGATCCATCCCTCCTCGGCCCTATTAGGTTTTTTTTGTACCAACTCCAAGCATCAATCAGCCTCCATGTACGAATAAAAGATTTCCGAGTATCACATATATCAACTTACTTGACATAGTATATGTTATTGTTCAATTTTGTTGGCGAGATCTGGCCCATAACATCTAGTCCAGATCCACTTTATCATCTTATTTTTGTACCATATACCCACTTCATACGCTAGTTTAATACAATCTTCTTCTATTGGCTTAATTGACTTGGTTAATTCTAGGGGTGAAAGGTACTCCATACTCCGCATGTTGTACTCCGTATGGATCTCACTATTGAAAGCCTGCGGTTGTACTATGGGAAATCAGTAATTATGTCAAGAAAATTACGATAAAGAGTCCTACAGGGCTACCTATCTACCTAGGTAGAGGGCCCCGAGGGTTATCGTAGATAAGGTAATCACACAAACGCGCCCGGCCAGGGTACTGTACTCCAGAGCTAGCCCGCTGGTGGAGAACGGATCACCTTGATGTTAATTAGGAAGCCAAAGAGCCCCAAATGTATGAGTAAAGAGTCTGGTACTCTCAAACATCACCCCTAGAATTGTATCTTTGCCACTCTAATAAGGAATTGCTTGATTACTGGAATAACTAATTACCTGGGTTGCGCATGTGACTTGATCCAATCATTTTTGACTGTCCTCAGAATTCCTTCTCACTCGACGAGCATAATACCTAATACCACCATGGCTGTGCAATTTTGCGAGGATTGTGGCCATCTCTTAGATGTGTCGGCCCAAGAAGAGATCCACTGTGAACTATGTGGGAAAGTCGCAAAAAGTGTGTCATGCCCCTTGATTTATTTGTCCCCTCCTCTGACTAGCCCATGACTCGCAGATACAATGCTTACGTACGAGCGTGTATCCGAATCGTCAAATTTCCCTTCGCGGCTGCGAACCAAACTTCGCTCTCAAACACAAGTTGTCACCCGAGAAGAGCTTGGTGACGGCCCTGTGACGGCAATAGAATGCCCCAAGTGCTCGAATAAGCAAGCTACCTGGACTGAAGCGCAGCTTCGAAGCGCCGATGAAGGAAGCACTATATTCTATTGTTGCATGAAGTGCCGCCATAGGTATTATATTCACCCTCCCCGCTCGCTCTCTGCCTACAATTTCATGCCTGACTGAGTTTTGCTCTAGATGGAAGGAAAATAACTAGTCATATTCCTTGTCCAAATGCCCCCGCGTGTGATTTGAGACTTGGCGCAAATGAAAAGAACTACAACCAACACCTTGGGTTCGAATAATCTGACAATTTCAATCTTGTTAATACCGCCAACTTGCCCAACTCTGTCATTCGGGAAGATTCAATCAACCACAAGAACAGCAACACTATGTCAAAAGGGGTAGATCCTGCAACAATTTGTATCTCATTAAGCTCACTTGGTAAATCTGCAGGGTAGATTGAGTCATCCCACGTCGTATCCAACCTTACGGCTTTGTGGGTAATGGAATAGTCCTGGGGTTGGGGCTTATATATTACGGCAAATGCTGATATATGGTATAGGCAAAAGGATATCTGCTTTCGGAGTGCGGAGGATTTCCACCAATATATAATTCTCGGGGTGAGATCAAGCATAGGAACAAGCGCGACTTGGAAACGATACTCTGAGAGCTTCGGGGCTCAAAGAGGCACGGGATATGCACTGCACACACTAGGAGGTCGTCCCAGCAACCATTCTTCTTTACAACTATCTCATCACATTCATTCCAACAAAACCATCATCAATTGATGATTGACATCTTCTAACTTGGTATCCTATTATTTCTGCCTTTTGGCGTTCCCGCTGGAACTGCCAATGTCTGGGATATGATGTCGACGAAAACCATGCGCCAGTTGATCGTGGAGAAACTCTGGGATTAATTCTGGGCATTGTTGCTAAGAAAGAAATGATACTGAAACAAATGAATTAAACAGCCGCGTAGCTGCATGCAGTCATCAGTGGAAGAACAATTTTCATGAAACAAGCTACCGGCTCGAGTCCTTCGGACGGAAGGGTGAGCCAATGGTCTGTCTGGTGCTGCAAGCTCTATACAAAATACGACAGGGATGTCATCTATGGTACAAAATAAGAAGACTAAAAGGTATAGCATTAGATTATGTTACATATGAAGTTGAAATTGAAGTCCTATATCATCGTCGAGGGCGTTGTTATCTGGTAGCTAGCCCATTTTCTTCCTCCTTCATATTCTGACGTATGTAGTCCTACAGGCTTTATATTAGTTGTTTTCTCAATAGACAGAGTAGCAGAAAGACCTAGTAATATATTTCTCTATATCAGGTTAACAATGAAGTCCATCAAACTACGATGTTTATACTCCCACACCGCCATGGCAGAATCAAGCTCACGCCAAACCTCTTTAGGCCAAGCGCCCCAATGATTGCCAAACATCCAAACAATCCACGTAGAGTGCAAGAACAGTCCTACAAGCATCCCACGAGCATAATCCTATCTGTCATCCAGATCCAATCAAGGTATGTGGATACCATTTACCTATTCTAAAAAGGGTATCTGAGCCGAAATTCGCCACCAATTGCGCCCCTTCTCCCCGCATTGCTCTGGGGTCGCGCATACCCCGTGGTATTTGGGACATGATGTCAGGCCAATGGAGTCTAGTCGCGTTAAACTTTAAGCCAATCTGCTCGTATACTAACGAGATTCTCTGTACAGCATCTTCAAACCCTCCCACAACCGCCTAGTTCAAATTATTCACAATGTCTGTTGAAGGCGCTTCTGCATCGGTATGTTGATCGCCATTGACACCGCGGCCGCGCCATGCCAATGGGCAATCATGCCGTGAAAACACGCTGCATTACTATCACGAACGATACTAACAATCCTCCAGCCCATCCCCATTGATGATCTGAAGAAGATCACCGTCGAGGTACACCCATTCCCAAAATACCCCGTGGAATTAACCCCGCGCTAACCTTTCACCTCAGGCCTGCGAGAATGCCCTCGAGAAAACCAAGGGATACGAGCACGACAATGTCGGCACCTGGAACTCCCAGATTATCGTAAGCGTCGACACCCAACCAACCACTACCCCTACACATGACAACACGGATACTAACAATCTCCTGCCCAGAACTCCATCCTCAAGGCCTTGATCGCCGCCACTGCACCTACCGAAGCCTCCAAGCCCCCTCCCTACCGTTTCACCGTGAACAGCACAATCGTTCAGCAGGGCGTGATTGACCCGTCCGTTGCTGCCGATGGCGCTCTCAGCAATGCTGGTAAGCGTGGTATGCACTCCGCCTCCGGAGCCTTCTGGGATGTCAACCGCGACGGCATGTGGACCTTCAAGTACACCGGTGCTGAGGATCGGGGGATGGATATTGTTGTTTGTGTGACATGGTTTGCTGTCGTATAAGGACAGGACTGGCTGTTGATTGGCTTTTCCTATCATGAACATATCCATTGATGGCATAACAGTCCATAAGCGGAGGTGAGGTGGTGGCCCGTCCATGAGATGTTCCCCGAACCCCCAGTCGGATTTCCGTCACGGGCTTTATCTTTTTCTTTTCACGTACTTGGACATTTGTTTTTAGTGCTCTGGGTAGTTTCAGATCTGTTCTTTTTCTTTCGTGTGATTTGATTTGAGTTAGGTCTAAGCGTGGTGTTATGTTTTCTTTTAGTTTATGGAGACTTGCCTGCGTTGTTCGAGAAATTGAATGGCCTTGGAATCGTGTATTGGGTATATACTGAGGATCGTACACCTTGAGCCTTCTCTCGCCTTTTTCTTTGCCTATAACACCGAGAAGAATAAGATATCTAGAAAAACACATCTAAAAATAATATTTGAGAAGAGTACCAAAAACCCTGGGGGACGTCATAACTACTCTTATGTGGTGTAGGTAGAGGGAGAGAAGACTCGTAAAAAATATTTAATATTGTTATGGTATCTAGACTATGCAATATCCTTTATAGGATGAGAAATGGGAGCGAAAAATCAAAAGATGACAACATTGAAAGCTCTCGATTGATCAACCTGAAACACGCCAAATCACCAGAGGAAACATGAAAACACCCATTATTACTTGCGCCATGCCATGTGTATATTACCCAGAATAAGACCAACGCCAATAGGGACCAATTAACCCATGAAAACAAAACGCCGGTTAGCCGAAGCAAGTCAACTTTGCATCTCGGCCCTAGCGAGGCTCGGAGTAATCATTCAAAGCAACACAGACGGCACCACGATGGTGGCCGCTGTACTGCCGGATGATATTGCCAGTGCCGAGCTCCCACAAACGAGCATAGTGATCACTAGAGACAGTCACGAGGTATGCCGAGTCTGCAGAGAAGGCGCAATCCCAGACCCAGCGTTGGTGATTGGCAAGGGTGGTCTCCAGGAACAGTGTGTGGTTGACTGGATCCATAGGAGGTCCGTCTGGGGATGATGTGAATGTCTGTTGTGGTGTCTCTTGGCGAGGGGGGTTGTCAGTAATACGGAGGAGATCACGGTCTTGGACAGGTGCGTCGAAAATGCGGAGCAGATCCCGAGACTGGGCAGGAGCCTCGACGGGGGCTACCGGAGCTTCGACTGGTGTTTCGACTGGAGGGTTCAATGCCTCTTTTTCCTTCCATTGCTTCAATGCTAGTTTCGCAGGCGGAAATTCGGCGTCGAGGTTCCAAACTTTGGCGGTATGATCCGCAGAGCAGGTTGCAAGGTGCTTGACATCGGGAGAGAGGAGAACACGAGTGAGGTAGTCTTTGTGAGCTTGGAAGGTACAGACGGGGATAATGCGGGTGGTATCGTCAGTTTGGACCATACGCCACAAGTAGACATTCCCCTATCGAGATATTAGTAAACAACTCCGATACCTTCTGTGCAACCAAATCAGGCACCTTCTTGTTTCCTGCGCAAAGCAACGACCCATCGCTGGCAACGCTGACACTGAGAACCGCAGTATCCTCCTCCGGGATCAATTGATGAGTACAGACACTCTCGCCCAAGTCCCAGACACGGACCATACCAGCGTGGTCACCACTGATAAGCTCGCCCTGGTTGGGATGAATCACGACATCATTGACCGCAGCCCGGTGAATATAGTTCCGCTGTAAGCTACCGGTACGGGTATCCCAAACCTTCACAGTTCCGTCCTCTGAGCTGGTTACCATCCATTTCCCCTCGCAGTGGAATGCCACGCCAGTGATGTTGTTTGTGTGACCTTCGAAGGTAATCACGGGGTTAGGATTGGTTGATTTAATATCAAAGAGCTTGACATTGTTGTGACCCGCGGCAGCCAGGAACCTCTTATCCGGGGTGATGCAGAGACGATTGACTTGGGAGTCTGGATGTTGGATTGTACGTGAACAGATACCCGAGAGCGCTTCCCAAAAGCTATCAGATCAATAATCAGCAGAGCCCTGGTAGAAATTGCCACTCCGCAGATGCTAGATAAACGCTGCAGGCGGCTAGTTGAGCCTCAACTTACCGAATGGTATGATCGTACCCCGCTAAAATATGCAACCAAGGTATTAGCTCAATGCCCTCGGAGAATGCGGGGAGCTTCTTGTGATGTTCCACGTACCAGTGCATAGAATGACACTCATATTCGACAGGGCTGAGTCGAAAGGAGGATAGTGGAAAAAATAATCTGTCTGTATGATATCCTCGTTTTGGAAACCACTAGAGTCCCTTGGAGCGTTAGGGGAGCTGGCAAGGCGAGACGGGCCAGGCCGAACGTCGGATGGAGTCCCGTTTTCTGCCATGGATAACACGTGATTAGAATGCCACGTGAGTAGAGCGGTGTCTTTGTGTGACGATAACTATGAAGGCGGTGGGAAGATAAGATGAATGATGGCACATAAAGGGGAGGCGGTCAGTGGGTGAACAGAACAACAGTTGGAGCTATTATTTGTCTAGTGAAGTTCATTCAGAATTTCATAAGTAGAGTTATAGATCTAATATCATTGTATCTTTTTATTTTTGCATTTATTAGATCGGAATTTTAGCTTAGTGCTTTCATGCTGTCCAGCTTGTTTGATCTCCAGTTGTGACTAGATTGAGCGGTACATCCAGCGGTAAGTCATATTCTAGTGTATCACATGTGATTGGCCAAAATTAATTTATATTATTGGCAAAATAATTAATTGGCCGGCAAAAATAAAAAAAAAACATCCCAATGTAGTCAAGTACATCTTGCGTTTGTCGTCTCGATTGATCCCTATTGGTCCCTATTGGTTGATTCAATACAATGGCAAAGTCAATCCCTTTGTTCTTGTCTGCTGTCTTTGTTCCCATCTATGGGCCCTAATTCCTTTCTCGGATGGTTACTACCCTCCCTCCTCGACAGTCTTCCTTCGATCTCTTCTTCCTTTTCACACCTCTTCATCTCTTCCCGGACTATTTGTCTCTTCTCTGTCTATTTGTCTCTTCTCTGTCTATTTGTCTCTTCTCTGTCTATTTGTCTCTTCTCCTCCTATTTATCCCATACAATTTTAATATCCATTCTTAATCAATATGGACACCAACTACTCTACCTTCGGGTTTGACCAACCTGCTTTCGACTCCCAGGATTTCGGTGGGCCGTTCAATGCCGCAAATGGCTTCAACTACGACAACCCTGCTCTCATGGGCAGCTTTGACGATTACTTTGCCAATATGCCTCTCAATGGCCTCGACCAGTCTGGCTCCGACCTCCTCCCGATGGGTCTGGGTTTCAATTCACTCAACTCTGGCCAGCCCAATGGTACTGCGCTATCCACGCAGCGACCCATGAATAAACTCAATCAGCCTTTTTCAAACACATATTCCAATGACACCGCCCAGTTCGGTGATACCACATCTTCCAATGGATCTGACCAACCCAATTTTACTGCGCTTTCCACGCAGCGACCCATGAATATCCTCAATCAGCCTTTTTCAAACACATCTTCCAATGGCACCGCCCAGTTCAGTGATACCACATATTGCAACGACTCTGGCGAACCTGCACTATCATCTTTGAGCGGTTTCGACAAGCCCAATTCCACCACCCCACTCAACCACTCTGCCAATCCGGTATCCAACAATCTGTTTAGTCAGACCACGCCTTCCAATGGCTCTAGACAATCTGTGATGCCTGCCCCCACTAGTTTCGACAAGCCTGGTTCAATCACGGTCAATGGCACTCACCAGTTCAGTGACACCCCATCTTCCAACGGTCCTTGCAATGCTGCTCAGTCAGTATCCAACAATGTACCCCTGCATGCACCCTACAGGCAGGTTTCCTACGACCCATCGATTCCAATTCCGTACACCCCAGAGGACACTGATGCCGACAAAGTCCGAAAGTGGGAGAACCTCATCGCCCATGCCAATCTGGCCAATGCTGGCGTGCCCGCATCTGCTTCTCAGATCATTCAGGAAGAGACATGTGGGCAAAGCCCCAAGACTGTGTCCTCGCCCAACTCTCTGTTTGACAGTCCTCGCTCCGCGTCTGTCGAGATCCTTGAGACTCCAAGCACCTCTCCTCGCTCCGCGTCTCTCGAGATCCTTGAAACTCCAAGCACCTCTCCTCCTGGTTCGTCCCCTCCCGACGCTCCTGCAGCTACAATGGCAACTGCCATGCCAATTGCAATGCCGACTGCAGTGCCAACTACCATGCCGACTACCATGCCGACTGCAATGCCAACTACCATGCCAACTACCGTGCCAACTACCATGCCGACTACCGTGCCAACTACAATGGCGCCTCCACGGGCTACCATGAATGTTACTGTGAGCCCTAGCTCTGATGATCAACCCACTTGCATTAGGAAAATGTGCTAATTTTTAGGCACCTGCCACCCTTCGCACTGTGCAGCTGCCGCGTGCCTTGGCAAACGAGATGGGCTATGCCCAACATGTGTCGCCCTTTGCTCCTGTTACAGTTCATCCCCCTGGTCCCTCCACGTCGACTCCCCGCGACCTTGAAAAGGTTAAGTTGCGTATCCAGGGCTTGGTTAAAGAACGCAACTACTACCAACGTACTTTGCGTAAGGCGACTAGTGTTGACGCCAAGACGGGCAAGACGGCCCTCGAATCCCTGCAAGCACAGAATAATGCCCTTCGTCGGACCAACTCCAAGCTGGCGCGAGACAATGAGGATCTGAAGCAGAAGGTGCAGGCAGCTTCCCAGTCGTACACTGCGTTAGTGGAGAAGTACAATCACAACATCCAGCAGCTTCATAAGGCGCAGCTTGAATTGAAGCAGCTAGGAAAGTAACTAGTCAATTTCCATAGTGTTGAGTGCTTTCGGATAGCCAATGACTCATTCCCCTTCCCATAGTTGACCAGGATGGTCTTTCTCTCGGGTTCCTCCATATCTCTACATCATAGATTCGACCTTTCAGTAGAATCTTGTGTTTTCATGGCCTCATATACTCCTTAGGCTCTAACAGGCTATGAGTCTTGTCCCGCCAATCTTGAGACACATTCATAGGACTTTTGATTTGAGCTTAAAATGAATTTAATCCAAGAGCGACTCAGCTCGATACCATTTCTTCTTCCTTCTTGGCTGCAATCAATACTTAACATGTATGAAAGGTCATACGTAGGAAAGTCCGTTTTTCTTTGCCGTCGACTATAAAACTGATGAGGCATCTAAAAGGAGTAGTTGAAAAGACATCTAAAAAGACCTGAAAAGACATCCCAAGGCTGCTTATGCGGCCTACTATTCTTGTATGTAGCTCAAATCAAAGCTTATAACCTAGTCACTGGTCTAGTTAAATGAGCTAGGCCGGTTTATACATACATACTCGCCGTTCTCTACAGTCCGCTCCTTCCACTCTCCTGTTTTTACTCTTACTCGATGACGTCCCTAAGGCTGCAAGCAAAGTGTCTGTAAGTCCCCAATACTCAACTTACCGGTGCCAGAAAGCTACGCCGCTTGATCGCTTATTCCAACGTGAACAAATTCCGCAGGTACCGGGAGACCAAACTGCTAGGCACAATACGTCAGCACTATTACTTGCAGCTGAAACTCCGCACCCGCCCTCCCCATATAACGCGCACGCTCTCTAGCCACGGCAGCCTCGGTGCCGGTTCAGTACTTGTAGATAACTACCCATAGGGGTTACTAAGTCTTTACCCACTCCCTATTTCCCGCCAAATCTGACCGACTTTGAACCCTATTCTCTCAATAATCTTATATCGCAATAACCTTTTCGGTGATTTTAAATGGAATTCATTTATCAGATTAGCAAAATATTGCTTTCTAGGTGATCTAATATATATAGCTATTAGTGGTAATTGATTGAAGTCCAAATGTTGAAATAACTCTTCATTATATATAAAGACTCCCATCCTAAACGAGCGAGTAAGATCTTGACAAAGATTTTGAAAATTGATCACCCATATTAGAAAATGCATCCTAGTATAGTTTATAATGGATTGCATTATGGTTGAACCGATAAATAATATCAAAAGAAAAGAAGAGAACAAGAGAATAGATTACATACAATCTAAATGCAATTTAGGGTTTGCCGAATTAAGCTTCCGTCATAGTAGGTAAGGTCTTGGCTTTGCATAAAATCAATTTGTCAATGCATAAAAGTCCCGATACGGAAATAGGTGGGTCATTTCTGTCGAAAAGTCTGCTCCCGCTTATAGCGCACTTTTGGTCCAAAATTGATATAACAGCCTGGCCGGCTGGCCCAATGGCAAGGCGCTTGACTACGAATCAAGAGATTGCAGGTTCGATCCCTGCGTCGGTCAATTTTTTTGGTTTCCTGGCTTTGTACGACTCGTTATAGTTATATCTGAAGCATCCGATCCGACTTCGATGATGCAGTTCACTATCTCCAGCGTATGTGTGGATGGCTTATTCGGAGAGATTTCTCTTCGCATGGCTCGAATTTTTGCATCAAAGTTAACTCAGGCCTCATGGCATAGTTCTACAATATATCAACACCCTTGATATAAGCTTGTTTGAGAGATCAACCCCAGTGTACTCCTTCCGGCCGGGAATTATTTTGCTGTAAACCGATTAAACGAAAGGTAGAATATATATCCATCACTCCAGTCGGCATAGGAAGCATCCAATTTCAACCGAACAAACCACTAAGCATCAAAATATGACGACATCGCCCGCAGAGTGTGAAGACACCGGCGGAGCAACTTCGGGTATATAAAAACAAGGCAGAGAGCCTGGCTAGATCTGGTTCGTCAAAATAAAGACCTAAAAACTGGAACGAGTTGGAACCAATATATGTCAGCGGCGTTATTAAAAAAATGAAAACGCTCCTTAAATCCATATCAAGTGGGTATGAACTGGGAGTGGATACAACGGTCGCCAATCGATGTTCATAGTCCCGACCGGGTTCCCGATGTGGATGCCGTATCTTGGATTTCGGCATGCCGGTTTACACAGTTCGGCTCGGATTTAGAAACTTCCTACCTGGACAAGCCCTGGAGGTTCCAGGGTTCTATAATAATTATGTAAGGATGTATTGCCGCCCGGGCCATCTATTCCGACTGTGGTTCCTGTTTATATTTGTGCTTTGTCCTTTCTTTTTTCCTTTGACAGGCTTGGTATTTCAACCGGTTGAGCTAAGGGAGATATAGCAGTTTGCCTGTCATGGCGGATCAAGACGAGATCCGTGGGAATTCGGTTTATCAGGTTGAACAGCCTGTTACCGAAACATCCTCACCAATTGAGAAGCCTGTTGATGCGAAGGAACAGAAGAAGACGGGTTTGATGGCTAAGTTAGTATTCCATACCTCATCCTCCTTATTTTCTATCTGCACTTTAAGATAAGTGAATGGTATTAATACTATCACAGAATTGGAAGAATGGTGAACCAAGATATCCGGGAGGAAATGCCCGCATACAAAGATATCGAAGTCCACACCTGGGACGGCCCCGACGATCCCGATAACCCGTTCAACTGGAGCCTTAAATATAAATGGCTGCTAACACTCACCGTATGCTTCATGTAAGAAATGCCATCTCAATATACTCCGCAAGCTTGAAAATATCTAACAACCCCATCAGCTCCATCTTGACCGGTCTCCCCGCAGGAACCTACGGCTCCGGCAATGACTGGATGGAGAAAGAATTCCACGTCCAGAACGACCCTTTCCCAAACCTATACTGGGCCACCACATCCTGGAATATGGGTGCTGCGTTCTGGCCACTGATATTTGTTCCTCTGACAGAAGCCTCCGGCCGCATGCCAGGATACTTCGTCGCATATGTGATCCTTGTCATATCTCTCTTCCCGTCCGCGTTCGCAAAGAACTTCGCGACCCTAGTCGTGACAAGGTTCTTCGGCGGCGGTGCTTCTTCCGTTTCGATTAACATCGTTGGCGGAAGTATCTCCGATGTATGGTTCGGCGATCATGCTCGCAGTCTACCAATGTCTATCTTCGGATTCACCAGTGTTGTGGGTATTGCACTTGGCCCATTCATCGGGTCTGCTATTGTACAAATTCAGAGATCCCAGCCGTGGCGTTGGTAAGCAGAATCCTCTTTCTTCAATAATGATATCTCCAGATATCCAAAGCAAACCCATCATACTAACTGTATCTCCCCATAGGATTTTCTATGTGCAAATAATCTACAATGCAGCCTTAATCCCGGTCTTCTGGCTAATCCTCCGCGAAACCCGACCCGACGTGATTCTCAAAAAGCGCGCACGCAAGATCCGCAAAGAAACCAACCGCCCCGTCTACGCGGCCTCCGAAATCGACGCCCCAAGCAAACTCCGCCTCCTCAAAATCTCCTTCCAACGCCCAACAAACATGCTCCTCACCGAACCAGTCGTAATCTTCTTCACATTATGGATCAGTTTCGCCTGGGGAATCCTCTACCTCTTCTTCTCCAGCGTCGTTCAAACCTACTCAACAAACTACGGCTGGGGCACGCTCTCAACAGGCCTAGTACAACTCGCCATCTCCGTAGGCGCGATCATTGGAACAGCCATCAACCCACTGCAAGACTGGTTCTATCTCCGCTCTGAGCGACGGAACACTGAGAAACCTGGAAAACCCATCCCCGAGGCGAGATTGTACACCTCCATCCCGGGTAGTTTGCTCTTTGCGGGTGGATTGTTCTGGTATGGCTGGGCTAGTCAACCTGATATTCACTGGATCGTGCCTACTATTGGTATCACGGCAGCGGGTATTGGGATTTATTCGATTTATATGGCTGTTGTTAATTATCTGACTGATGCTTATGAGAGGTATGCGGCGTCTGCTTTGTCGGCTGCTTCGCTTGGAAGGAATGCTTTTGGTGCATTTTTGCCGCTTGCTTCGCCGCAGTTGTTTAGTAATCTTGGATTTGGGTGGGCTGGAACCTTGCTTGGGTTTATTGGGGTTGCGTTGTCTATTGTTCCTGTTGTTTTGGTTTGGAAGGGAAAGCAGATTCGGGCTAGGAGTACGTTTATGAGAGAGGCTATGTGGGAGCCTGAGGAGAAGGTTGAGGTTGATCGGACTGGGAAGGGGGATATGGGGCATACAGAGGGAATTGCGTGATTGTGTAGTATAATTTCTGCACTGCATGTGTAGTTTTTCTTGTCTCGTGCTTTCAGTATACATGAGATTTATATCGGTTAATATAGATGTACATGTACCAGATTTCAGGCGCCTCTTTATGAAGGCAGAGTTTTGCTCACTAAGTATCTTACAGGATTGTCCCCTAGCCGAGAAGCTAAAGATAAGGTGAGAATCCTGCAGAAGATTAGAGTAAATGGCAAATAGAGAATGAAAAGGACAAGGCCAATAGACATTTCAGGATTGAAAAGAAACATAAGACCCAAAAACTCGATATACAAAGTTGCATCGAGAAATCAGACGAGCTGGAAGTTGAGCCACGGAGGAAGGAAAGGGAATGCATTCAATCTAGGACTCATATCGCCAGCATCGGTCTGAATATTCATATACAAAGACGTTATAATTTGTTAGAAATAGAACAAACACATGGATTTATTTTGTTTTGCTTTATGTCCATCTAGCCATTCTCTATATAATGCCAAGAGGCTATAGAAAGACAAACCAAAAACCGAAACTTCCTACACATGTTCTATGACTGAATCCAAGGTGGAAAGGATAGTGGAAGAGGGTATCGGGACAAAGAGGTCAGGGACAGAGGTGAAATGGCCGTTTCACATGGTTGCTTTTGGGAAACACTTTCGCTATCAAACATTCAACCACAACAAGCACGAACAATTTACTTTTGATCGCGCATGTTGCGGAAGAAGTCCATAACACCAGTGTACACAACAAGCAGGATACCACCACCAGGGCCGAGACGAAGGACCTTAGGGGTGAAGCCCTTGTACAGGGCAGCAAAGCCCTCCTCCTTCATCACGGTGCCGAGAGCAGGCCATGCCCAGTTGTACTTGGGAACCTGACCAGGGACCTTAGAGGTGTTCTGGATGCGGGACTTGACAACATCCATGGGGGTGTTTAGGATAGTACCGGTGATACCACCAATGCTACCGGCGATCAAGTCGTTGCGGGTCTGCTGGTTCTTGTTGCCGGGCTCGACAGCAGGCAGCTGTGCGCGGACCTGGAAGATACAGCCGAAGTAGCCTGCGTTCCACAGGACGTGACGCCACATGGTCGACTCAAGACCGTTGTACATTGCCAGCGGGCCTTCGGCGGCCACGATCTTCTTTACCACGTCGAACATGCCGTTGTACTTGTGGGCCTGGGCCTTGTCTTGCAGACGGATCTTCACCAACTCGAAAGGAACAACGACGAAAGCTTCAGTGGCTCCAGCTGTGGCTCCGGTCAAAGTGGCCAGGCCTTGGGTTTGCTTATCCACGCCGAACAGGTTGCGGTAGAACGCACCCCAGCTGTCGTTGGCGGCGAACTTGGTCGCACGCTTGGGTGCCTCCATCAGGATGGGTGCGGAGATACCACGGTATAGACGGGAAGCACTATATACGTCGTCGCATGTTAGAGGGAGCCGTGGCTAGTTCGCTGGGGTGATGACATACCCCTCGTTCTTAACAATCTTACGGAAGCAGTCGAACATGCCATTGTAGTGATCGACACCGGCCACAGGGGCTCCAGTCTGAAGCTGACTGCAAGAGAATATCGTTAGCTCATGTCATATGAGGTCGGTGTTCATTGCGACCGGCGGTTTGCTTACATTCGAGTCTTGAGCACGTCCAGAGGGTACCTGCGAGTTACACATCGTCAATTGAGTCCAATTTTCACATTATACCAACAATATCTCCAACAGAAGCAGTTATGCGACCAAGAAAATGGGGGTGGGGAGCCGTACATGATCAGGATCTGCGTGCGGGGAGAAACATGTTAGTCAATAAAACACCTCATGGGGTTCCGACACAACAAATCAAGTCGGAATCGCTTTCCAAAGCAACGGGCTGAGACACATACCTCTGAGACACCAGCCACCGCACCGGCGGCGAACTGGTAGATGAAGGGGAGGGGTGCCTGGGGAGTCTCGGACATGATGGCGGCTTAAGCTGTGGGATGTCGGAGTCAGTATGGGGCCATAACAGGACAATATTGGGATCGCGAAGTTATCGCAAAGGATAACTTTGCAATTAAATCACATATTCACTTACACGTTAAAAGAACGAGGGTTGGGGAAAAAGAAGAAGTGAAGGAGGGAAGAAGGTTGCCGGTGTCGGCGAGATTCGGTGATCAGCTCCGAGTGCAGCAGTCGGTAAGTCTCCTGTTTGGGCAAGTCTCCTGTGGTCCCGTCAATTGCCGATGACTAAACCCCCGTGGGGAGAGCTTTTTTATATTAACAATATCTTCGAATTCATTGTCATCAATTCATGTTTATCATATCTTCTATTTCTTTCATAATATCAAAACTCCTAGACTTATTCCAAGCATCCCCAACATTATTTTGCTAACCTGGTGCATCATGCCACCGCTAGCCGCAGTCGCTTGTTCCTTGGCGACTGTCGTTGCAAACGCAGTGTCCCTTGCAGTACAGCTAGAACCACAGGCAAATCCCATAGGACAGCATCCTCCACCCACAGTATCAGCACAGTGAAACCAACCCTGAGCGCACCGGTTCCCGCCAGAGCTTTCGGTCGTCGTAGCGACAGGGGCTACAATAGTCACGCCATTCGATGTAATCGTCGTCGAGGGTGTGATCGGACATGAGGTCGTATCGCAATCTCGTCCAGTGCGACAGCAGCCACCGTGGTAAACAGCGGAGCAAGCATAAAAACCTGTCGGACAGACATCTTCGCCGCGGGTAGCACTGGTTACTGTTGAGATGTCCGTAGGACGTGCTGGGGGTGCCAAGCTGTCGTTTGTTGTTGTCTGGGTGCTATGAAAAGATGTCGTTGAGGAAAAGCCGGAAGTGGATGTGGAAGTGCTATCCTGCGGCTTGGTCGAGTATGTCACAGTAGACAACATCACGGTCGAATGAACCGTCACTGTAATAACAGTAATATATGCACCTACTCTAATCAGTAAAAACTTCCATATTCCCAATCCCATTGATTATATGTGAACGAGAAAATAGAAAAGAAATCCACTTACATCCCCCTGGAACACAATCATATCCCGGAACACAACAGCCACCCCCCAGAGCCTGCGAGCAAGCCGTGTATCCATTCTGGCACGACCCGATCATCCCAGAGCACGTCTTCCAGCTGGGACAGCAGCCCACATCGCCGTGCCCCGTATCAGCGACGATCTCGCAAGTCTCCCCGGCCCCACAGCAGCGATCGGATCGACCGATAGATGTGCACGCCGATGTCCCAGTCGGACACTTGAAGTCTCGTGTCTCGAGCAGATTGTTTGCGCTGGAACTGCTTCCCAGGGGAATGAATTGGTTGTCTCCATCTGAGCCCAAGGAATATGATGGCCCAAAAGGGTATGATTGGGCCACAAAGCGCGCAGGGGAAAATCCGTCTTCTGCGAGTTGTCGCTCAGATATGTTGCTATATGAAGGAACATCCCCGAAACTCCAGTAGTCGAGGAAGAATTTCTCGCCTTCGTCGTCGCTCATTTTCTTCACGCCGAGGGCTGGTCCTGCTGCGAGCTGGGATGCTATGGCGGCGTTGCGCTGTAGGATGAGATCTGCGGGCAGTGGGGTATCAGCCTCTTGGGACTCTAAATCCGCTGAGATGTTTGCATTTTCTGCTGTGGCCAGTGTTGGAAACTGGGATAGTGAGCAGAACACGGTGAGAATGTGAAGGAGCTGCATGCTGCGGCTGGGCATCGAGAATAGATCTTGATTTTGTTTAAGGTGAGACTAGTAAAAATAGTCGGGTTGGGGGCTAACTCGCAGTTCGATAGTTGTTTCAGATGATTGTTTCACTAAGGCTGTGGATGAGTTGGTTGGGAATCAAATTTCCAGTTGGGTTGGTGCAGTACAGATATATATTTCTGTTTCCCTTCAACATGCGATCCAAGTGAGTTCGACAGGTTCAAAGGTAAAAAGGTTCTTGTCGACTAGAAATAAATTAAGGGCACATTGGGTTTCTATAAATCTGCAAAGCCGCATGGCAAGGTGGCTGGGAGTGCAGGTGCATTACCTTGCATTAGCTCGGCCAAGTCACAGGTAATTAGTATACTATAGTTAGCACGGAGTACTCCGTACTCTGTGGGGTTATATTGGAAATTATTCTGGATCCCTATATCAGTCTATAGAGTACGACATCAAGAGACTACATATACTTCCAACTCTTCAAACCAGACTCAACACTAATTCAAAAGTGCCATATCATTTGCAAAATCAAAGACCAAATGTTAGTAGCACACAGAGTCAGGGTATCGTCAGTAAATGACATAAAGGGCTCTCGCACAGGAAACACGCCAAAAGGTATATGAAACAAAACCAAGGGCCCAATGCGATGCCAAATGCAATAAAACCAAAAAAATAAAATAAAATAAAATAAACGTGTGAGACCAATTTCACTTGCTGGCAATAAGAGATTCGGCATTAAACCTCACAGGGTGGGGAATGACCAAGCGGAGGATGAGAGAGAGGATAAACGAACGTCCATGGATCTATACTGAATCAGGCAGAGGGCTTCTCGGAAGTGGTATCGTCCTCCCCCTCACGCGATATGGGAGGTGACTTCGCTGTGTCGGAAGATGGCGACTTAGGCTCTTCTGGCTTATCTGCCTCATCTCCAGCCTCCGGGATCGCCTCTTTTTCACCTTCCTGCTGGTCATCACCCCCACCCTCGTTGCTCTGCTCCGCTGCCTGCGCAGCAGCAGCTTCCGCCTCTGCCTTCTCCATCTCGGCATTGCGGGCCTGCTGTCTATCCCAAACTTCTTTGCGGATGCGCTCGTCCTTCGCAGTACGGAGGCGCTCAGTCTCTTCGAAGCCACCGCTCTTCTTCAATTTACCTTCGTCAACAAAGGCACCCAGTTCCTTTTGGAAAAGACCGATTCGCCGAGTCTCAAGCTCCACCTTTCGTGCTTTCTCGGCTCTCTCAATGGCCTCGAGTCGGCTCTCGTGGTTGGGTCGCAAGGCGCGGACTTCGCCCAGGACACCATCCTTGGCTTTCATAGGATCAATGGTTGGGTCAATTCCGAGAGTCCTAGATGGGGCGCGGACAGCGGTGCCACTAGTTGGAGTTGTCAGGACCTGCTCCTTTGTAGCCTGCTCCACTAGGGCGAAGGTTTGAGTTGCCTTCTCGAGATCATCTTGCAAGTCGGCAGCGAGGTCCTCCTGCATGGTAAGCTGGTCTCGTTCTTCGCAAACTAGCTGTAGCTCCTTCTCCCAGATCTTAGTCCAGATGGGCTTCTCGCGAGCAAGGAAGTCCTGCATTTTCTTGATTTCTTTCATGACCATGCTGATGTCACGGCTGACACCCTCCAATTGTCGTGGGAGAGGACGAACGCCGCGGGTCACGACATCCTTCCGAAGATCCTCAACCAAATCTTGAAGATCATCGACACGAGCAACCAGCCGCTCGGATTCACCTGCAAGTTCCTTCTTGCCAGTGTTGACACGAGCACGACCAGCGTCACCTTCATAAGAGGGTGTGGCAACGTCATCAGCAGCGGTCTTGACCTTGCTTGCCTTGGCACGGACTGCACTCATAGAACCTGTGATATCGGCAGTGAAGTTAGAATAGGTCTGTCGCAGGACAGCCAAGTCACGACGTAAGGTCTGAAGCTCGGCAATTTGACTCCCGCTGCCGGCAATCGATGCCTTGGCATTCCCTGCAACGGCAGCTGGACCGGAGGCGGTTGGAGGAGCAGCAGCCAAGCGAGCAATTTCTTTGGCAGCTTCAAGTTGCCGATCGGAAACCCGCTGGATGATATTTCCTTGGCCAGAAAGGGTTTCTTTGACACCTTCGACCAGGAGACGCACACTTCCAAGGCTATCATCGAAATGTTTCTTAACTTCATCGAGGTTGTCAACGTTGAGCACCAACACAGACCGATCTTTGACATCGGTAAGATCTTCCAGTTCATGTCGGATGCCTGAAATGGGGTCTTGAATATAAATTTCCGGCAAATCAACGCCGTTATCGTGGGTATTCCAGGCAAATTTCTCTATAAAAGCAAGCTGCAAGCGCCCAATGGTGAGCTCTGCAATGCCATCTGGAAGCACATACTTCTTAATTTTGCTTTTATATTGAAGGAATAGTGTCAGCTCTTTGCCTGGCGAGGGTTGCTCAGTAGCAAATTGAATAGCTGACGTAGGTGTTGCGATCTCGGCGGAAGGTCCAAATGTTTCCGCCTTCGGGGTCTGGGGTGCTGGCTTTGCAGGCTCAAAAGCGCCTTCGAGCGTTGGCTTCTCTTGAGGCAGTGGAATAATCGGAGGAGGGACGATGCCATATTCCCCGGTATTGCCTTTTTCTTCAGGACCATGCGCTTCGCCGGGCGTGTCGAATGGTCCGGTAGCACTCTGTTGTGGCTGTACTGGAGGTGCAGGAGATGAATGGGTGCGTTCTTCTTCCACGACATCCGGAATATCGGGTGGGGGGGCTTGGGCACCCTTGGCAGCTTCCTGTAAGCGGTTGTTGGATCTTTGTCTTGTATGAGTAAATGAGCCTCGCAGACGGACCGCATTCAGAGATTCGCGGACATCACGACCGCGATTGGGGATGGGAGAGTTTTGAGTAGGCAGAACAGGGACGCCATTGGTAGAGGTGCCTAAATGTTTCTGAATTTGATAAGCAGAGAATCGACGCGATGCACGTCGCTCCAGCTCTCCACTTCTTTGCAAAGCCCCCAATGCGTCATCCTCCTTTGGCAGGGGCGGAGGCGGAGGCGCAGAGAACCCGGTGGGTGTCATATATGTTGAAGGCGCAGTGGTATTGGCTGCGGTGGCTCGAGGTGTTGTATCATTATCGAAGGGGGTGGGTTGAGATAGCATTTGCTGTGCCTCTCGTCGCGATAGTTCTCTTTCGGCATAGTTGGTCGTACGTGGTTCGGTCATGGAAGGTGCAGAGGAGGTTCGAGCAATGGCCGGTTGATCCTCCAGAGAACCTCCGCTGCCATACCGTCGGTTTGATCTTCTGGGAGACTGGGAATTCGATGGCATTGTGGACGCGGCAGCTTCATCATACAGCTGACCAATTGCCTGCCCATTAGCGATACTTCCTGCACTGGCTTGCCGTGCTGGTGCGGGTCGGCCATCCTCGCGCTGGTGTCGCGACCTTAAGCGAGCTTGCTTCTTCTTCAACCCTTTTAACAAGTTGATGATTATATCGCGAATTCGGGGGAGGTATCTATCGAGGCTCTGGGAAGATGCATCTTGGCTAAGAGTGTCTTCAAGTATGGTGCGAAGGAGGTCTGGTACGGGACCGAGGTCTGAGGTGTCAACTCCGATGGCACTGAAGGCCCGACAAGCCAAGTTAAATTCATAGCCCAATCGGACGTATACATCCGACACGTCATTCTCCGATGCTTGCTTTCGAGACCATTGAGTTAATGTTTCGAGCAGTTGTTTTGTCGCAACCAAGAGATGTGTCACGCTCTTTTCGATTTGGGATATTTGCTTATCGGGCTGTGCGTGGGGGAAAAGCACCAGTTCATTAGCGACTGGAAGATATGCAATTGGGTGGTAGCTAGAGACTTACCTGACTCTTGGATTGGGATCGAGACGAGGCGGAGGAACTGCGACCGGACTGCTGGGTAGCCATGGATATATCGGCACTGCTAGACCCCGAGGGTCGCTGAGGGGAAGTTTGTTGACCCAACCGTTCGGGATAGGGGAGCTGGGTTTTTGGAACGTCGGAGGACTGCATAAGTACGGGCTTAAATCCAGGGTGTGAGAACAGAAAGTGAGAAATAAGGCAGAAAGGTGCCAAGCATGTGTGAGGATGATGCCCAGCCTCCTGTCACCCGAACCGAAGATCAGCCAATACGCATAAATACCATATTTTACTGTATCCTGTAATAAATATTCAATCAACGCGTCAAGTATTCAGTACATGTAGTCTACATATTCACATAGTATATATACAACCAATTTGCCATAGAATTCTCCATATACCTATTTATACCTACATTATACACAACATTTCTGAATATAAAAAGAGCTCCTTCTGACATAAAAAGGACAACATCCACTGATAAGTACCCGATTGATAAGACCTCTGTGCCTTAACTGTTCCACTTCTCCACTCTATTTATATACATTTTGGTGTAGGACGTGGGTTATTTATATTTGTATTCACATCTTTTGTACTATCTCTACTCCAGGGAATAAGCACAGCTGCGGCTCTGCTAATACAGAAATACGACCCCAGCACATACCTATGTAACTCCATCCCCGTCTCGAATATAGAAGGAGACTAGCAAAGTCATCGAAGAGCTCAGAACGTGCAATCTAAAGTTATTAGGTTGTGAATACCATGAGGGGGTATGCCGATTCTCTCTTTATGTGTCAAATACCATGTTTCCCCCCAAGGTGGGTGTCTATTAGAGTGCCCATCCGATTGGTACGTCCATTCGATGCAACTGGAAATGAATTCCATCAGATATACATAGATCAGGTCAGGATCCTGAGATTTGCCTTAGGTCACAGTATTTAATACACACCTGTGCATCGCCTCAAGCTTTATATCTCGCAGCTATAACCATTCACAATATCTTGTTACTCGCTTCTCCCTTGGAAATTTACACCGTATGTAGGTATCTATGCAGGTATCTAATACCTAACTGGACACAACCCTGGAGGCCCGGGGACATCGGTGTAATAAGACAATTTCACCACTCAGCCAAAAAATTACATCAATTGAGAATGATATATATGGTAGACACTAAAGCTCTGCGGAAACACTGGAATCTACTTAGGCCCTGGTCTGTTAAAGAATGGCTAAAATAGGAAAGGTACTGAAGAAGTTTTGTGGAATTAGATATACTTGACCTATAATCTCACATACATGTACAGACTTGAGCATATATGTACATTAAAGAGGGAGCAAGATACAAGTTGGCATACCTGAACAAGTCCGTGAATGACCGATAATGTGATCGTACAACATGTATACCTGCAGTTTGTTTTCTATTGGTAGTTCATGTTAGCTTATGCATCCCGAGGTAAATCTATCTTAATAGATGACCCTCCTTCGCACAAATGTCATCATTTCTATACTTAAAAACTCTACGGGAGCTACCTCAGCCTGACCCGTACTCTGTCAATAACATTGACAATTGGCCTATATGCCCAAGAATACTTACTACACTTACTGATAACATTTGGAAAAAAAAAAAAAAACAAATATTGGAAACATTTGAACATCTAAAAGTCAGAAAAAAACAAGAAAAGGATAAAAAAAAAGAAAGAAGGGTGTAACACACAAATACAATACCATACGCGTGACTTCCTCTCCCCCCCATCAACTTGCGACAAGCCCATCTCTTCTTTCTTTTATTTTTTATTTTATCTGTTCTTTCCCTTTCATTCTTCTTTCATTCTCCATTGACATTCCCCGGTATCTCCACATTGTGTGGTTGCTTATCCTTTCCCCCCCTCACTTTGCCCCCCTAGTCCTGTTTGTGCAGGCGGTGTGTTGTGACATCGTGCCTCATCCTCGCGGCTTTCCGCCGTGTGAAGTTCCACGACGCAAGCTTGCCCTGACTGACACCAAAAGTCAATCAATGGCTTCTGCTCTCAACTCTGTGCCGGCCAACAACGCGTCTGGCAATGCCAGCGCGGGTGCCCCCAACCCTGGCCGATCTACTCTGAGATCTAGTAATAGCAAGGGGTCCGACAGCCGACGACAGTCGGGCAGCCCTGGAGATGGTGGACAACGGTATGTTTCAGCCCTTAAAATCAAACTTGAATTTCCATCACCTCCGGACTTGAGATACTCCCCTATGTTCTTATCGTCTTCCCTTGTCCTCTTGAGCGATTGAACTCGTGCACGCGCCTTTGAATCGGTGAGCTCTGTTGCAGGGCATCGAGTTGTGCACCACCAAGAGCCAATTGAAGCTGTCGGATTCGATGACAGAAATGTTCTGCTCTCTATTTTGTGACCAGTGACCACTAACGTAAGCATGTTCTACGACATAGGCGCACAAACTCCCACAAGGCCTGGACCCAAGGGACTAACCCCATCACCCAACGATCTTCATACACTTCGTCGAACGGCAACGTGACCCACCAGAAACAGTCTGGGTCTCCAAGACCCAACCAGAAGGAGTCGACCACCCCTGATAGCCATGCTCATGACCGCCTCGTCTTCTTATTCGCCAGCTTCATTGTTAGACCAGTCGCACCACCATACTGTCAATTAATTCTAACCTGGTACCTAGGGCCTACACACCACCATTACCACCAAGACCGGAGAGAAGTTTACTGGTATCTTCTCTTCTTCGACCATGGAACCCAACGAACTGTCGTTCCTGCTCAAGATGGTCCAGCGGGTCTCGCAAGATGGCCAGCCCCGGGCAAACGGCGTCAGTGATGTCGCAACTCCGTACATAGGCCACGCGCCCGAACACATCATGTCATTTGATATTAAGGATGTCGTCGACATTGCTGTTCCAAACGTTACCACAGCCGAAGTTTCAGCCAAGGAACCAAACGGTACGGGTTGCTTTGTTTAGTCAGATTCGTTTGTGTATATACTAATCCAGAGCACAGGTGCTTCCCAAGGTTTCAGAACTGACAGTGATATTTCTGGAAACCTAGCTATGCGCGAGCGCACCTTGCAGCGCTGGGAACCTGCCGAGACTGACATTGATATGTCACTTGACACCAGCAACACTTCTGCCGGATGGGACCAGTTCGAGGCAAACGAGCGTCTTTTCGGCGCCAAGACCAACTATGATGAGAACATCTACACAACTCGCCTCGACCGATCGGATCCAAACTACAAACAGAAACAGGCGGAGGCAGCCCGAATCGCCCGTGAGATTGAGGGACAAGACGTGGAGAACTCTCACATGCGCGAGGAGCGTGGCCTCGTGGCGCCGGACACTGGCGACCAAGACGAAGAAGACAAGTACAGCGGTGTTCGCCGCGAAGAAAAAGCATTCCCTCCTCTGCTTTCCGGCCAACCAAACAAGTACATGCCCCCCGGACGCCGCCAGGCAGCTCCCCAGCCTGCTGCGACTCCTGGTGCATCCGCCAAACAGCCTATTGCTTCTCCAGTCCCCAGCGCTCCTATCCCCATTCCCTCCCAGACCGCAAAGGAGGCTGCACCTTCGGACAAGCAAGCTGAGCTGGCCGCATCGCTGCAACCCTCAGCAGATATCGAACAAAAGAACACCCAGGGCAAGAGTGTTACCCCCGCAGTACCTACTCCACCCGCTGTACCAGCTGCAAAGCGGGCTACACCTGAAAATGCTACTGCAAACGTGGAGGTAGAGGTGCTGGATCATTTCCGTCAGTTCGCAAATAGCGAAAAGATCAAGATGCAGGAGCGCCGTCGCAATCAGGCCTCATATGACCGAACCATGAAACTTAACGAGTTGATGAAGTTTTCCAAGAGCTTCAAACTCTCGACTCCCGTGCCAAAAGACCTCGTTCCAATCCTCGCCAAGGACCGACTCAAGCAGGAAGCAATCATGCAACGAGCGCTGCAACATGGTGATGATAAGGCCATCCCGAAGGTTACCACACCTCCCACTGAACAACAGCCCGCTGCTCGTGGTACCGGACCCACTGGGGCTGTGACCCCATCTGCACCTGCTGATCGTCAGAACTACAACCGCACTCGCCAGGGCTATCCTCCCACCGGACCGCTCGCTGGCGCTGGTGGAAGATTCCCTCAGCAAGGCGTTCAGCCGGGACGTCCTGGTGTTGGCATGCTCAGTCATCGACTAGCGGACAATCTGCAGCAACGAAAGGGGGCGGGAATGGGACCTGTTCCCACTCCTCTGCCCATTCAAGATGCCCGTGGACCCCCGACAGGTCCTGCCAGCGATCAGCAGAGAATCACCAGCCCTGTCAAGTCGCAGGCTGGGTCTTCCGCAGCAACCAAGCTCAATGTCAAAGCTATGGAGTTCAAGCCCAACCCCGCCGCGAGCACTTTCACGCCTGGTACCTCGGCAGCAGCTGCAAGCCCTCGGCCTTTCTCTCGTAACCGCTCTGTGTCACGTGCCACAACGCCGACTGCATTCTTTGGCCCAAGGAAGCCACTGCCTATCTCTGAACGACCATCGATTAGTGACCAATTCAATCCGATCAAGCGCATGAAGAAGGATAACGCAGAGTCCACCGAAAGGTTGGTTATATTGAATGGAGGTATCCCACCACCCTACAAGACTTTGCCAACTTGGGATATTGCGGATGGCACCGAAGATAAGACGTACGATCAAATGTTCAAACAGCCCGTTGGCGTGCCGACGGTGTCGCCCCAGGGCCGCTCCGCCTCCAACAACACCAATATTCCCCAGCAACATCAGGTGCCCTTCCACTTCCAGCAAGGTAACCCAGCCATGCCGCCAACTACTGGTCCTGCGAATGGCCCCCATGGTCTTCACACTCAGGGTGCCCATGGCCCCCCTCATGTTGATGATCATCACCGCATGCAGCTGTCCGCGTCGAACTCCCAGGTTTTCCCGTCCCCACGGATGCAACATGGATACCCATCCCCTATGGCTCCCCATGCCCAGCTTTCCTTCGCACAACCGATGCCTCAATTCTATGGTGGCCCTCAACCCGGACACATGAGACCTTTCCAGGGTGGTGGTCCTCAGTTTGTGAATGGCGCTCCTATGATGGTGCAGCAGGCCTCAAATGGACCCTACATGGGAGTCCCGCAGGGCATGACTCCGTATAACGCACAGATGCCTATGTACTCGCCGAACCCAGGCCACGCCTATCCCCAGCATACACCTCAGCCGCATAGTGGCTACCCAAGCCCGAGTCGTGGTGCACCAATGATGATGCACCAGAACTCGCAATCTGGACAGCCTCCTCAATCATTGATGTTTATGCCTGGACAACCCGGGTATCCCCAGCAGTCGGGACATAGTGAGTGTGGCCACAGCCCCCCATCCAGCGTCTCCAGTTTTTAACCAACCCAGTGCCTCCCAACCGTGGCAACTACCCACAGCAACCTCACTTTTCCTCAAGCCCCCATCAAGCGCATCATTTCCCACCTAACCAGCATCGGACACCCAGCAATGGCTTCAACCAAATGCCTCAAATCCCACCCCAGATGTCTGCTAATACCCCAGCACCAACACCTGGAGCCTCCCACCCGGCCGAGGCAACGGATGAAGGAAAATGAACTACACGAATCATGAAGCCGTGAGCGGTTCTCTCGCATGACGCTACATCTTATCGCTTAGCTGTGACTTCTCTGTGCTCTGCATTATTGGCAACCGCCAACTCAAATACCCCGGTTACGCTTACACCACCGCGCCTTCATTTGTTTCCTCGTCATCGACGCGGTCTCTAAAACATTTGAATTCCGCGTTCGACTTCATGTCGTCTCAAGACTTACTCAGTGAGTGAACAACTTTCGTGGCTTCGAACAACATCCGCTAATGCTGTGATCAGACATGACAGATCAACATATCAGTTGTGCCTATTTATTTCTCAGATTTCGATCTGGAGGTGTGCATGAAAACTGAATTTTTAGGCGACGAACTCGTTCAAATCGAGCACTTGATATGCAACCTAGCTCATCGTCGTATACCTACCTAGTGCACAACATCTCCACGTACGTCATAATCGAGTTGAAGTCTTGAGGGTTTCTCTTTACCCAAGATGGTCTCTTCCTTCTGGTTTTCTTGTGTTGTTTCTCTTTTTTTTGTTTATCCCTTTTGCTTTCTTTGATGATAGCTTGAGGTCTGTGTGTCCTTCGTGGGCTCACTGGCATTTGAATCTTACATGGATGGAGGTGAGGTCTGCGGTGGGTTGTGTCTCGGCATGGTGGCGGTGGTTGATCGGAGGGTGATTTGAATGAAGGTGGTCGGTCTGAGGGAGGAAGCGGAGCAGTGAAGTGTGCTTGAAGATGTGTGAACTTGACAGTACAGATAGCTCCATGGATCCCTGTCCACATGGCAATGAAATGGCTATATCATAAAATTTCCCGTTATTCTGCGTAGACTACAAGAATAGTTGGCCACTCATACGGATTTGGGATATGTCTACATCATTTGATCCCAAGTAACCGCCCATTTCAAACACTTAACATTTAAATCCCCTGATAAATCCATTGGAGATCTTTGTTGCTAGTTTTATATCAGACTGGGCAATAATCCCATTTGTCATTTGCTTGATTGCTTCATTCACAGGGTATAAATGCACTTCTGTAGATTTTGCAATCAAGAACACTCCCCTTCATCTCTCTGTATGCCTAACAGAATCCAATCGTATATCTTCAATGCCAATAACTATGGCAGATGTTAGCAGCTGCAAATAGGATCATTTCAAACGAGCCAAGTGTAAGGGGAAGAATCTCCTCAGGATAAATTTCAACAGTGACAGCATCCAAGTCACAGACACCAGACATCAAGCCACCGCGGTGCTTTATCCCACAAGCCCCTCTACCCACACTCCAGCCATAAACAAACCGCAGAACAAACCCCCAGAGCACCACCAAGCATCACAAAAGCCAACCACCTCCTGCTCACACCCCAACAAATACATCTCTCCGTCTCCCAACTTCCAACCCCGCACAGCAGCATGCCCACACCACTCTTCACAGCAGATGAAAAAGAGAAAAAGAGGAAGTGAGATAAAGCAGTCAAGAATGTCACTCCCAAGCAGTCCGAGGACTACAGAGAAGTCCGTATTCCGCATAGCTGACAGAACGCCGCCAGCATGAATCCGTCCAACTCAAAGCCACCCCAACGCCAAAAGAAATGTCATCAAACCACCAAACTCCCATCTTCACCTAATCCCAAACCCTCGTACCCTATACGCCACAGCCATTGGTCGCCCACCCGTCCTCATGGGAGCGAAGCGGACATGGCAACCCCAGATAGCGGCGCCACCTCCCCGTTTCCCGTACTTTCCCGCGCCATAGACCCAGCACCGTACACGCTAGCACCCAAACACCTCAGGATACGAGATCCCGAGACGGACCTCAAGCCATGCAACACCGCAATATCAATGACATCACAGTGATTCAGAGCGAGTTCTAAGCGACAGCACGCAAGTGCCAAGCCCAGTTAGGGTACTGGTTCGGGACGGACAGAGGTGTAAATGTACACAAGGTCTCCCATGATCCAGGACCAACGCCGCTTTGTCTCAGCGTGGTCTCGAGCCATGGAGTGTCGGCTAGGATCTGGAGCTCGCTGCAGCCTGCCAGCGAACCGATGGGAGACGTATGTGTTCTGCTGGAAGAATGGGGACAACGCTTTTATGTGAGATTGGTTATTGAGAGTGTGGTCGGAGAGGGTATCGTCGTGGTATGGGCACAGCTCTGACAGTGTGGTGCCAAAGCTGGCCCAATATAAGGGAACGTCTATTGGAAAGAGATGATCGGTTCGTGCGCGCCAGGTAGTTGCTCTTGAAGTTCGCTCCGCGGCCGGTTTGTGGTGTTTTGCGTGGGTTTCGGTGTTTGAGGGAGTACCTTCGGTGCTGAGTCTTCTTTGGCGGTGTTGTGGCCTTGTCTGACCTTTTACCAGAGTGTTGCATCATTGGAGAGCGCGACTTGTGTCGCTAGAAGTGTGGACTGTGTGTGCACGCGTGAAAGGATAAGGGGCGACTTACTGCTTAATTAGTAGGACTGCGGGCTGTGGACTGGTATATGTGCGAGAATTCACTGGAATGAGATAACTGTAGTAGTTGTATAAGAATCATAAGTTTCAGTCTCATATGGCGACAAAATTAGACGCGTGGGTGAAGAAATGAAAGTCGGAGCGGAGCTTTTATTTATAACAGCACGTGGTGGCCTCAGGCCGAAGTGTTTATCACGATAAGGCGGGGGTGAAAGGAGTCGAATGTGTCTGGCTATTACTTATAACACTGTATCTGGTCTCTGATCATTTTCAGTCACTTTCTAGACCTATTGATCTAATCCTCAGGAGACAACCAGCTGCATATTCACCTGTTGGCCATTGGCCCCGACTCCCGCACCCCGGACACCCCAAACAATCCCCGACCTGACACATCGGCCACACCGCGGCCATGGATTTCTTGAAATCAGCCATCGGATCCGCCATCGCGAAAGGCGGTGGCCTCCCTTTCTCTCTCGGCGACAGAGTTGACATCGGCGATTCGGTCTGGGCACTGCACAACGGTACGAAACGGGTACGGTAGCTTTTTGGTTCTTTCTTCCATGCGGGACGAGCTTCAATGGCTGACGAGGTCGGGCACATATAGGATGACAGCTCCGCTTGCAGTGTTTTCGCATTTGATATCAATGCGAACAAGTCGCGCCTCCCTCTTGCGAAAAATGCAGTGCGCAAGTCTAGGACGTTGCGGCATCCTGGTGTTATTAAGGTTTTGGATACGATTGAGGTATACTTGGCGCTCGACATTTTAGTTGCATATGAGACTGTGGGGTAGAAGCTTACGGCTCGACAGACGGAGCACAATCTTTACATTGTCACGGAACGAGTCGTGCCACTCAGCTGGCCTGTGAAGCGGAAAAGCTTGACCGAGGAGACGGCCAAGTGGGGGTTGTATACTGTGGCGGTATGATATTCTTGGAAGGCTGGTATTATGGCGTTGCTGACGGGATTTGTCTGGAAAGTCTACCCTCAAATTCATCAACGATGATGCTTCCTCGGTTCACGGTGCTGTGCGCGCATCCTCGGTGTTCATAAGTGAGAGCGGCGAATGGAAGCTAGGAGGATTCGACATTCTGAGCTCTATGAAGGAAGACGATGCGATTATATATGTGAGTTATCCTGGCTGGGGGGTATTCAGGAACTGCCTGAATTATGCCATATACTTATCCCATGCGTAGACGTACGGAAGCAGTGTGCCCGATGCCGCTCGATACACACCCCCAGAGGTTGTAAAAGCAGGATGGGATACCATCAAGCGCAATCCTCTGACAGCAGTTGACGCTTACGGGCTTGGTATCTTGATCTTCGAGGTTTTCAATGGTGGTTTCTCAGGCGGCGACCAAGCTGGCAAGACGACGAATATTCCCCCTAGCATGCAGCAAAGCTATAAACGTCTTTGCACCGCCAACCCGAAGCTACGACTGAGCCCGGGGCATTTCGTGGAGCAGGGAAAGAAACAAGGTGGATTCTTCCAAACACCACTCATTCGAATGACTGAAGACATCGATAGCTTGGGGCTCAAGAGTGACGAGGAGCGAGAAGAATTTATCAAGTGCGTATATTCCGCATCTCTTGCAGTGGTTTCTCGACTGACATGTCATGACTTGCAGTGAGCTTGATAATCTTTCTGATGATTTCCCAGAGGAGTTCTTCAAGATGAAGGTGCTTCCTGAGCTACTGAAGTCCGTGGAGTTTGGCGGCGGTGGGCCGAAGGTCCTTTCAGCTACCATGAAGATTGGAGCAAAGCTGTCTGCGGATGAGTTCAATGCTAAACTGACTCCTGTTATCATCCGCCTATTTGGCAACCCTGATCGAGCACTGCGGGTCTGCCTCTTGGATAACCTTCCGTTAATGATTGATAACCTTCCCCAGAGGGTTGTCAACGACAAAATCTTCCCTCAAATGGTAAGATATTCGATTTTGGGAAATTCACGTTGTACTGACCTGTTTTAGACTTCTGGTTTCACCGATGTTGCCCCAGTGGTTCGAGAACAGACAGTGAAGTCTGTTCTGACTATTATCACTAAACTAAGTGATAGGGTTGTCAATGGAGAACTCTTAAAGTTCCTTGCCCGCACTGCTAACGATGAGCAACCTGGAATCCGGACAAACACCACTATTTGTCTTGGCCGGATTGCTAAGAACTTGAGTCAAAGTGTAAGTGGTCTATCCTCAATGCGGATTATGCCGCTGACGTTATGTGCAGACTCGCTCCAAGGTGCTTATTGCGGCATTCACAAGAGCTCTCAGAGACCCCTTTGTGCACGCTCGAAACGCAGGACTTTTGGCTCTGGCCGCGACTATTGGTGTATTTACCGAGGAAGACTGTGCTGTTAGGATTCTACCTGCCATTTGCCCTGGACTTTTGGACAAGGAAAAGTGAGTAATATGCCCAGTCGCTATCCTTGACTTGATACTTACCGTCAGACAGGTTGATTCGCGATCAAGCAAACAAGACATTTGATGCGTATGTCAATCGGATACGGAAACATGCCTCCACAATGCCAGCTACCGTCATACCTGCCGTCGCACCGGCAGAAGCCAACAAACCCGATGCTCGTGTTGGAACCCCCAATGACAACTCTTGGGCAGGCTGGGCCATTTCATCATTCACAAACAAAATCGCAACTGCCAACGGCGAGATTGAACCCACCGCCAACGCTAGCAAGATTGTTGAACCCGATACTGCCCGCTCAGCATCGGTTCCTCGTCCCGTTAAATCATCACCCTCAACCCCGCTCGAACTACCAAAACAGGTCACCCGTCACACAGCTCAGCCACCCTTGAACCGGTCAGTGTCAGATCGCCCTGCCCCGGTGATCCACGACGAGCCCGAAGAAGAAGGGGACGACGTCTTCGATGCTTGGGGTGCCATGGATGACGACGAAAAAGATGACGATCCATTCACTGCTGCTGTAGCCTCTCCCAAACCCACATCACCTGCTCCCTCATCGAGCAAAGCCCCCGCGGTACCCTACGATGATGGCGGCGAACCCGATTTCGCCGGCTGGCTAGCTGCAAAGTCTCAGACCAAAGCAAAAAATCCCCTCCCGAAGGGTCTGACCAAGGCCTCTTCTGCCAATTCCGTTACCACACGGTCAACCACAAGCACCGCTAAGCCTCGGACTGTGGTAGTGCCTAAGAAGATCGATACTAAACCCAAAGACGAGGAAACTGATGATTGGGGAGATGCATGGGATTAATTTGGAACTTCACCTTGCTCTCTTACTTTGTTTATATCCCGTCTAATGCAAGTCTAACGTGTCAATATCTAAAACCATTGGCATCTAGGGGTGTTTTGGAGTATCTGTCCTGGTGCATTGATGATATCCCCTGTACTCCCTAATAGATCTATCAATATTACCCGATCATTATTTTGCTTTCTAGTTTGACGTCCTATTGTACATATTATTTCTCGGCTGCTTCTTTTAAAGCCTCCAGCCTATTTTTGGCTTCTTGAAACTGACGTTCCAACTCCAGCACCTCCTTCTCCCTCTTTAGCACCTCCTTCTGCCTCTTCACCTCCTCCTTCTTCCTCTTCAGCTCCTCCTTTTTCTTCTGTGCCTCCTTCGCAGCCCTCTCCTTCTTTTTCTTTTTCTCTTCCATTTCTTTCTTTTCTTTCTCCTTTTTCTCCTTCTGCGCTATATCTCTCTGCTGTTTGTCCCTTTTCTTTCTTTCCAAATCTTTCTTCTTCAATTCCGCCTCTGCCTTTTTCTTCGTCATTTCTTTCATGCACTCGGCCTCAACCCTGACCATAATCTCCTCCATTCTCCTATATTGCTTGATATTTGAAGATCTCCAGTGCGTAGGATTTTCTTCCTTATCTCTCTCAATCTCGTCTTCGATCCTCTTGGTAATTTGCCGGGAACGTCGTACCAGTGAATCATCCTGAATGGGAGTCGGAGTGCGCGGTTCGCTCTCGGGATCAGATGATCTCGCCGAGTCGGATGGTTTTTCAAGCTCAGGCACTGGCTCGGGCTCTGGCGATCTCATATCGTCTAAGAACGGCTCGAGATCTAGCCCATGCCCATCCTCTAGCAATTTCTGGCGTTCTGATTGTTCCTGGGGATCTGACGTTTCGGGCTCTGACCATTCCTCGGGATTTGATGGCTCTGGCTCTAGTGAACCCCCGACTTCTGGCACCTCTGACTCTGGCTCTATCGATTCATCTGGCTCTGACGATACCTCTGACCCTGGCGAGTTTCCAGATATCAATCTACGCCGTTTAGACTTTGGAAGCTCTTGATCACAATCATCCTCTAAAGGCTCAAAATTGGGATCATCGGGGTTATCCGGGAACATCCACCCGGGATTCGCGTGAGCAGCAGGTGGAAATTCGGCGAAAAGCCATGGGAATTTATTGCCGTCTATCATGATGAACTTTTCACCGCACCTGATGTAACATTTAGCCCGGAGACGCGAGGCCCAGACAGTTGGGCGTAACGACGATCTCCGGCTTGGCCTTGGTTTGTCGAATCTCGATAACCAGCGCAGAGGCGGAAGAGACGGAGCGGGAACTCGAGGCACAGCTCGTGGTGGAACTAGAGGCAGTGGTGGAGACGATGGTAGTGCTTCCTCTGTAGTTGGAGCTAGAGATTCAGATTCAGATTCAGATTCTAGTCCCGATTCCGATTGGGATTCGGATTCAGATCCAGATCCAGAGTCAGCGTCAGCTTGCGATGACCCGTATAGCTCAAATACGGATCCCGCTTTTGACGGAGTCTCCTCTCCTATCTCTGAACTAATTCCTGCTGGATATGCGGCTGGCTCAGCTTCACGGGCTTTACGGTGAGGCTGAATTCGGATTTGTGTCAGTAATTCTGGCTGAATTCCCATATCTTGTGCCGATAACCCCTCCTCTGCGAGGCTAACAAGTGCGCCACAGACAATCTTGAATATTCGTAATGGAATGGTAATTACAGGCTCATGGTCGTGCCGACTTTCCGGTGTTGAGGGGACCGGAATCTGTACTGCCTTGCGCCGGGAGCCATGGGCGCTTGGTCTGCTTCTTTTTCGGACTCTTGTCGTGAATAGCGAGGGTGATGACAGGACTTGTTCCCGTCCTGAGTTTGCCAATACTTCGGATGAGAGCTCAGAATCATGATCATTATATGAAATTGATTCATGAGCTTGTTGTTCATAGTCGGTGCGAGAAACTGGGGTTACTTTTTCGTGGTCGACAACTCTTTCCGGCGATGCTAGTGATGGTGGCGATGGTAGGGAGATCTCCCGCCTTGATTGAGATCTAGAGACTGATCTTGACTCTGTTATTGACTCTGATTCTGATGTTCCACGGGTCTGCTGCCGATGGTCACGGCGAGAAGACGGCATGATTTCTTTGCGGCCCACGGCTCTTTCCAGCGACTCTGGCGATGGCAGGGAGCAGTTACGTTCCGATCCAGATGGAGAAACAAATTGTGATTGTGATATTGACTCCGATTCCGACGTCCCACGGGCCTGACGCACATGGTTAGGGCGAGAAACTGATGTGACTTCTGCGCGGCCCGCGACTCTTTCCAGCGATGCTGGCGATGGCAGGGATGAGTTCCGTTCCGATCCAGATGGAGAAACAAACTGTGATCGTGATCGTGCTTTTGATTTTGATGCCGATAGTTCATGTGTCGATTGCGGTGGGTCATTGTCAGAGACTGGGCTGGTTCTTTCGAAATCTACATCCATATGAGGTGGCGAAAGTGGTATGCATTCCATTTCAGATTCCGAATATATATCCGGTGAGGATGTTTCACGGGTCTGGTGCCAATTATTGCCTGATTCTGGTGCGGTCTTTTTCAATACTGGCACCCTCGGTGGTGATGATGGAGGTGATCGCAAACTCGATTGTGACTGCAATTGCGGCTGATCATGAGTCGCATCTTTATGTGCATACTCAAATTCACACTCAGCCACATCAACTATTTCCTCTTCAGGTGGGCGCGCACGCTGCAGCTGCGTCGGTTTAGATTTTGCTGGCTTCTGAACGTTGACTCGGGAGCTATTCAAGGATTGCTTTGGTTGCCGATCATTCGTGATAGAATGATTCGAGGCTGCCTGTGGCGGTTTCGACTTCACTCCACCATTATTAGGCGCATGCGGACGATTATGAGACACTGCCTGTGGAGGCTTTGACTTCAATCCACCATTATTAGGCACATTCGAATGCTGTGGTCCCCGGCTCTTATTCTTTTTCTTATTCTTTTGCCAGGCGGGTTGCTTTGTGACTCGAGTTGGTGGCGATGAAGAGATTGGTGGTGACTGCGTCTGCTGGACTGGCTGTCCATTGCCCTTCCCACGTTTCGACTTGGATCTCGACATGACTGCAAATCTCAGGGGCAGAGATGGTGGGGATTGTTGATTTTATATAGTTCTACTTATTCAGTCCCGATATAGTTAGCGTGATACCGGGGCTATTATGTATTCTCCGGTTCTCCCGGCAATGAGCAATGAAAAAAATTAGACGTTAGACCTTTTTGTAGGAAATTAGTTCAAAGAATAACATACTTCCATATACGGTAAGTGTATAGATCTCCAGTGGATCAATGTATGCGTATTGTAGATCCCGAAGTTGAGACACATTTGACAGCAACTTTATGCTGTCCAACTTTTGAACCTCTGAACTTTTGAACTTATGATCTTCCTGAATAAACTTGCTCTGAGCTTCTTACTCTTTTCTTCCTTGGCCTTGAGCTACTGCATGACATTGATGTCTCAGGACGAATAATCACCTTTCTGGGCACTGCCCGAAGACCCAATGTGAAAGTGTGGATACCAAAACTCTGCCTCGACGGGGCTCCAGAGACAAGTCCAAAAAAAGCTCAGAATATCTCCAAAGAATGACATTGATTCACTAAAATGAACGTTGCAATGGGACTGGAACTAGAAAAAGCCCAGTTAAGTCATAAAAGTGCCCAGAGACCCCAGAGAGTCCGATATAAAATTCGACTTTTCTTGACAATTTGGCCAAAACCTCACGATACCCACCAGAGAAAGCCCCTTAATCAAGCCCACACTCACCAATTCTCCCCAATATCTCCCTAGCAACCCTTTCTCCCGAACTAATAGCCCCATCAATATACCCAATCCACCTTAACGAAGTCTCCGTCCCAGCAAAATGGATCCCCGCAACCGGCGCACGCAAATAAGACCCATACTGCGTCAAAACCCCCGGCGGCATGAAAGCACTAGGCCCACCACGCGAGAAATCCTCTAGATCCCACCTCTGAACAAGAACATCCGTAGCTGTTTCCACACGGGAACCAAAAAGATTAGCAAAACTCTGCTTAACCTGCCTTTTGACCTCGTCTTCGCTCGCAGAATCCAACTTCCGCATCTCATCCGCCTCAATGAACCCCATAATCGCCCCAAATGACCCATCAGCTGGTGAGTTGTCATATGTCACTCTGATCGCACCGGTGTCACTCACACCCGCGCCGTTGAGACCCTCGTCACGCCACCAGGCGTCCGGGAAGATCGCGATGGCTTTGCCAAGTGCGCCCATCGGCATGCGCTGGTTTAATTGGTCTCGGTTAGCTGGGAGGGGTGGATCGAATGTGATGCGGTTTATTAGAGGCGGGGACATGGCGAGGACGACATGTCGTGCGGAGATGATGACTTCGTCTGAAGAGACTAGATAGCGGGATTTTTTGAGCTGGACTTTGCGCACCGGTGTGTTGAGGTAGATATTTTCAGACCCGAGTCTTTCGGCTAGTAAGGTTGCTAGTAGTTGTGTTCCACCATGAAGCCGACTGTCCTGGGCACCACCGTCGACTCCGATAAGTCGGTTGATAGTTCCAGGTCCGGTTTCATCGCCTGCTGCGGCTATACACCATAATGAATACAGTAGAGATGGCTCGTTTAATTCTGTTGATAGGATTGCTGGGATTGCGACGTCGAGGAGGGTCCGAGAGTCGGATGTGGATAATTGGGAGTTCACGTATGTTTCTAGAGTCATTGAATCTAGTGCTGTGGCGTTCGGGGTATTCCATGGGGATTCTAGGTCGACTTTGCTCGCTAGAGTATTGATGTCAACCATGAAGTTTGCGAGTTCGACGAGGGAGTCCATTCCCACAGGAGGGATACCGCCCAGATTGTCTCGATAATGACGCACCGTGCCGTTTCGATAGAATGTTGAGTTTCCTGCTGTGTATGTCTTGTATGTTGGTAAGCCGAGTTCGGCTGCGAGAGCTAATACGCGGTTTTGTGTTGGTCCGACGTATTCGCCGCCTAGTTCTTGGACGCCCTTTCCTAGGATGTTGGCGTTGAGTACGCGACCACCGACTCGGTCTCGTGCTTCTAGTGTGACGAAGGATTTGTTGGCTGTTGCGAGATCTTTGGCAGTGGAGAGTCCGGATATGCCACCGCCGATTATGACGACGTCGACTTCGCGGCAGGGTTCTGCAGCGAGTGCATGGCAAAGGGGTAGTGCTAGTAGAAATATGTGCATTGCATTAAAGGATAACCCGGTAGGAATTAGCCGCATACTTATTCTGATATTAGAATGATCGGTTCTTTTTCTTATAAGGATATGGATATTCAAACGGAAACTCCCCAGGTATTTATCACTGGACGTTATTGCCGACTACTACCCAATGTCGGAAAGTACAGAATACCACAAACCAATTCAGGCCTAGAAGCAAATTCCTGTGATTCGAGTAGTACAAGTAACAGAGGACGGAGTAGAGAGTATCGTCAGGTAGAAGTAGCTATTCATGCAAAATGAACGCCAGAAAACCTCCAAGATATCTCCTCATTACATTATTATTGCTGGCATGGATCATGGTGTCCTTGTTTCATCTTTCGCTTTCTCGTCTACCGAAGTCACGTAACCTGATGGTGACGGACAACAGGGAGTAGTTGATGTCTCATTCCAGTACAAAATATGCGATTCGGAATGGCCGCTGACCAGGGACAAGATATCTACCCTCCCAGTATGATATATGCGAGTCTTCTGAATCTTCCTCCAAGGACTCGTCATCTGATGAACCTGAGTTGGATTCACCACTTGTTATTTCAATCGGTTCTCGCGGTTTTTCTTTGCGTCGGGTCTGAGGATCTAATATTGTCGCCAGTTGTCTGTTTGAGAGGTCTGGTCCATCATCTGACTCTTCTGAGGATTCATTTTCCAAGTACGAATTGGACGATGCGCTTTCTGACGACGAATCAAACCATCTATCGTTGGATAGCAAAGGCTCCTTTTATCCTGCCGGTTGCTCTGGTTCCCCCGGTTCGTCATCTGACCCTTCTTCTGAAGATGAGTCTTCCGATGAAGACGAGGGTGACCCGGATTCGTCATTCTCCTCCTCTGGTAGGATAGAGATTGCTTTCACTGTCTCTTTGTGTTCATCTTGCGAACCAGCTTCTGGTCCCAATTGGTTCTTTAGTTGCTCTTCAGGTTCTGCCTCTGACACTTCTTCTGAGGAGTCAGCTTCCGACGATGATGAGGATGGTTCACTCTCATCCTGTTGTAGAATCGGCGCGGTTTTGGGAAAACCTTCTTCCCATTGAGACACTCTTTCTGCTAGAGCTTGCAATGTTTCTTCTTCCGGTTCCTCATCATCTTCTTCAGAGGAGTGTTCATGGTTATCCTCTTCTAGTGATGACTCTTCCGAGGACTGTTCCTGTGTCAAAGTAGAGGATCTTTCATTCTCTTCCTCCAGATGTACTGCCTCTTTGTGTGTCATTGTACGCGCAACTGGCACCTGATTTGAAATTCTGACTGGCGAAATTGTTTCTCTCTTTATTTGCACTTTCACTTCTTCCTCTGTCGACGACACCGATGATGACGAATCTGACAAAGACGATGAATAATACCTGCCTCTCGCCGCTCCGTGGTCATCATGGTCCTGTTGCGTAGCCTTTTTCAGGTGCTCATTCCGATGTGGGACTGCTTCTTCTCGCACTTCATGGGTCCGCTGCCGTTTGGACATAGATTGCTGCTCATCGATATCCTGATAGGCTCGCTTTGAAGTAGCCTTCTGCCGTGGTATGTCCCCAAACGAGGACACCAAGTGCGCTCCGAGTAGCTGGAAAGCCTCATAAACTGGGTCTCGCCCTATCGAGGCATTGTCGTTTTGCGCTGCAACCTGAAGTTCAGCCTCTCTTTTGCATTGCAACATCTCCCTCATCTCGCCTTCTGGAATCTGTTCTTTCTTAGTGTCACAGATTTCTCTAGTCCGTAGTAAAACTTACCATGTTACAGCTAATCTGCATGCGTACACAATATTCGCACGCCGTCCGCCCTGGGATGGATTGACAACGTGGATTCGCACTTTCGTGCATCCAGCGCGCATAGCATGAGTAGCAGCATTTGACAGATTGCCGTGTAGACGTAGCTAGAGCGTCCATATCCTTAGACAGCTGCGAATTTGCCGTGTCTAGCAGCCCAATTTCTTCATGCAATGGTTCTAAGTGCGCGTCCTCCATAGTCACAGACGGCGGATGACTATGGGAGTTGATTGGCAATTGATATCCGTTCTGAGAAATTGGCGTTCTTCCTCGAGGTTTATCAACCACTTGGACATCCTGCGTGCCCTCAACGGGCAGTGGATTGGAGGTCTCCACTGCATCCGGCTCGGTCTGCGGTCCCCATATCTGCTTGATACTCTCTGCAAAGTCAAATGTTCCAACGGAAAATGTTTGGACGGCTTCTGCCACTGCCAACAGAGTACGCTGGAATCTCCGATCGCTGGTCATATTGCAATGGCAAGTTGGTAGAGAGCAACTTGTGCTGGTCAATGTGATGTAGGTTGTTTGATATTGGTTCGGTCTCCGGCTAAGCTTATTCTCCGGTTCCCACTTTCAATATCAAATGGAGTTTTAAAGGGGTAGCTGAAAGACAACTGGAGAGAACTAAATGAGAGAAGAGAACAAAGAGAGAGGAGGAGGAAGGAGAAGCTTTCCCACAAACGAACAAGCAGCATCGCGAAAAACTAGGCACCACCAAGTAGTTTGATCCCAGCGCCAAATCTCATGTTCACGGTTTTGACGTAAAACAAAATGCATGGCTTATCCAAAACAGGATGAGAGGCTTAGACTATAAAATGTGATGGGTGTGCTGGTGTTTGTTAGCTTATTAGAGATGTATAACTTGGTTACCTCATAGCAATTGTTTGCCCAGGTGGGTCAAAGTGGTAGACCTTTTTATACGACCTTGCCTTGTTCACCTCTCACTCTCTTCTCTCCATCTCTAACAACCAAACCATACTTCTCCATCCTCTTCCTTCGCCTCGAATCCTTGTATTTTCCTACAAACTCCTTTCCACAAGACCTAGCTTCTGGATTGTCCAAGCTACCAGGTCATCCTACGTACTTCATCATCTCTCTACACAAAATCACATCGACTACGATCCAAGTTTAACTCCACCATAATGCCTTTCTTACTTTGGAGGGCGCAGGATATTATCGATTACCGGGCATTCGATTCCTCCACGCTATTCAAGTCTCCTCGGCTCGGGGCTTATAACAATTACCAGACCTTCGAGACCGCCAGACGGACACTTTCAATGTTGCTAGAGGATGCACCTGAGAATACTTTTCTCACACATTATCACATCTGAATGAAGTCCTCGGTAGGGGATCTGTGGTAATAGGTTGCTGGGATGCTCATTGCTTTGGGCCTTTCGAGCGCGAGCTGTCATTGGAGACTGAGCTGGTCTGGGCAGTAAGGTTCTACTACTTGATCAGTGGAATGTCAATCAATGCTAACCGGTTACTAGAAGCCTACACTTTCCATATATAGCTTGTGATTACCCCGAGAGGAAGGGATATCGATTTCAAAGCCCAACCAGTTACGGATTGGAGAAGGAACCCTGTTCTCAAACTCCACACTACAGAGAAGTATTACTAGTGATCCCTGGATACTCCGGTCTACTACCAATAGCTCCTGGTTAGCATTTATTTATACTTACCCATACGTTCATTGATAAAGTGTGAACGTCTTCACCTTTCGATACAAATCACAGATATCAATCGACACGTACCCAACGGAGTATAGCCCGGAACATGGAAAATGAGGCCCTATATCCCTTGCGCATCGATTTCGCTAGCGTCCAATAGATACTCAACCATATGCGTATGAACCATTGGGTATTTTACCAACTTTGATGAGAATACAAATTCAAGCAATCGTTTACGATTTGCGAGACCGGTAGAAGCAAAGGTACTTGGATTCTCAACAGCAATCTCAAATCAGGCCACAATTTCGAACCTGCTAGAAATACGTCGTCTTTTCAATCGATGCTGTCATGTTCCAGCGTGACTTTCTTGATCCCGACCTTCAATGTGAAGCCGAAATATAAACCTACCATTCTACGACAAAATCGAATACAGACCGATGGTAAACTCGTCACCCCGTCTGCAGAGCGCACTCCTCTGATGCATTGGATTTCCTTGTTACCAGGCATGCAATCGTCGCCAGGCCAAATTTCCCGCCGATTTCAACTCCGACGGTGACATTTATCCCGCTCGTTGATGGCCCATCGGCGAGCCCGCTATCCTATGGGTGTATGTCTCCCTTTTACCACCGTTTACACCCGTTACATACCTAAAGGCTCCATTTTACGACCCTGTATCTGGCTACTCACGCGCAAGCGGAATCACAATTCTTTCAAACATGAAGGATTCGACTTGGTGGTACGTCGTCTAGTTTCAGTCCGGCAACGAATACTAGCTCGTCAAAATGATGGATACTCAGATCGTTCACTGGGCAACGCTTTCAATAGAGCTATTGATGATGCGCGTTTACTAGTGGGGTTCCTGACATTGCAAGACGGCTTGCAGAATTCAAGTCAATTCTGGACAGTGGACTAGGCGATCGTAATGGGGCCTGCCATGTGTCGTGGAAGTCAAGCCTCAAGCTATTGATTGGCGGTCAATACAGCGAGGGAGGTACTGAGGACTACAGCGATAAGGACATTGGGAAACTGGGTAAGGCGCAGACATACCCTTAATCTGTACTTCGGATAGAATACTAATGATACGGATAGAAACACTCAATGTCCGGCTACTCCTCCAGCAGCCAACTGGGGACCCGCTATGAATGCTAATAATCTACTAGTCCCGTTCATGCTGTTAGTGCGAAAGGGCTTGGAAATGATCTCCTAGATAGCTACAGCATTAGCTATCACGGAGTTTGGCACTCATACGAGAATGAGCACACCACGACAATGAATCGGTAGGCTCTACCGCTATAGCACCCATGAAGCACAACTAATCAATGGCCTATAGATGGATCATGCTCATACTGTGCGCGATGGACATCTTTCATTGTCTTGGGGGTTTCCGCAGTATATATAAAGTATTCGGCAAGGGACCAAACCAAACTCCACTAGACATGACGGCTCCGCCGACATGCGAGAGGCTGTTATCCAGTCTCCGTACAGATCAAAACTTTCTCCAAGAATATCCTTTGGAGGGCGAGCCCCGTTTCCCCCAATAAATGGCTGTGATCCCGTTAAGCATCGCCATTCACGTTAAATGTGGCTTGATTGCTGCTGTTCTATCGTGAATTTATTGATAGGAATCTCTACTTGACGATGACATGATCCTCGGGAAGAAGAGTGGTGCAATAGGGTTATTGACAAAGTGACCTATCATGCCTTTCACTATACAGCGACTTTGCAAATGGTCAGACTATGTGGATGATGTGGTTTCATTTGATACTCGATGGAATCCAACGAGTTTGTCAAAGCTTAGGGTTACAGATCCATTCATCGCTTCAGGGAGCATCCTCATGGGATTGCAACCAAGACCACATTGTCAGTCCTGATTGGATCCCAATCAAATGGTATCGATTCTCGGTGCTGCCAATGCACTCAATGAACTCATCATTTCTTCTTCGGGAGTTTCTTTTCTTCATTTATAATCATGGGTGTAACGGCACAAGTCAACGTCTCAGAAGATGCAAGAGAATTTTATGACGAATATGTCACCAAAGATACGTATGCGCACTGAAAAACGTGCTAGCCTATCACTGAGGCCCTTACTGCCCCCACAACTGTGAGTACTCAATCATTGAGATTATCTAGTTATTGGGAGATATATTGATTGTACAGGCCAACAAAGTGAGAAAAAGTCGAGGCAAACAGTTAAAAGGTAACTCACACAATCAATATTGAGATCTCCATTTGGTCTTCACGGCCACTCGCATTCTGAATGAAGCTAACCCACAAACACAGACATACTTGCCCGTGAGAGAGGTGAAGTGTATACCGCAAAGAATAAAACAAGACCACTGATATTTTGGAACTATGGAATCAGAGAGGATAATATATAAATCCAGGAAAGAACTGGATCATGGTGGACCGTGATCAATGGAGATTGTATTCAATGGTCGCCGGTATATCCAGGCCAGGCAGGGGAACCACAGGAGATGTATGATCCATATTAGAAGCCAGAGAGTATAGCCAACTACAAACCCAACATTATATCCATCAATTGTTGTCGAATCTGGCCCCCACTGCCAAGGCTAAACATCGAAGATGTTTATTATTTTGTAGTTCACGTGATGGATCTTACTGCATATGGCCCCTCATCACTAGCCCCTGATCTTCAAAAAGATCCCTAGACCAATTTTTGATCCATATGGCCGCTTCCAACTCAACAGCTCTGGTCAGCTGGCAGTTAGAGGATGGCGGCCGCTCTACATGGGCTCTGGTGTGGTCCTGTTTGGTAACAGTATTCGCCTGTACCTGGACAGTCCTACACCCGGACCTCCCTCGGCGAAACTCGCCCACAGTGCGAATAATTATTGCGAATTTTGGATTTTGGCTCCTCGCTATCTTTTTCCCAGAATATGTCTTTGTACACGCTTCATATACGCTTTACCGAGCAATTCTATTGAAGAGGGTGTGCAACCAAGCACAGCAAGCCCGACATCTTGAATCAGTGGACCGGGACGCTTGGTTGTCTAAACGGGCTAGACCACTAGAACAAGCGCAAGACAAAGACTCTGCTGGCCCCCATCCATTTCGCTCCGAGTGGACGCTTCGAAAATGTTTCTGTATCATTGCTGGTGGGCTTTCCTTGCAGACCCAGGATGGGTGGACTTACATCTTCCGACAAGGCGATATACAACCATTCATTCAGGCTGGTATCATCGAAGATGTGGACTTCCATGATCGTGATGTTGAAGACCATGCTAAAGCGGATTCCTTGGGAAAAACATTCACTGTCATTCAAACTTCCTGGTTTCTGGTCGACATGATAGCAAGATGGGCAAATTCTCTGCCGGTTGCACCGATCGAACTGGGGACAGTCGCTTATATTGCCTGTGGGTTAATGATGTATGCCGTGTGGTGGTATAAGCCCAAGGATATGAGCACACCCATCACGATTTATATCAGATGCGATCGTGACAATTTGCCGGCCCACCTTCTTGACCACACTGCAACAAATCCCCGTGGTTGGGTTCACATTCGTGCTCAAATAAAGCAAGCAACTGTGTCTTCAGTTTTTGCGCAGGCTGCTAGATTCTTTGCTGATCAATTTTGGATAACGGACGACGAGGTAGTGGAAACTGTCCCATATACCAGTCTCTATAAGCCGTCTCATATATGCATTATGACCGCTGTCAATACCTTTGTTGCATTTCTTTACTGTGGTATTCATCTTGCTGGGTAAATACCCTTCAACTATATTGGCTGCTGCTATTGGTGTACTAACAAATGACTGATTTTTCTAGATGGAACTTTCAGTTTCCTACTGAGGCTGAACGAATTACTTGGATTATCTCGTCACTTGCTTGCATTGTTTTGGTGGGTATCTACAGCATTGTAAGTGTCATGCCTACATATGTGGAATGGTTTGAGTCAAGAAACTTGTTTTCCTTCTATACGAAGCCATTCAATGCTCGAAAACGTGTTATCTTTCAGATTATTATGTTTATTGAGCTTTTTTGCTTCATCATATACATCTGTTTACGTTTGATCATTATGGCTCTAGCTTTTTCTACATTGAGGGCTCTTCCAGCCCGCTCCTATACGACTGTCGAATGGGTGATGAGCATTCCGCATGTTTGAAATGGGCTAGGTAAATTGGAACCAGTGGTTTGGGGAATGAAAAGAGGGTATAGAGAGGAAATGTTGACTATTTAACTCACGTTATATTCATAAGTCCACAGATTTCTGAATCAATGTTCTGTATAGAAGAATGAGGAGAACTGGCTGTAAACAAACAGGTAAATAGAGAATTGTATCTGACGATGCATGGATGTGTCACAGTCAAACAAAAGTCCATGGGGTATGCACTCTCTCTCTTGTCATAGTTCCTTCCCCTTTGGGATTTTCTTTTGAAATCTCGGTTCCTCCACCTGCTTTTCTTAAATGCCAAGTATCTTGTTTTCACAGACCTTCCTCTGTCATCAACTTTAAGTCTCAGACTTCCAAGGTTAAGCCACTCACTACCAAACCCAGCCAAGAAGTCACAAACACTCATCAAACCATCACTATGGGTCGATGGGGATGGCGTTAGTACCCCAGTCACTAGCCTTTATTCTATTCCAGATCTAACTAACAGGTCATCAAGGTCTCTTCGAATGCGATCAGGACCTTGACGCCGTTTTCAATTTAACCCATGAACTAGGCATCGACATCGATTCCTGGGAGTACAGTTTGAGCTCTATGGTTCATCAAACCGACATGCTAGTACCGCCAGAAGCTATCGCCATGTACAACACTCCGGCATATGCGTATCAACTAGCCAACCACATCATTCCATACATCCGCGAGAAGCTTGATACCGATAATCTCGGAGAGCAGCTCTTCGCTGCCTGTCGCGCCAAGGAAAACGATACTGATGACATCTCCCGAGAGCCCAAATACCAGACTATCATCCTGGGTGCTCTGATGATGCGCTGTGGTGCTCGCATCAACGCAGCGGGCATGGAACATCTACGTGATATAGTGCCCCAGGTCGTCTGCAGCCCGCGCTGGACGCCTTTCACCGACCTTAGCTTCAGAACTCCAGGAAAAGCTCAATTCCTTGCTGCGTTGGATCACTATGAGCCTGGTGTTCCACGCAGCTTCCAGGAGCCTAGGTGAGTTCTACCTTGAAAGGCTGGGGATTACGTACAGTTTATGCTAATGACCCTGATAGCTGCTTCACGTGTGGAAAGATCGAGGCAGATCTCGGTCGTAAGCCTCTGAAATGCAAGAGATGCAAAGTTGCGACCTACTGCGGCAAGGTATGTAGGATACCATGCTTCACTCAGAGTTCTAAGTCATGTTTCTGTATACTGATTATCCATAGGACTGTCAGACCGAGCAGTGGAACGAGCACCGCCCGAGCTGCGTTCCTCCCCACCGACGCCGTGTAACGAACGTCTGATCGCACCTTTTGGGGGATTCAAATGACGCCGGGGATGGCAAAGACGAATACTATGATGCTTCTGACTGCTTTGTGTTCTGGGCTTTTACCGCCATATTCGCAAGCATATTAATCAACTTTCTTATTCTGAGAGCTGGTATCTGATATTCGACAGATTTCATTCCAGAGAATCAGTATTATCACAGCTATGAAATTTCTCTCAAACCATTCATGAAGTGTCTTTTGAGATATCATGTGACATAGAATAATTAGGGAAGGTGCAGGGGAGGGAGGGTAATCCATTTTAGGAAGGTACGCGGGGTGAGAGACTATAAAAGGACTCCCCCACCTTTCTTCCTCTTTTCTTCTTCCTGTCCCCAATCCTCCCTGTCTCACCGTAGCCCATCCGAGGCAGCGCAGAGGGTGGTCCTCGAAAGACATCAACACCAAGTTGTTGAGGCCTTCGAAGGTCCGAATACAAATCAAATTCCCAGTTCTCGTGCGAGTCCTGATAAGTTGGTGACTGAATCCTTGGAATTCAATAGTCACTGACAGATCCCACGGAATACATGAATAGGGGGTGTTTTGACCCCTATTATTCTTATACACTAGTCACCTAGATAGCTTCCAGTATTATTTATGTTCTGTGCTAGTACGATTTATGAACAAAGCAAGGTTATGATTGTGGATCTTGAGCAAGTTGAAATTCTCGACGATCCTAAGCCCTGGCATCTCAACGTGCGTCTCTAGCAGCGCGGGGACAGTGAGTGACGATTGCTGTGAGGCATTTGGCGACTGGCATTTTTGGAGGATGCGTCGCAGGGCTGAGCGACCTGTGGTGCTATAAAAGAGAGTAATGATTGTTCAGCCCTGGGGAAGAACAAGTCACGCAAGTCAATACAAACGGGGCCCTTAAACACCTGTACTGTGATTTTCTCAAGGTACCAATATCATACGAAGACCTCGGTATCTTCAACATGCTGAGGATATCGGATTTAGTTTGGAGGGATGGGCTTATCTCGGTCAATACTATGTATTGACAGAGGTTATCTTCTCTGCAAGTGATTCTTAGGTTAGAAAGAGATAAGGAAAAGCACCGCCAGCTGCACTTGAAAGTTACTAAGTTAGATGTATGTTATCATTCTTGTCTGGTCCTTCGTGTAGAAATATGAAGTTGTAGATATCTGCATAACAATTATGCATTTTCCACTTATGCCGAATTATGCACCCGCTCCCGTGGACCCTTAAATCTGCCGATCCCGTCGTGCCACGACATCAAACCATCAAACCATGTCCTCCAATGAGAAAAAGCGCCTCCGAGATCGTCGCTCACAGCAGACTCTCCGCGAAAAGAAGCTAAGACATGTAGCCAAGCTCGAAGAGAAGGTGGCGCACTGCGAGCAGCATCACAGCGACCAAGGCGTGCAACGCCTTCTCCAAGTAATCAATGGACTCCGCAAGCAAAATGAAGCTCTTGTCACGCGCCAAAAGAGCTTAAAATCCTTGGTCAACTCCTGGGAAACAGAATTGGATGAACCAGCACCCACCGATGACTCTCCCCATGACTTGTCATCTGTATTTGAGGAGATGAGCAACCGAGAAGCCCAATTCTCCCTGCAAACGAACTTCAACGAACCAATACCCCAGCACGAAATAAGCAGTCTTCTTAACACCCCAATTTCCACTTTATCCACGCCACCGCAATTCCAATCTTCATTTTTGGAACCTCTTTCCGCCGAAATCACACCTCCGTGGAAACAAATCCCTCCACACACTGACAACTTCACTACACGAACAATGATGTCCTGTCCATGGTTCATTCCAGAGCTGATACTCCCATGTCCGGACGTGCCCGATTCCCCCCTGGACTTGCTGTACGGCACGAAAACAAACCCACTAGCAGACATGATCCACACGGCTCTGCAACGTCGCCCAATCCGCGATCCGGAGCGACTAGGTAGTGGCTGGCTGACTTATCACTTCTCGAGATGGGTCCTTGCGCCAAGTCCAGAGACTTATAATCGACTCCCTGTGTTTCTACGGCCTGTGCAGGGGCAGATGACAATTCCGCATCCGCTTGTGTTAGATTTCCTGCCGTGGCCAAGGATAAGGCTCAACATGATTCGGCGGTGGCATGTATATGGCAAGGACCGGGATTATCTGTTTGGGCTCCTCGCTTGTTGTGTGAAGCTTCGTTGGCCTTGGAACGAGAAGATCCTTGAACGGAATGAGCGGAATGAATTGTGTATCAAAAAAGCGTTTTATGAGTTGTTCACGAGCGAAAGTGGTTGGGGGCTTACGCCGGATTTTATTAGACGATATCCTGATCTTGTGGAGGGGATGGATATTAATCAAATTGTGATTGAGCTTTTGTAAGGAATGGCAAAGTTGAAGTGCAAAAATTCATCTTCTATTATGCTCTATTATGCTCTATTATATGAATTGTGCTTATCAAACTTCTAATGCGAGTCATTAAACATCATCCCGATGATGGAGACAGACAAGGTTGATGCGGATGGAGGAGGATGCCCTTGAAGATAGTGGCTTAAGCCTTCTTACCATCAAGATCAACCGGCCACTTCTCACGAATCACCTTTCCGTACTTGATGAAGACAATAGGAATCGGGATGAAGGCCAAAGCCAGGAACCCGAGCAATGAGTTGCCCCATCCGAGACCCAAAGCCTCAAACATCTTAGGTCCAGCAAGTGGGAGCAGAGCTCCAACCAGGGAGCGAGTCGCTGTCAAAGTGGCATTGGCGGAGGCTGCATATTTGGGATAACAATCGATGACATATGTCTGGATAGGCATGTACACACCCATCATGCCGACTCCGAAGGGGAACATGCCAATGATAGGCACGATCCAGAACACGGCCTTGTCAGCTGACCAGCCGTACCAGAAGAAGCTGATTGGCAGGATGCAGGCGAAGATTATCATTGTCGGGAGACGCATCTCGGGTTCGAACTTGCCACCGTTCTTTGCTGTGGCTGCCATGACCATGCGATCGTTCGTAAAGGCGATCATTGCGAGACCGCCGATGAAACCGAAGCCAATGCCGAGATAGGCAAGTCCTGAAAGGCCAACGGAGAAGCCGTATGTCTTGGTGAAGACGCCCGGGATGGTGGTGAAGAAGAGGTAGAGCAAGCCGTAGACGAAAGACTGGAGATAGTTAGTAAACCACATTTTGTAATAGATCTTGCGTGTATCACGGCCGAACTTAGACTCACCATATAAATGCACAGGAGGAACACAATTGGCGACTTGAACAACAACAAAATGGGCCTCTTGAAACTCAGCACCAGTGTCTCTCTCAAGCTGACAGGCCCGCTATTGGCGTCGTAAGCACTGCGCAAGTCCGTTCTGCCGGTCTCCTTCGCGAGTTTCTCAGTCTTCCAGCGAATCAGAACATCGGCGAATGTCTCTTTGTTCAGAAGCTCAACACCGAATGAGACAACACCTCCGACAATGAGCAGAAGCCAAAACACCCAGCGCCAGCCAGCCTCCTGTCCGAGGAATCCACCTGCGATGGGTCCAACCACAGGTCCAATTAGTGGTCCCATAGCCCAAACGGAGGTTGCCATGCCGCGCTGCTCGCGCGCGAACAGATCAGCGATCACACCGGCGCCGAGTGTTAGACATCCCGAACCGCCGATTCCGGCAAAGAGGCGACAGATGATGAGGGTTTCGATGTTCGGTGCGAGTGCGCAGCCGATTTGCCAGACGACGAAGAACCAGTTTGCACCGCTAAGAACGATGCGGCGTCCGTAGACTTCGCTCAGAGGGGCGAGTAGAAGTGGGCCGAACTAGATCCGTCGTGTTAGGTTGGATTGCATAGATGATGAGCGCGGGGTAGACTTACTGCATAGCCGAGAATGTAGATGCTGACACTGAAAGACAAGATTGTCTGATCCATTACTTTGAACTCCGCTGCCACGTATGAGATGGCGGGTGAGAACATGCTTGAGGCGAGTGGGGAGATGAGAGTCATGACGCTGATCAGGGACAGCAAGGCCCATTTTTTGTTGGCGGGGAAGTTCTGGGGATTATTGGGGTCATCTTGTCCGTCCCAGCCTACTATTCCACGACTGAGGTCTGTCACTGGGAATAGTTCACTAGTTGGTGCTGATGTTTCGGTAGGTTGATTTGTTGTCTGTTTTTCGAGATCCGGGGTTTGTATTCTGACGCTGTCCCCTTCGTTGAGGGTTGCGTTGGTCGAAATGGACTCTTTCTGGAGAGTATCCATGGTGGGTGACAACCTTGAAGGTGTTCGTGAATATAGAATAGACGCTTGGCGAGTGGGAGTATAGAAGGAAAGGAAAGAGATGATCGTGCCAAGGAAGGGCGAGATTAAATAGTCTTAAATGAGTGGAAGACAAGGAAGAATCAATCAGATATAAGGATAAATTTTTAAAGAAAAAATAGAACAGGTTACGATCAGCGAAGAGTTATCCGTTTGTATAAATTCCCGCTGGAATCTTTGGCTCCGGTCGGGAGAAATCCACCGAAATTGGCGTTATTAGTGGCGTTATATTGGGACATAACTACTATTATACTCATAAAAAGGCTTCATAAATTGACAGGATTCGGGTAACCAGACGAAGTATTTAAATTTGGACCCCAAGCGATGATTCAGTGCTCCACTTCTACCTCACTACTAACCAATCATATTACTTTATATCGTCTAGAATCTCCAGGCGCTGAATCATTGCTAGTCACAAGTCCCGTGGTTCCAGTGGTGGGGCCACTTTCATCTCGCGTGGAACCTTATGTTTATTTTAATGCGCATAACTGTCTTCACGGGATAGACTAGGGAGATTTCATTGGATGTAGATACTACACTTGATGGAATAAGCCTCGATCACACAATCTGTTCTTCCATACTGATCAATCTCTCGAAACACCCTTTGGAAAACATCATATTCATTCCCTTCTCAACGTCGTTGAACACATTTCATATCTTAGCGGCCGAACAATGCACTTCGTTTCCATGGTCACCTTACAACAAAGGCTAGCCATGTAGTCCGTATGCTCTTGCCTCTTGTTGCACACTCAGAGTTCTTCAATGGAACGACCTGGCTGCTCCAGCGAGTCGAGGTACTCCAACACATCGAAGTAAACGTTCTCAAAGTAGCCCTTGGTAACATCCTGGACGATGTTGTCCATCTTCTCAAGCTGCTCATATCTCACAGTGACAAAGGCTTTTCCCACATCAGCCTCAATTTCTGTCAGCAACATCAACATGGGGACGAAGGGGGGAATTCCCATTTTCATGTTCAAGGTGTGTGTGTACTTCTGCATAATACCATACACAAACGCCCGGGCAGTAGGATAATCGCTTCGCTCACACTGGATAAACTTGAACAGAACACTGGAGATATCCTCAAAGTGTTCCGGGGGGCTGCGGTTGAACTGTTTGAGAAACATATCGGCACCCATCATGAACTCATCTGCAAGTTGAGCGCGAGGTAGTTCTTTCACAATCATGCGCACAAGGATCGGATCAACATTCCACGCAATCCAGTTGCGGACCTCGATCGACATCTGTTGCCACTGTCTAGCATTAGGCGAGTCCTTGTAGGGGCGGGGAATGGTAGAATCAATGAGCCGGTGGAGGTTGTGCATCTTGAGCGTGTAGAAGATCTCCTTTCGCCACTCTTCGTAGTGGGAAGGGTGTTTCAGAACACAGGGAAATCGGTACAGCGCATAGCACTCGATGTCTGGCAGCTGAAAGGCCTGGTCCAATTGACCATTTGGCGGTCTCTCAGCTGGCAGGAGGGTCGACCAATCGCGAGTATGCTCAATAGGCATCTTGGCGTGTTGTTGTAAAGATCTCTGTTAACTGGTGCTAGTTGCGGTAAAGTGAGAACGTACTCCTTCTGGACCTATACACAAACCCACCACGTTAGTTCATAATTATTTCAAAATGCTCACAGTGGAAAATTAAACACTCACTGTATTGGACAATTGAGTAAAATGTCAGACTATGTCACTGGTGCGAGGGTCGGTCGTGTGGGTGCCTCTTTTTGTCTCTCAGTCAACAGTCGAAAACAGGACGATAAGGGATTACTTACCACAATGGACACGACCGAGTAGCCTGATAGATCAATTAGGATCTTTCAGGCTTCTCACAACTGTATTTGACTGAAATCGATGAAAAAGGATGGGGGTGTAGGGAAAGTGGGGAGGAATAAAGAGGAGATGGTGAAGGTCGAAGGGTCAAGGTGAATGTATGAGACCCAAAACAAAGCTTCACTTGCAAGTGACCCCGCACGTGCTATAAATTAAGCGAAGACATTCAAAGGTGCTATGTATACTCAGTCCAAGAATGAGTATACCGACCCTACCAGTGTACGCCCATTGACCGAAGCAAAAACACCAACCCATGAACTGTAGATGCCTGCCATCCAGCATAGGTACATATGTAGTATGAATACATCTACAGCAGATGAAACAGTAATTTAGACTTGTAAATACTTCTGTTGAATACATGCTTCAACATTCCAACCTTAGAACCTACTTATCCAGCCCTGAAGGCATATGTCAATTTACCTAATGGTCTTTCCCAAAACTGCTTTCTAATAACAGTGCTAGTAATAATTTACCTAAATCTTGAAGTTCTGGCTCTAACACAACCAGCTTGCTTCACTTCCATGGTTGATTAGCATTTCAATGTTGACAATCTTTAAATTATATACTGCCTCAGCTTCAACGACGAATACATCTTTAGAGAGCAAGTGAAAATTTGATTTGTCGGCGCGAACGAGGACATTGTGATAGACATAATTAGCTCTTTGATACTTAGCTCTCAAAATGTTCGTTCAATCTTAGAGACACATTCGATTTGTACATGTCCACGCACATCTGAATCTTAGAAGGTTAGTCCTTGGCAATCGATAGGTCTTATCGGCCTTATCAGGCTTATCGGCCTTATCTTATCGTCTCTGCCAATCTCCCGCGGTCAGGTTGTCACTTCCTTCACTCCTCCACCTACTTCGTCTGTTCCCATTCATAAGGGTCTTGTATACTCTTTGTCGTCGTGGCTACCACTCGATTGATATCCAGGTATGACATCATCTCCTTCAAAAATGATGCGCCAAGACTTTACGCTGACAGTCCCCCGTTTACAGCAATCCTGCTGCCTTCCACCGCCCCTAGGGGTCCTTGTTGTCTTATCACGGCATGGGGATTCGGGTCTGACAAGAGATCTGTAGCCCTCCCTAGGCCACTACGTTTTTGCCGTACTTTGATATTTCCTGGCCGACCGTAACCGCCCTCTCAAAATGGACCAAGAAGAGGCTCCACCACCCCCGTACTCGCCCGTCGATCCATTACTCGCGCCAGCGAACAGCCGAAACAACAGCTCTTCTCAGGCCCCAGTTCCTCCTGGGGCTAGCGTCTCCCCGACGCAGGATGCCAGTAGTTCTCGCGTCCCATCACCGCCGACAGTGGTGCCGACGCATTTCAGATCCGCCGCTGCGTACTTTGAGGAACGGCTTCCCTCGGTGTTAGACGAGAGCCGGGATATTCTGCACCATCATATGACCATCTACCCCCGGAGCCAAGCTAAAGATTTCCCGCGGCGGCCGCGGTGCTGGGCCTCACGGTTAGATGAGATTACCCAGCAGGACTGGGATACCTTCTTAAAGTATCTATTTCCGCCACAATTAGGGCTCGCCGCATCCTCTCAGCATCTCCCGCGCCAATTACGAGCGGAAATTAGACGAGACCGCAAAGACCGCCCACAGGAGACTGATGAGCAACGGAAAGCTCGAATCGCTGCCGTTGTCACCGAATGGAACGAATGTTTCTTCGGGTACCGCGCGACTCAGATTGTCTTTATCTATGTAGGCGAACCTGATTCTGCGCCATCGTCCGCTTTATGCCCCCGATGCTATCCAGCTGCAACGGGGTCGATAGACAGCCAGCCAGTTCGAAATTCAAACGCTCCGTTGCCGGTGCCTGGGCACGTTCCTTCGCCGACCCCTTGGCCAATGCCTCCTCCTATGTTCAACAATCCCCAAGTATATGTGCCTCCTTCTCCTTCCCCGTATGGGGCTTATGGTGTTCCTCCATACCCTCCCCCCATAGCTCCTAATCAACCACCTCAATATTACCCCCATCCACCACAAGCCGCATGGCAATGGAACAATTGGAACCATCCCCAGCAGCAACCGCAGTATCACAACAATGGCGTGTCCAAGGGCGGGTCCCGTGGGTGGATTTCACAGCTGGCATCACAAGCCCAGAAATATGGAGAGCGATTTAGCGAACAGGCGCAACAATATGGGGACCAAATCACTGCACAGGCACAGCATTATGGACGGCAGGTTGAGGAGCAAGCTCTTGCACATGGCCGCTGGATTGAAGAACAGGCAAGACTTCATAGCCGGAAAGCACCAATGGCTGGACCTCCGTATGGTGGTGGCTATTACCCCCGCCCGGCCTGGGACTCCTCGCCTCGTCCCGTGGCCAACGTCCCAATAGCACCCATTCAAAGCCCCAGCCCTGTGACAAGTCCTAATCCGACGAGTCGGCCTGAGACGAACAGTCAGATCGATAGCAACAAACCCAAGCCCCTAGCAGATCAACTTCTGATAGAGCCTCCCGCCACCGAACGCATGAGACGGTTATCAGTGAGCTCAGTCTCATCCGAGTCCTCCTTCAGCTCAATTGACTCCATCTCGACAACATCGGACTTGGGTGTTTCAGACCTTGCTACAGTGCGCACCCAGCTGGAACTTCTAGACGATCGTCATGATCGGGTGTTATATGACGCCGCCGTCGATCTTCGCCGGCAACTGTCAGTCCTGCAAGAGTCCCGCAGAGAAGCCAAGTTCTCCGGTAAAAACAACTGGCGAGCTGGTTTCAACCAAAGCCAGCAAAACAACCAACAATCTAGTGCCGCGGACTGGGGTCGCTGGGACTCACCCGAGCAGCAGCAACGCAATTCGATTGACAGACGTGCAATGAAAGAAGAAATGCGCGCTACTAAGAAAGCATTCCGAGATACGCTGCGCCGAGCACGGGACGAGCAGCGCGAACGCCGCCGCACTCGACGCCGCCAGGTCCGACAAGCTCGCGCTAATGACGGCGATAAGGCAAAAAATATGTATGACCAGCCTCTAGATCAGCAGCTTGGGACGTTGCGGCTGGAGGATTCTCGGCAGTCTAACCCGCCTTTGCCTGTGCGTCCAGTCAACACACAAACGCAGCCTAGTCCGGTCTCTACGCCGACTAGCTCGAGTGTCGGCTTTGGATTTGCTTCCAATCCCCCATCTCCTGCTGGTTCACGGCCCAGTACGCAGGAGTTGACATCTACTGATGACTCCGCCGCTGCGAGGAAAGGGAAGCCGACTGATACACCGAGTCGGTTAAAGGACATGCTCTTACCACGCAAGGCGAAGAAGTATGATGATGCGGGAAGTAAATGATCTGGAAAATCTGGATATTGTTGATCTTTTCTTTTTTTTAGTTCTTTTTTTAGCCTGGTGTTCGATATTTCCTTGGGAGGACGGCAAAATCTTGCTCTTCGATTTATATAGTTCGAATCTCGACATCCACGTCGACGAAGTTACGATTCACATTGATACATAGCGAATTCCAATTCGCACATCCACAGTCCGATATACTGAAATGAAACTTTTTCCAAAAAGATCTATACATACAAAGGGCATTCCCCATTTGCATCTATATGCACCTAAGCATTCGCCTCATTCTTCTCAACCAAATCACCGACTCCAAGTCCCCTCCCGACCTTAACCCGAATCATCTTTTCCGCATCCTTCTTCCCAAGATCCCCAACCTCCTCACCCTCATCCTCATGTCCCTCATCCCCATTCTTCTCCTTATTATTCTCCGCATCCCGCTTCTCAATAGCCTTCCAGTCAAGCCACATGTTCTCAAGATTCAACCGCATAGCATACGCATCCTCCCCATCAGCATAGTATCCATCCTCAACCTTCTCAACCTCAAACCCAAGGGTATCACGGTAAAGTCGCAGCGCAGCAACGTTCGACATGCGCACATGGAGCGAGACGAAATGCGCGCGGTGGGATTCGGCCATTGCGCGTTCTGGACGTAGAAATTAGAACCGGATATACAAAAAACAATGCATGCAGAATCAAGCATGCAAAATCAAGAATTCACTCACGGCTCATCCGCATCAACTTCTCCGCAATCCCAAGCCGTCTATGCGTGCGCATAACACTCAGACTGGTAATATGACCATGTTGCTTTCCATCCGTAGGTTCCTCCTCCATCTTGGCGAGGACATATCCGACGACTTTCGGATACTCGCCGGAGACATTGCCTGCCATGCCGGGTCCGGTGCCTTGTTTGTATCCTCCGCGCGGACGCATGACCGCGACGAAGCTTAGCTGCGGCCAGGTCAGGGCATGGTAGAGGTAGTATTTTAGGAAGTAGTTCTCGGGGAGGTTTGTTATGTTGCAGGTTTGGATTGAGGGGAGGAGGTCGATGTAGGAGGGGTAGCTGCTTAGGGGGACGATGTCGACCATTTTGGCGTGTGTGTTGGTGAGGTGGGTTTGGGAGGGAGAGTTGGGTGTGGTGGGGAGGTCATGTGATGTCGAGATGGATGATAAGTTAGTTGCAGTTTGGATAACATAGATTGTTGATGTTTTGGTTTTTATTTTGAAAATAGTTGTGTTCTTTGGAATATCTCATAGTGTTTGTTTTCTAGGGAACTGCATCTACTTGATTATGCTGTCGAATAACTACAACTTTGTAAGTACTATATCCAAATCATATCCAGTACTATGTGATATGTATGAAAGAAAAGAAACCTAGCGCCGACGACCGGTCCGGTCATGCACCCAAAAACATTCATGGATATCGTGGAAATCAAAACGCAGAAATCATCATCTGCACTCCCACTGCCACCAGAAGCACTGTCGACATACCGGCAGGAACCTCGCGCAGCGCGCCGGACGTTTTGCCACAGCATTCACCGTTGTAGGTGACATTGTTCATCTGGGCAGCAACCTCGAAGACTGAGCCGTTGAAATTGCCGTAGTTATAGTAATCGACCAGGAGGAAGTTGGGAGGACGCCCCCAGGTTTCTGTTCAGGGGTTAGCAAGACAAACATCTAGAATAAAGTAGTCGAAACTTACGGTTACACTCCCTGGCCATTTCACCGAGACTACCACTGCCATTCACAGCATTGGTCTCGCTAATCTCAGCAGTATTGGGAATCAACATGCTCAGAGCCCCGAGATTCAACTGTAGGTTCAGATTGTGATTGGCCATGTACATGCGGTTCTTGGCAGCTTCCTTGGACAGACCCGGTGGACGTTGTTGTGTGCATGGGAATTTCGGATCGGTGGGTGAGAAGGGCGTCTCCCACACCTGGGAGAACTGATCCATCAGCCATGGGTAGGCGGTCTGATTAGCTTCGTAGTCCATAAAGAAGACTGCGCGCTTCTGCCTGAGAATCATATCCGAGAGTGTAGGCCAGTCATTCAGAGCCATTGGGATCTTGGGAGGGGTGTAGATGAGGTCCTTCAATCCGGAGTCGAAGATCGGGATGGTGAAGTTTTCGGGCTTGACATAGTCGAAGTTGCCGATGATGAAGGTTACCACATCATATGGATTCTTTCGCATCCACGTGTTGACATCGGACAGGTATGCTTCGAGGGTACCGACGTTGAGCAATTGGCAGTTTGAGTGGCACAGGTACATCGTGCCATTCTCGTAGTGAGTTTGGAATTGCACTGATCCATAGGTTAGTTGCCTATTCTGAATTCTGCACCACTCTACTTACACGTGCGAATTCCATCATTCAATTGTGTTGTCACGTCTAACACCTGGTTGGCGGCGACGCTGTTCTTGCGCACGAACGGGCTGTTGTGCGCTGCGACATTGGTAATGTTGGAATACTTCCTGACACAGAACTCGGGGTAGTTGTTGCATGGTCGTGTATTAACGACAGGCGCCTTGGTAGCTGTACTAGTTGTAGTCGCTGTCGCGTTCATGCTATAGTTCCCGATCACTGTTGTTCCTCCACCGCCCACTAGTAAAGTCAAGGAGTCGGAAGTTGTGGTGACGGCCGTCTGGTTGGAGGCAGTCATTGTACCATTATGATGGGAGGTCACTGGAACGACCGACTTATCGCCATCACTTAATGTGATCGTTGTGCTAGGTTCTTGGTAGCTACCCGAGGGAAGGGCCACGGGTGTTGTGACCGACACAACAGTAGGCTCATCGGTGGTTTTACCCGACTCGGTAGAGGATTCGGAGGATGAGTCCTGGGCCACGGCAACGGCGAGGAAGGCGAGAAGGATTGTAGGCCACCTCATTGTGTGTGATATGGTATGTGCCTAAGACAGGAGGAAATTCCAAGGTCTGAAGCCCAGCCCTGGAGTCCTGGAGATAGTAACTTACCTAAGCGGTGGAGTTTTCCCTTTTAACAGTGACGTTGATCAAGAAGATGAACCAATTATATTTTTATATCATTTAGGGGGGGCGAAGTGGAAAAAGTGGAAAAGTGGAAAAGTGGGCTGTGATCTCTCCTTAGCTGCCTGAATACTCTCCGTATTGGTCTCTCCGTGTTAGCTTATAGTTTCAATGTCTCACTAAAAACACACACACACACACTAATTATAACTATTCTTCTACCTAAATTTTTGATCATAAGATATGTTATTTCCTATTTCGAACCTCGAATACCCTCACCGTTGTTTATTAGATGAACGTGGGTGATCGTCGTTGCAGGCCAGGGGCGCCACTAGTGTCCAGCCACTGACGATCTCCGACGATCTGATGGGAAATTTCTTAATTTTTGAATCGAATAAAACCAATAAAGTCCACTAAATCCACTATCATCCACAAGTAAAAACAAGAGCTTCAAATATATTTTGCCCCTAAAGGCGATCGGGATACTTTTCATCGCCTAACGTCATCCCGAGGAACCCTAATTCTCTTCTTCTCTCTTGACTTGAAACACTTCTCTCCTTTCTCTCTCTCTCTTTACATATTCTATCATGCATGGGACTGGGAGAAAGCTTCCCTTTTTCAAGTCCACAACTCCAGTTGACCGTCGGCGCAAGTCCACTGTACATTGGCATCGCTTGTTACGGTCGCTGTTGTATTTGATCGCTTGGATCTTTTTAGTCCTGGTAGTCATTGGAAATATCTCTAATAAACCAGTCCTACGCAGTACATACTTTCTCTACCTCGATCTTTCCAATATTATCCCAGTCTCCATTCCCAATGCCGTCCTTATCAACTCCATCGCTCAAACAATCGGTCTGCATGACTTCTACCAGGTCGGCCTATGGAACTTCTGCGAAGGATACAATGGACAGGGCATTACCCACTGCTCCAAGCCGGAGACTCTTTATGCTTTCAACCCAGTTGATATCATTTTAAATGAGCTGTTGGCCGGTGCTACAGGTAGGTTATACAAATATTCTCGAATTCTTAAGAACCCCCGCGGACTAACAACCCCACAGTCGCTCTCCCAGCCGATATTGAAAGCCCATTAAAACTAGCGCGCGTCGCCTCCCACTGGATGTTCGGACTCCTCCTCTCCGCAGCAGTTCTCAACTTCATTATGATTTTTCTCAGCCCACTTGCCGTGTCCTCACGACACCCACGAAGCATTAAAGCCTGGGCCGCGGGCTACAACGGCGTCCACCCGCCCGCAGGGAATCCGCCCCACCGCCGCCGCACCTTCCTCTGGCTGCGTGCCCTGCCAATGCTGATTCTGACATTTTTTGCCGCGCTGACGACAATCGTCGGGTCAGCCGTCGCGACGGTCATGTTCGTGATCTTCGCCAATGTCTTCTCAACTGCCGACCCGAGCCTCAACATCCAGGCACACGTCGGCACCCAGATGATGGTGTTCATGTGGATTGCTTCGGCATTCAGTCTGCTCGGATTCATCCTTCAGATCGGCTCATGCTGCGCGGTTTGCTGTCGTGGCCGTAAGGCTCGCAAGCAGCTCAAGTCTCAGGGTATTAAGTGGCACGAGAAGAGCGAGGTTTCACCCCATGCGACCGAGAACCGCGGTATCTCGTCCTGCAGGGATTCTGCTGTCCCTGTGGAGGAGCGTCGTCTCACCTCTAATGGTCAGACACTAAATGAACATGAGAAGTTGAGCAATGGACATTCCTCGAACCATCACTCGTCTTCGACTGAACCCCATGCCATCTCCAATTGATTTGTTAGCGACTTTCCTCCATTTTGGTCATATCCACCTTTCGGGTTCATTTTTCTTCGGCATTCCCATCATATTCCCATCATATTCTCATCATTTTTGTGGGGTTTTGTCTCGATATCCAACCCTGTGCTATAGTGCCCCACTTATGGACATTTACCCATATTTAATCCACATTATCTACCTAGGCATGATCTTACGATTGGACAGTAAAGAAATAGAGGCTCGGCATTTACAACACATCTCACGAAACTTGTTTCTCAGCGTGTATCTTGATTGAATTCAAATTCTGCTCTTTTCCCCGCATTGGATACGTCAACAATCATCGTGAGCTCAAAATTGCCACAATTCCTTTGAATTCTGATTCGTTCTCAAGATCCCGGAGTTCATATAAACTGAGTCTTGGACAGCTCCCGTAGGGCGCATAGCTCCACTTCTCCCGCTTCTGTCGCATATCACATCCTATCACACAGCTCAGCCTTAGGGCACGAACGACTCCATATCCCGTATTACTCCACCCATTGACCATGCCCAATAACCAACCCAAAATCTCGAAGGCTTCAGAGGATCGAGTAGATCAATTATAGAGCAGCGCCGATACCCAAGACACTCAATCTATGTTGTAGGTCATGTTAATGTATTAGGTAGAATCCCAATCTCACCTACAATACATACCCCGGATCGTCTAATCTCCCGTGTATAACTACAAACCTCCAGTTCTCTGTACTCCCATAGCCATATCCCCCCCAAAAAAATACCAAGAGCCACCCAAAAAGCACTACGCTATGTTATTTCCCTTCAATTTCTGCTGCTCACGCGATCAAATGGCCATGGGCATCTTGAATCTATCAAAAATATAAAGGGCATATCTGCCCATCGGTTCCATGGTTGAGGTCTCGGACCTCAGTGTTCTGATATCATCAGCTTCTAGCTACTTCCAACATTACCCCAACAACCATCTACAACATCCCTTCAATACCAATGTCAACAGATCCCGAAATCCACACCTTCTTCACCACCGACCCCATCCCCCCGAACCCGAACCCCGGAATCCCCGACTTCAACCTAGCCAGCAAGGTAGTCATAATCTCCGGCGCCGGCCGAGGCCTAGGCCTAACCCTAGCAGAGGCACTCCTAGAAGCGGGGGCAAGAGTATACGCTCTAGACTACCTCCCAGAGCCAGTATGTGTCACACTTGTACAATCCCAATCTCCATCTAATAACTCAATCAAGGCACCGGAATTCATACAAGTCCAGCAGCGAGCCAAGACATGGAATACAGAGCTACAGTACCGCCGTGTCGACGTGCGTGACACGGGAATCCTCAATGCCGTCATCGAGGATATCGCTAATCACGAAAGTCGCATGGATGGTCTAATCGCTGCTGCTGCTATCCAGCAGGAGACGTCTGCTCTGGAATACTCTGCTGAAGATAGTAATGCCATGCTTGAGGTTAATGTTACGGGTGTGTTTATGACGGCTCAGGCTGTTGCGAGGCAGATGGTTCGGTTTGGGAATGGGGGGAGTATTGTTCTTGTTGCTAGTATGAGTGGGACTGTTGTTAATAGGGTAGGTCGTTTTTTATCCTGTTCTGTGGCTTTTTTTCCCCTTTACCCTGTTCAACGTTATTTCCAGAAATCCATACCAGCCATTATATATATCCGCTGACTATGATTCAGGGATTAATCTCCCCAGTCTACAACGCAAGCAAAGCAGCTGTCATTCAACTAGCCCGCAGTCTTGCCGCGGAATGGGGTCAGTATAACATTCGTGTTAACACGCTTTCCCCAGGTTACATTCTCACTTCTATGTTGGAGATGCTGTTTGTCGAGTACCCGGAGCGCCGGGAGGAGTTTGCTAAAGGGAATATGCTAGGCCGTCTGTCCAATCCTGTGGAATACCGCGGTGCGGCGGTCTTCTTACTTTCTGATGCTAGCAGTTTCATGACTGGTAGTGACCTCCGCATGGACGGTGGTCACACTGCATGGTGAATGACGTCTCTTTCGAGGTTCTTGATTTCCGATCTATTTGTTGTAGTATCTTCTTTGACACTGCGATCTTGTTGGCTACTCTCTTGACCTAGGTTCAAGATTGTAGTCTGCGTGCCAATCGTGTTCATTCCTATTTTATCTCAGCCCAAAATTCTATTTCCTTCCCGTCAAATATCGATATAACTCCACGAAAGACTCAACCCATTCTTTCTCCATCTCACTATGAGGCTCCCAGTTGCATGAACGAGGTCGTACGAAATCGCGGACAGTGCCCGTTTTGAAGGGAGTGAAGAAGGATCCATCGATGGAAAGAGGAGTTTTCAGTTGTTCAGACCACGGTGTATTTCCTGTACGGAGAATCTCCCCTTTCACATTCGCAGTTGACCATGGCTTCCTTTTGAATAGCTCCTTGCGTGTTTCAAGAGCTGATTTGTAGAAAGAAGGCAACCCACATACAACGATGTTAGCCAGCTTCGTCACTGAAGAAGGAAGGCCGTCTGTAACTTGATTTCCAACAACTATACCCTGACTTTGCATCAAAGATAGCAGCTCAGTCAATGCAGAGTCGAAAGGAATAACCTGGACAAACACATATTCAAAATGTTCAGAAAAGACGAACTTTTCATTCGGAGACCGCACAATCTTCGCCGCGTCACGTCTCATCCGCGACACGATGTGCGCCGTGTTAGGTCGTCTCTCCTGTGCCGGATCCAAAGTGCGTTTAAGTATATCCGGATTTGCCTCTAAGAGATCGGCACCCCAACGAAGCTCCGAAGCCATCTGATTGAAAAGAGTAGCTTTGGCATGCTGAATCTCATCCCAATATTTCTTCATCGTTTGAAAAGTGTATGAGCTCAATACATTTGACTTGCTTCGTGGATCTGGCCACTCTTTAAACGAAATGAAATTGGATGCACCGAATCGCGTCAAATCAAGCTTTTGCCAGTGCTCTCTGATCTCCCAGTAGATGCGTGCATACATGTGGTCCAAGAGTTGATATCTTTTCAACAGTCTTGCCGAGTATATGTCCTTGGCCAAGATGGAGTCCTCTTCCACCAGCTTTTTGCCTAATTTTGAGAAGAACTCTCGGTAGAATTTAACGGCGAACCTCATGCTAAAAATGGTATGAGGGTCGACACCAATAATGACGCGGGCGATAGGATGAGAATTGATGCATTCGTCTACCCGGTCATTATCGTAGCAGAGTAGTTTTAGAACGTCCCATACTCGCAGATCGTCGATTATCTGATGGGAGAGTTCGGTGGGTATTTTCTCGAAACTGCGGACGATGGAACTGAAGAGTGTTATTTCGGTCATTTCTGTACTTGATAGAAAGAAGAAAAGAAAAAAGAAAAAAGAGGGGGGAAAGGTGTGTTCAATTTGTTATGGTCTAGTGGTAAATTACTTGCGTATTGTGTTGACGGTGCCTGATCCACGAGGCTGAGAACTCAGCAAAGTCATTGTTACGCCTTCACCTTCACCTTCTCATTTTCATTTTCATCTTCTTCACTCTACTCATACACTTTAATCTCTGATCAGTTTTCTTCTTTCTTTTTGCACTGTCATCAAGTCTCCACACCAACATGTCTATCATAGGATATTCAGATCTTTGCATAGGCACAGAAGTGACCTTCACCACTCCCTCCCCTCAGAAGTGGATCCTTGAGGAGAAGCTCACGGAGGATTTCCAAAGACTCACCAAACGTGACCTTGAGTTGGGTGGTGGGCCTTGCTTTGCCGTGTTCAAGTACCTCTGCTACAGTGCGACAGACAGTAGCAAGAAGGCATTCATGAGAATTTACTTCCAAATTCCCAACCCCGGAACAGAGTACCAGCTCCCCCAGCTTCGACAACAACAGGCAGCTCCACCCCGTGAGCATTTAGAGCTACAAGCTTTGAAGGATCTCAGTCAACAACACTGTACTGTAGTCCCAGCTCTCCTCGCGTACAAAGAAGGAAAGCAAGGCAACGACGGCATGGTTCCAGATGGGTACATAACACATATTGTGTGGGAAATGACCAACGGGAAGCCACTTGATACGGATCAGTTCTGGAGGCCTGAATCGGCGCAGTTACGCGAGGCGGTCCGTACGAAGTTCCGCCATATCTGGGAGTATATTTACAGAATCCCTTTTAGCGTGTTAGGAGTAAAACTGACAAACCTCAGAGAGCTGAAGCATCATGGATGGCAGCCAGGGCTCCCTCTTTTGCGGAATATCATCTATGACGAGTTAACCGGGGATATGTATGTGATATAGGATATACAAATACTACAAAACAGAATATCAATCTAACTACCTTTAGGCACATTGCAGGTTTCCGAGACGCCGCCCGCTTCGATCCTGACGAAAAGTTTTCCGACATGACCTTTGTTGACTGGCGTTTAACTAGGCCACCAGAAAGTCCGGTTGGGAGAAAGACCCTACCAAGTGGGCCTGGTAATCATCCTAATGGAAAGAGTATTCGCAAGAGTGCTCGACCGAAGAGCAATAATATATGAAGAGCAGGGTATTTCCTGAATCTGACGAACAAAGGACTCAGTCTGCAAGCAAACAAGCCTGCACAATCAGGTATCTATGATATTGACACAAACTTTCAAGGCTGGAGTGAAATATTGACAGTACAATACAAGTCCTAGGCTATAAACAGCAACGTTGGGTTTTGCCTGTGACTCACAGACTACGCTAGGGCTTAGGGCCATCTGGAAAACCACAGCCCCCAACCCCCTCATTATGTTGTAAATATCGCAGCTCAGAGAAGGCCCTTTCTATCAAACATAATTCTAAAATGAGCCAAACCCTAGAGGATCTGGATGCTGAAGCGATCGCAATCCAGCTTCGAAAAGATCAACAACGATGCAGAGAGAAAAAAGTACCTAGTACACTAGCATTGAGATTATCATCTGCTTCGAGTTCTCTATTAGATGAGATAGCCTGGCATCTCACCCCCGAGCACGAAGTATCGAAAGCCTTACGATCAACAAGATGCAACGGCATCATCAAAGGCATCCAAACATACTTGCGTAATGTCGAGACAGTCGGACAGGCCAGAACCGCCATCCATATACCCACAAGAAGCGACTTCCAAACAACCCTGAAAGTGTTGGATTACCTCCAGAAACAAAAGCGGGTGTCGCAGCCATCGACAGATCCTCTCGAAGATGTAATCCATACTGTCCGAGCACAACTCTCAATGGACAGCTCTTATCGCGCTGCGCAACACAATCTATTTCAAAAAGACAAGGACCGCAATGCCGAGACCAAAAAAAGATGCTATATTTGTCGCTATCTCTTTGATCGCTCTGATGCCAATGAACTTTACCCTTCCCTATGTCGCCAATGCGGCATGTTCAACACAAGCTGCTCGCAGCTATCACTACCCGAAAAGCTAGACCTCGCTGGCAAAACAGCCCTCGTCACTGGAGGAAGAATTAATCTCGGCTACGCAACCGCCTTAAGACTTCTACGCTGTGGCGCCAAAGTCATCGTCTCATCTCGGTATCCAGCCGACGCAGCCACACGGTACGCAGCCCAAGATGATTTCCTGCAATGGAGAACTAGATTAAAGGTCGTCGGTGCGGATTTCAGAACTGCAAATGATGCTTTCCGTCTTGTGCATATTGTGAGAACATTGCTATCCAATTGGAACGGCGAAACAGTACCAGATACCCGCCAATATCTCGATATTCTGATCAATAACGCCGCACAAACATTGACGGATCCTATCAAAGCAGAGATGAAAGCAATTTCCAGAGAAGAAGATCTGAAAGAAAAGCCCGAGACGAAGCTTTTACTCGCCGGTCTGAATAATGGATACCAACCACGTGTCCGCGGCGGACTCCCTGCATCCTGGATACCTAGTATCGAGGGCCAAACCCAAAACCAGATTGAAGACGGTACAAAGAACGATCTATGCAAAGATCACGTCCAAAAAGGCCTCCGTGCAGAAGCAGATCCCTCAAAGTCATCCTGGGTCCAGAGTCTAAATGAAATACCCTACGAAGACCTAATAAGCGCCCATTCAGTCAATGCCTTCGTCCCACTGATTCTATGTCGCGAACTCCTGCCTTACATGGGTTCTTCGAAACCAAGTTCCAAGCCGGCGGGATATATCGTGAATGTTTCATCGAGGGAGGGAATTCTCGAAGATGTGCCTGGGTCACGGAGTAAGGCTGGTCATCATGTTCATACCAATATGTCCAAGGCTGCTATTAATATGATTACGGAGACGGAGGCGCAGGTTGCGTGGAAGAGGCGGGTTGCTATGAATTCTGTGGATCCGGGGTATATGAGTGCTGCGCCGGAGTGTCAGCGGGAGGAGGGGTGTCCTATTGGGTTTGAGGATGGTGCTGCGAGGGTGCTTTGGCCTATTGCTGTTGGGGAGATTGAGGGGAGGGTTATAAGTGGGCGGTTTTTGAAACATTTTCAGGAGGGGATTGCGGTTACACAGAGGGGATAGATAGGGGGTTGGAGTTGGAGATATGAAGATCGTTTTAAATATATCGGTAGACAATATAACTAGCAGTGTATGTACAGTGGCTCCGAAATATTGGGCCAAATCAAAGTACCTACATATAACATCCATAATTGGATACATATTCTACCGTTGTAGTGTGATGGCCCAATAGGTTGGATCCTTCCCATTGTCCATCAGGCTAACTAACATTTGTCTCTCTACAACAGCTACTATGTATCTGCACCGAAATATGTACGTGAAATATAGAGACCATAGCTTGATTGATAGAAGGGCATTAAGGAAGATGCGGTCACGTTTGTTGTGCAACAAATGCCAAACCAGAAAATAACGAACTGATGGATTGAAGAGAAAAAGATCGAAATTCAAAATTCAAAATTCAAGTGTTCCGAAGTAGATAAACAAGACTCGCACAAGCCTGAAAACCATGCCCGCCCGAAGATGCGGTGTTTGGTGTAGTTCAAGCCGAAAAAGATGGAAACCAAGGAAAGAAACAGGGTATCGATATAGAATAATAATAAAAGCAAAGTAAACCGAAATAAAGACAGCTCCAGAGAAATTCAAAGTGAGGTGAGAAAAAAAGAGCACTACTCGTACCGACATGAATGCATGCAGTAATGACACGCAAGAAAAAGAGAGTAACCAAATGAAAATATAAGAAATCATGAGCCCGTTGTCTTTCACTCCTGGTACGCCGACTAGTCGGTTCCCGTATTAGGACGCCGTGTATGCAAAGGTCAACTCGAATGACCATATAAGAAAGGCAGAGATGAGCCGTCTAGCCCATCTCCATGCCGTACTCGTCCTCCTCCTTGAAGCTCATAGCGGCATGGCCAGCACTGTTCCAGTACTGCGGTTGGCCAGCGCCGTTTGCACTGCTGGTGCCACTGTGGAACGAAGGACTCAGGCTGGGAGGGGTCAGGCCGGACATGTCACCGCCCTGCACGGCATCGCCGGCGATGTTGGTGTGTTTGGGGACGCACAGGCCACTACCAGGGCCACGGGTGTAGCTGAAGGAAGTTGGATCATTCTTCTCTAGAGCATCAAGGATTTCGCTGCGCATGCGCTTCTCCTCTTCGGTTTGCTCGAAAGGCCAGGTTCCACCCAGGCTGCCGATCAACTCGGCGAGCTCCGCTTCTTGCTGGTATTTAACGTGAAGGGCCCACATCAGATCGCGAGTCCAGCTAACGGCACCGTTGAGGATGTCGCCCTTGTTGGGACCCTTCTCCTTTTCTTCAATTGGGAGACCCATTGTGATGTTACCCGGTGTCGCACGGCGGCCGTTGCCTCCAGCGAGAAGAGAGGTAGCGGCACTTCCGCCTGCACCGGCCATAGAAAGAGCGTTACTGTTCACAAGTTGCTTCCGGACCTTGTCATCTTCCAGTCGGTGCTGGGGAACCAAATGAGAGAGATCCTGAATGCGTTCATTGATGTTATCGCGTCGGCGGCGTTCAACCAGATTGTGCGAAGCGCGGCGACGTCGGCGCTTTGCTTCTTGGGATTCGAGGTCTCCGCCAGGGAGGTGAGTGTCAACCTTAGCCGGCAGTGAGGCGTGCTTCCCAGACTTGAGAATCTCGGAGATGCCGGCGTGATGTGATTGGTGAGGAGGTGATGAGATGGGAGAGGACTCGACGTACGACTGTGCACTGCCGGGAGTTCCATCCCACTGGTTGGAGAGGGTCTTCTGGTGACGAGCTTGTAGTCCAGTCCGGATAGGCTGAGACGGGAAGCTGCCAGACTCCGGGGTACCCAATGTCAAGGAACCCAATGCCGGGGTCTTTGGAGTCATGGGGCTGCGACCGTCAGAGGAAGTACGGTCCATTCCTTGCAAGCTCTGGCGCTTGGTGCCGAGATAGGTCTGGTCGAAAGAGCTGGCATTGTGCACGTGCGGATTCTGCTGGTTCATGCGGTACTGCTCATAGTTGAAGCTGTTCTGAACGAAGGGACTAGCCATGGGAGCATTATCCGGGGTGTTGGAGTACATATGCGACATTTGACTTTGGTGACTCATCGCGATGCCTCCAGCAGACTGATCCTGGAGGTAGTTAACATTATCGCGCTGATGACCGTTCTGACCGCTGATCTCGAGATCCAATAACTCGTCTGTATCGATACCGGAGTTTCCGAAGTTAAAGCTGGATGACATGTTCTGTTGCGAACCGTAGGAATAGGGCATGAAGCCATTATGTTGCTGCATGGTCAAGTCGGATGGGTCGATCCCATCAGCGGGGAATTGGTTACCCATCGAATAACCGGAGTGTGACATGATGAAAGGGGTGTAGTCGTCGGATTCGTGTTTGATGAAGAGACTCGCTTCAGCCATAGGTAAAATAATATCGGGGGGTTTGGGATGGGGCGCAGATCGGCGAGGGGCTAAGGGAGGAGTCGTAGTGCCGATCCTACTGACTCTCCGCGACAGTCAAAAGTTTAGGTCTGAGATGGATACTGAATAGTAAAGAGATAGGATGTGAGAATGTCACGATCTGTGGGAAAAGATGTTAGTCAAGACTCGACCCCGCCCGTAGGCGATTTGAAGATGTCGTGGCCTCCGTGCGCAAGGCAAAACAGGCAAAACAGGCAACCCAATAAAATGGGGAAATAGACGGAAGGGAGAAAAAGAATGCAGATAATTACCCTTTGAAACACTGCTGGAGGAATGAAGTCCGGGGAGATTGTGAGACCTAATAAAGCCGGGGAAATTTCCTCGGTCTTTAAGCCGGGATAAGTTGACAATCGGGGGAAGATTGTGCAGATCGCGACCACAAATGTGTCTTGCACCAATCACAATTCTTCAGTGTAAAGTGACCGAAAAAAAAGTTCTAGAGAGCTGGGTAAGCGATGGTTAAGGCCGATGAAGAAAGTGGCCGAGGCACGCGAGAAATGAAAGAAAATCAGAGTAAGAAAGATCAAAGACCAGAGACGAGGGATAAAACCAAGCCCAGAAGCAGGCGCTCAATCCCAGTTGGTCTCAATAGCCAAGTTCTTGGAGTTGATTCCAGTGTTGTCCTTGTCCAGATTGTCCTTGTCCAGACGCAGAACAAAATCCGGAGAAGGGGGAACAAGCGGTGGGCAGGCGGTGAGAAGTGGCGATCTGGAGGGGCTTTATATGTCCACCAATTCACCTCTTCTCTTGAAGTTATATAACTCCACGGATTTAACCCTCGTCTTTTGCGCCTTGACCTCTTTGGGTTTTCTTGGGGTTTGATTGGAGTTTGGTCGGGATTTGACCACGCTCGGATTGCAATCGGAATACGAGTTGGCGCAAGCGCTTACTCGCAACAAAAAGAAAAGACATGGGTTTGGTTTTGAAATGAAATGTTGGAGCTTACCAAAGAATATATATGAGTTGGTGTAAGATGTATATCTGAAGTATGAGTATACCGTTGGAAGTATACTATATAGTCCCTATGTTGACGTTAACAAAAGATCCATAAGCATGCAGGTCAAGACAATTATATGTCACCAGCAGAGCCCCATTCACACGTGGGAACCTTGCAACATATAACACGGACGCAGGAACAAAGATATAAGAAGACTTGACACATACCTCTCTGTATAGGTAACAAAAGTCTGAGATTGAAAGTTTTTACGAATCACAAGGTCAAGAGTATGCAAAGAGGAAAAGAAAGCACTTGCAGTGTTTCGCAGAGGGGATGGAGACTTTATGAACTGAAGCGGCGCTATCCTACGTCTCTCATTTGATATATTACAACACCGGTCATGCAGCCTCGTCGATCGGTGGGAATCGATGAGATTCACCTACGCCATCGGACAGATTTTATTTTTATTTTATTTTTAAGTTGACTACTACCATCTAGATCAGAAAGGAAGGGTGGGTGGCAACGGTAAACCCCCGAGCCTCTGTTTTTCTTTACAATACGATAAATATATAAAAAGAAAAATATTAAGGGTAAAAAAAAGATATATAATCATATTCACCTCAAAATAAGAAACAAACTTGGACAAAGGGGGGAAGGGTGATACAGCCGGATCGAGTAAAACGGCTATCCCATGATACCCGTTGGGATATTTGTCACCTGTTACTATCATGACTCAGTGTCTTGAAGGAATGTATCAGATGAGTTGAGGTTACAAGCATACCAAAACATATCTTCTGGAAACCCTAACTGTTTAAAGTGGAAAAAGTCTGGATATATCCATCCAAATGAGACCATGTGGACATCTATGGATAGTTGATCTTCGTCAACTATGCAGAATACTAGTACAGAGGACACCAGAGAGGGTAGAGATCGACTAGCATGGGAAAATGACTTGTAGTTGCAAATATCATCCGGAGAACGTACCATGCATAACCCCATTACCTTGGCAATACCAGAGAGAAGGGACAAGATCCTAGTGTATATGTGAAGGAAGTATAATAGAAAATAGAAAATACAAATGAGAAAAAAAAAAAGAAAGTACACAGACCATAAGCAATATCAACTCTGCAAGAGGATCAATGCGTCCGGTTCTTCATGTGGGATGTCGTGCAGAGGAGACTAGAGTGACGATCACAGATATGATCGTCAACAGAGCTTGGACCTTCATATTGCTCGGCTCCGGTTGCACATTTAGAAGTCTGGTCTTTTGTTCTAGGGGGACTTGTGGTTATTGATCTGGGTTACAGCGGCAAAGGGAAATAATATTATAGTTCAACATTCGACTCCAGAATGTTACGGGGAATTAGTGAATAGATTTCAGACTTGACCATTCGTTCAGACTTCATCCAAACCAAAAGGAGAAGGGTAGAATGTGGCGGAGACAAATTAGAGGGGTTGGAATGTGTCTTCAGACCTCTCCACCAATAGTGAATCAAAGCCATACACCTCAGTATAGTACTAAGCCACACATCGCCAAAGTTTCCTCAATTTGCCATCTCCGTTTTAGGAGGATTGGTATTCTATCGACGGATAAGGATTGATCTCCGTGAGGGGGAAATATATGGATCTGACGTCCCGTCCCGTCAAGGTTTGGCGATACACGGTTGATGCAAGGGAGAAGTTGTACTCCAAGATCTATTTTGATATCTAATATACTATGGAGTAGATTATCTATATTTTGAAGTGTGCACAGGACCCTGATAATGACGACATCGTACGTGGTTAAGGTCGTACTCCATTCCGGGGGGTCACGGATAAATCAACTCGTGTACACCGGACATTCTATAGAGTAACAATAAGTAAAGTAGATGAAAGTTAGAAGGGAAAAAAAACAAGGAAGCCAGAAAAAGCAAAAGCAGAAGCCAAAATTGGAGAAACAATGAGGCTAGTGCCGATGTTACCCACGGTGCAGTCCGGAGTGCATATTAACGCTCTTATGGTTATCGGGATAATTCCCCTAGGTAGTACACGGGTAGCTACATAAATACAGTCAACAGGGCAAAAGGTTATATAATGGGTATGCAACATTATCTGGGGTTCTTCCGATACGACTGCCGGCAACTATAGCCGTTATAGCCGTTGATAAATGATTCTGCAGGGCTATCCAATACAAGTTTATCAATCTATTGTTACGGTTACGGCCGATCGCTACAGGGTGCGCATCAGCCAGGAAGGATCGACAGTGAGCAAATAAAACTTGTATATCCATAATGGTCATGAGTCCATATCGAGTATAGTAAAAGAATAAACTATTCATGAATTAATAAGTAAATAAATACACAAGTCATACGGTAACTTTAAAAAAGCATGCTGATTCGATACAATAATAGAGTGATCACCAGTGTTCAAACCTATAAGTAGAATATAGTTCTGCATGTCTTCAAGGGTTTGACAAATTACAGCGGGTATAGCGCGAAGGGAAGAAATATCTAGATAAATTATGCTATAATGGGCTTTTTTTTAGATAAGTTAGAATAAATGTGAAAATGTATAAAAATAACTAAAACAACTAAAATAAGTAAAACAAGTGAAATATATGAAGTTGCTTATAGGTGGGTTATATACTTGCTATTGACGCTATACCTAATTGGGCACTAGCCCCCTTTCCCCAACTTCATTGCATAACTCGGAACTGCCACTATGCTATACATCTTCGCTACACGTCTAGGCAACATTTAACCCACTTGGTAAGTAACATGTATTTCTTTCATTTCCTCAAGATATCTGCCTATGGGAGGGATAATCCTAGTCCAAAACCCCACAGGGCTCGGTCCGAGAGCTTTGTACCCCAACCACTGGAAACCATCATCTGACAGCTTCAGCACCTAACGTCGATCGGGTTGGTCGCATTGGTAGCTCCACGCCATCTCGTCATTTTCCTTGGTTCCCCTCGTCTTTCCACACCCCCTTTATCGATAGCACAGCGCTTCCTTATCCAATCAGCTCCCCTGACGACTCCCACGCCGTGTTCGCCTCCACTTCTCGGATCGTGCAAGGCTCAACGCTCCCCAACTATCTTCCGTTTGGTTGGTCTATCTCGCCGCATTATTGCAAGACGTACTCCGATTACGATCCACCTGCGCCCCACTGGAGGACTTCTAAGCCACCCCGGTAGGCATCACCGAGTCCGCAGAGCTGCAGATCCCGTTGGTTGACGCCTTATCACGGTCCAATAGGCAGCCCTTTTGTTGGTCAAGGAGGTTGTCCATAAGCTTTTCTATCAACCTGGCATCTTCAAACCCTTCTATTTTTTGATATTGCCCACATATCTTGCAGTCGGAAAACTTTCTTTGAAAGTAGTCCACATTCGAAACGAGTCACGGCGTATCCTAGCTCATCGGAAGCCGAGTCCGCGCTCGACACAGTCGTCATCTGCTCCTCTGTTGGCTTGACTAAGTCCCCGCTTTTAGCTAATCCTCGAGGATCATCCACCCGCGCAGATCATCTGCACCCCATCTATCATAGTCCCGGCAGGCCGTTCTATCTGTCTTGACTTTCTAAATCACGGACCTTCTGTGCAGACGCAGCGCACGTCCCTCTATTTGCTTCATTTGGGATCTAAAACTTGACTAAAACTAGTCTCAAACATGGCGAATAACTCATTCCGAGACTCTGTCAACTCGCTAGGATGGTCGCGTAGAGATCCGGATCTCCCCGTGCGCACTGGCGCGTCATCGAGCACCCCATTCTTATCTCGTCTACAATCTTATAATCCGTTTTCAGAAGGCGGCTATGTCCAACTGCCCACTCACAATGATGGCCCTGGGGCCCCATTACCGGCAGCCACTCGTCGGGAAGAAGAAGAGGGCTTCTTTGCTTGTAAGTTTTTCTATTCTGTCGTGTGACCCTCCGATCCTCCGATCCTCCCGTACACCATTGCGTAAGATCCAGGTGATGAGAACGCAGTTCCTGCGCCGGGAGGATTCATTACTATGCTTGTTTATGTGTAAGCCGATAGAACAGGGAAAGACACTAACAACTTTTCGCATAGTGAGTCGGTGGGACCGCATGCTGATATTTGGCGCATGTAACTTGGGCGCCGCCGTCTGTTTCATGCTTTGCTTCTTCTTGTTTCCTGTCTTGACACTCAAGCCCCGCAAATTCGCCATCTTGTAAGTTGCCTCCGCGATGGTCCGCATTAATGTGGCTATTGTACCCGCCTTTCCATGGCCTTTCCGGTCTTCTTTCTTTTTCCCCCAAGCTATCTCATGCACCTGGATGGCCAAGCAAATCCCGAGTGGGATAGACCAGGTCATCGGTCAATTTTGGTTAGGACCATGTGCGCTTTTGTACTTCACATTGCATCCTGATTGGTCCTGATCTTGACCTATATCTGCGCCTCATGCCAAGAACCTTCGTCTCTAGTCTTGAATTCCTCTTGTTAACAGGTTTCTTCACTAGATGGTCCGTCGGATCAATGCTGTTTTTGATCTCATGGGCAGTTCTCATGGGACCATGGACATACGCTAAGCATTTGACCTCGGGATCACGGTTGCCATTCACAGCGGCCTATTTCGGATCGATCGCCCTGACGCTTTACTTCGCCATCGGTGTAAGTAAATTTCTTTATCTTCCCATTTTTCGTTTTCGTTTTCGGGGTTTGCTTTCGCCCTTTACGCTTCTCGTTGCACGCCGATCCCTCTCCTTCTCATGATACCCCCTTCTACATTTCCCTGTTTGTTGCACATTCGGTTCCCCTCTACCCGAGTCCGTATGGTTGCACTGCACAACCGGGAAAAGGGGAATCTTGCAGCCTTTACATCCATCGCGCAGTACAACCTGAAACCACGGGTTGTCATTCCTACTGCCGCAGATATTTGAACTCCTTCCAATCCATCCCACCCTGTACTCGGCCTCTCTACTTCTACATCTGTACCACGTCCCACGGCGCGGGACTTGGATGTCCTTTCCTTTCACCTTGTCCGACACATCCCGGTGTCACAGAGCGCGGAGTCCAGAGCCATCGAGATCAATATATGTCTCACCGTCCCTGACTACTCGGTCATCTTGTTCTACCTGCATATCACAACTATACACCATCTGCCACATCCGGCAACACATACTCTTCCAGAAACCCTTGCTGACTTCTCTTTCGTGTACAGCTTCAGAGTCTCCTTCTCACTCTCATCTCCTCCGTCTTTCAACTCGCTGCCCTCGTCTGGTACCTCGTCAGCTATTTCCCCATGGGAAGCACTGGTCTGCAGTACGTGGGTCGTTTCGGAGCATCGCGTGTTACCTCTTGGATCAGTGGTTGAGTTGTTCGCTCGAGTCTGATATCCTGCGCTTTATTGGACCGTACATCGCACGGTGTGCTGGTTCTTGGATATCGAAGACAGTTGGGTTTCCCTTGTGTATATCTAGTCGGAACTACAGTGTCTGACGATTTGAATTTCCTTTCTTCCCTAAATACTTAGTTCTCCAGGCGGACTGGATGTCTTGGTAGTACAATACTGAACATTGATACTGGACAAAAAGGGGACTTGTAGGTTACAACATATGTCGCTTACGGCAGGTATAGAAATGCCTACACAACTGACTCAAAGGGGGTGGACCTTACTACTTCGTGATGAATACTTTTCCATTTATTCCACGTTAAAGCTAGTAAGAGAATAAGTGAGCACTAGATGTAAGGTCTGCGAAAAGCATAATTCAGCAAAGTCATAGTCATAGCCAATGCACAAAAATCAAGACTCAAACTACTCATTCCTCAATCATCCAATCAATACTTCCCCCGACTCATAACTAATCCAACAACACCATCAACAACCTTAACACCCTGAACTTCCGCCTCGAAGATGCCCGTATTCCCACCAGACCCAACCTCAACCCACCGCTGGAGCAAATCATTACTCTCCTTCGGCTTAACATCCGGCGACGCGGTACCGACCGTGATATGCGGAATAGGATTCGCACACGGCCATTCAGCATCCGCCTCGCCCTCGGCGGGCAGGATACGTGCGACGAATGCCATAATGCGGTTGTCCCAGACCAGACGCTCTATGCGCACGCGTGCGGAGCCCAAGGTCGGCGGGGACTGGATTGGCTTTGGGACTGGATTTTTTGTCTGGGCCTCGATGTAGCGAGCTGCTAGGTGGTCCCAGGTTTCTGGGTTGTCTTTCTTTGAGGCGCGGTGGATGAGGGTTACGTGGAAGGATGGTTGGAGACGGCGTGAGTTTATGAGTTGGTTGTAGAGACGGGCTGTTTCGGGGCTTGTTGATGGGGGGAAGAGAGAGTGGAGGATATTGGGTATTTCGGATGTTGGGAGGGAGATGTTGAAGTATTCGATCTTTTTGGCGAGGGCCTCTGGGGAGAAGGGGGAGTCTGTCGGTTCGGGGAGGAGACGACCGGTTTCTTGTTTGTTTTTGTTCTTTTGCTTCGATGTAGAGCCGTAGCTGTAGCTGAGATCTGTTGTCACGGTGTAGTCGTCTAGGGAAGCGGCGATGGCTTGATCAAGTTCTGCTGCCGTTGGCATGGTTGGAACCAGGCGGGGGTAGGCGGCATGTAGAGCTTTGACGACTGTTTCGAGGTTATCGCGAGACGAGGCGCATATATCGAGGTCGATAACGTGATCAAAGTTCATATCTGGCAAGCGGGTGCTGTCGACGGCTTCGAAGCGGCCGAGGAATCCCTCCATGATTCCGACGATCTCATCCTGGGCGTTGGTACCAGCCCGGATGGTTTGGTGGTTGTCGCCGCGCTCTAGCACACGCTTGCGGGTAACTTCTCGAATAGCGGGGAGCATGTCTGCCTTGGGCTCGTGAACGTAATGCAGAGCGACAAACTGCGCATCTGGGAGAACAGGGTAGATATCCTCCATGAGCTGGGTGCGTTCGCGCCGTTGATGGTTGTTGCGATCGGCGATGACAACACTGTGCTCTGCCAGAGCATGGCTGACTTCGAAAGCGAACTTCTTGGGCTTGTTCTTCTGTTTAGGGATGTTGTCGTTCTGAATATGTCCCCAGCCGAAGAGCTTAACCAGAGCCAAGGCGACTGTCGTCTTTCCACATCCCAGCGAGGCAATGGGTTCGAGAATAACATTTTTGTTGATCTCGTGCGATTCGGTCTGCTTTTTAGCCTCTAGAGCAATAATCTCAGGTCCATTCAATCCTCGTTCCTTGAGGAAGTCATTCCGCAAAGAGATGATACCGTGGTTATTCATGTAGTCAGATGCCATCTTAGGGTTCTTCATCAGAACCCGTCGAGCAAATTGCAGATATTCTTCAGTGATCTTCTCATGCTTTCTGATCTTAGGGTGTTTTCCTCCAATGACGGCTTTGGTACATTCACGCCACTGGCGGTACATCAAGTACGGCTCTTCAAACTTGTACTTGAAGAACCAATGCCGGTAGGGCTCAGCTCCGTTATCGCTCAGATGGCACCGGATGACGAAGCCCTCAGTCTCACGTCCAGCCCACGTTCCTGTCTCCGCACATCCCTCGAGGAAGGACTGCACTCTGAAAATGTCATCAAAGACCTCGAACTTGGCCTTTTTGAAGCCCCAGTCGTCAGCGAACTTGTGAACCTCCCCAGAAGGCATTGTCTGAAAGTCAGGCTGGTTATAGTTGAGACCGTGAATGTAAATTCCCGACGAAGCCTCGTCGTAGGCCAACACATGCTCCTCAAAAGTGTCGTCACAGAGTTCTCCGACGGCTGTAACATTCATCCGGCGCAGAGTCCGGGCCAGATCCTTGACAGATCGATTCACGGACGAGACATGGCGTTCTGCCCAGCGTTCTCCTGCCTGGGCGTGGCTCAATTTTGTATCCTCGCGTGCTCCAGTTGAATGTTTGCTACAGACTAGCAATGTGTCGTCTTCCAAAGCAGAAATAAAAATAATGCATCCATTCTCCTTCACACTCAGCTCGTAAGGACCCTTTGTATTCTTCTCGATGTTGCGCCATTCTGTGGCCCTTGTCTCGCCTACATTGAAGAACTTGTCATATCCGCGTGTCGCAATTTCAGGAACACCATCTTTCCGTTTGGTGGTAAAGAGACCTCGGGCATATGTCGGCAACCCGGCGTGCTTGTAATCCCAGTCCTGGAACTTCCATGAGTCCACGGTCACATTGTTGGTACCAGCTACCACAAAGCTATTCTTTTTGCAAGTGAACTTTGTCTCACCCTTTCTAGCTTTGCTAGCAGTCTCTAGGGTTTTCACCAGCTCCGAGATGACGTGTGGATCTTGAGTCGCCATGTTTTGTGTATCTCAAGATTTGCGGGCGAGGACGGAGAGGAGGGGCAGAGAGGGGAACAGAAGGAGGAACAGAAGGAGACTTCGTTCCTGCCTGAAAGTATTCTAGGGGTATATTTGGTATATTTCGAAGAAAGAAAGGGCAATAGAAATATGCATAAAAGCAAAGCCAAGATAAAAAAAAGACCAAGACCAAAAAGATCAGAGTCAGAGAGAGCAAGTGTGTCAGAGTGCGGGGAGCCGAAAGGGAAAGGCGGATATTTTTTTTTCTGCTTATTTGACTTGACCTTCTCCTACTCTTTGACTCACTTATACGAGTTTCGAACTTTTAATACTTTCATAATGACTCAAAATCCCTACCTCTTGGCTTGCGATAACCCAACGGCCCTTCTGGACCTGCTGCGCTCCAACCCCTCGATCGCATCGAGCCAAGATGAGTCCGGCTACTCATTGCTGCACGCCGCAGCCTCCTACGGTCATATCGATCTTCTACGCGCTCTAGTGAAAGAATTCAACGTCGATGTTAATCTCCTCGACGAAGATGGCGAGACATGTCTATTTGTGGTCGAGGACAGCGATATCGCGCGCTGTTTAGTCGAGGAACTGGGCGTGGATACCAATAAGAAGAACGCTGAGGAATTTACAGCTGTGGAGAAGTTCGAGAGCGAGAATGAGTTCCCCCAGGTCGCTGCCTATCTCCGCGAAGTAGCCGGCGGTGCTCCTGCTCCAACACACGCTCAAGCCGCCGAAGTCTTGAACTCCCCCGGGCCCATCCCTGGCAGCGATATGCGGATCAACGTTGGTACAATGACGGAGGAAGAGGCCACTGCTGGTGGTGAACCTGATCCAGAATTCAAGAGGCGCATTGAGGAGCTTGCGACCCGTGAGGATTATTACAGCGAGGAGGTGCAGAATGAGGTGCGCGAGTTGGTCAAGGATGCTATGGCTGGATCGAATATCGAAGCTATGGAGCGGGATATTCGGCGGAGAACCGAGTAAGCAGGAGAATTTCGACTGTTAAATTCATTCCGTCTTATCGGACTCTTGTCTGTCTGTACAAGAGATTACCATCGCGTTTGAAGATGTGAACCACTGGAAGAACCCCATACAAGCATTCTCAGTCGGAGTCCAATGTTCCCGCTGATTGAATCCAGCGTGGACGGGACCACCACCGGTATCTCGGGGATTTCTTGTCTCTCACATGAAGTTTAGAGTCGCTGCGAAGGCTCGCTGTTAAGAGTCCCTGTTGGGATCATCCGAATTTCTCGAAAGAGAAGCTTCTATACGATCTTGTAACTAGGATTAAATCACGAAATATCACGAATCCAAGCAATCTATCCAGCTGCTAGCTATGTTCATATGTAGAGATCGTATTATCTCGTTGATGCAACTGCGTAGATCTTCGGCCTATTCCCCGCCAAGCTCGAGCCTCCATCTCCAACGTAACATAGCTTCCACCTACAACATCCCACAACATTCAACCCGATATCATGTCGCAACCACCGTCCCCATTCCCCCCACAATCGCAGTTCTACTCATCCCAAACGATGAACCCCGTCCACTCCGAGACACCTCCACCACCACCCCCAAAACCCAACAGCCATGAAGCCAGTCGACACGGCACCCCGCAAAACACCACTGCACACTGGCAGCCAGATGACCAGACAGGCACACATCAAGCATACCCCAACAATCCGCAACAGCCATATATCCCAGACCCCCCAACCATTGAGGAAGGCTGGCTCCCAGACCTAGTATCCGACAAATCGTGGGTACCCCCAAACCAAAGATACCAGCACCTCTAACCAGCGACTTAGAACAACCGACCTCCAAACAATCCTCAAAGACCCAGCCCTGATATCCGCCCTCTCAAGCCAACACCCCTCCTACACAGTCAGGCAACAACACCTCGAGACCCTCATTAAATCAAACAAAGACCTCGCAACCCGCCTCCTAGAGATGCAGAACCACCTCGCTGAAGTCCGCGCCTCTACTGAAACAATGCTGATAACACACCAGTCGCTGGAAGTATCATGGCGCAAAAAGCAAGCGGAGATGGACGCCGCCCTAGCCCCGTGGTCGCCGAAGGCGCTCTACCAGCGCTTCAGCGCAGCAATTACAGAGCAGGAGGCAGTCTGTCACGCTGTTGAGGAGAGTTTCCTCGACGAAGATCACCACGGGCGGGCGACAGAAAAGGAGATTGCAGATTGGGTGCGACGCGTACGGGCCGAAGCATCTAAATTAGCTGCCCGGAAAGAGGCCAAGGCACGATGGGATGAAGGACGTGTTGGGGGATGGCGATGAGGTATAAACTCAACGAGATATAAATAGTCACCATTTACGATACCATGCTGTCTCCGATTCATGATCTGTTATGCACTATACAATACAATCTATAAAGCACGGTCCTGCTCCGAATCGCCAGGAAATTCCATCACTCAACCCGAACAGCCATACCCTCACCAGTCTCCGGCTTAACATGTCCCTGTCCTGGACCCCTAACCATCTCCCTTGCACTCTCAATATCCAAACCTCTCTCACCAGCCCACCCATCACTCCCCAACGAACTAGGAACCCCAACCCCACGCATAAAAGCACGTCCTCGACTCCGCGCACCCCAAGCCCATCCCGCTCCACGCCGAATGGGGAGATGGTACATGTTAAAGCCGATATAAGCGAAGAAAATGCCTAGAGCCGCACCGAAGAGAATATCAAAGCCATGATGTCTATAATTGAACCAGCGGGACGCGGCAATAAAGCTCGCCGTGGCAGTGGGCACGAAGGCAAGGAGCATTAAATAGACTGGCGGTGCGGCGCCGCGTTTCCGCACGGATGTATCTTCATCGCGGTGGGATTGGTCTTCGACCGGGTAGCGCGGGAGATAGGGGAATGCGACGGAGAATTTGGAGCAGAGCCAGAGGGTTAGGTAGCCTAAGCCGGCGAAGGAGACTGGGTTTGTTAGCTGGATTTGTATATTGCGCTGTGTGATGTCCGATGCACAGATAAAATGCAGGATAACGTATATGTATGAAATGTAGGAACTTACAAGAAGAATGTCCACTCGGGAAACTGGAGAACCCATCAATGCGCAACGAATCACTTTTATCACGACAAATCTCCCACGAAACCAGCGTTGCGGCACCGCGCACCGACTCCCCGAGTCCACCGACTGTGAACTCCGCAATGCGTGCTATGTCCGGATTGCAGCGTGCGAGTAGATCAGGTCGCGGCTTTCCAATTAACGCCTTTAAACCCTGCGTAGCTGTCCATGTGCTCGCGAGTGCTAGGGCGAGGCCCATCCAGCCGACGTTCCATTCCCAGAATTTGCGGCGGATGTATTGCGCTGCGGGGGGTTTGGGGGTGGGGGAGGTGGAGTCGGGGGTGGAGGTGGCTTTTGCTGGGACGACTAGCCATGCGATTAAGAAGATTATAACTGCTGGGGCGAAGAGGCAGACTAGGAGGAGAGTCTTTGTTGATACGGTTTCTTTGGTGTGGGGGTAGCTGATTGTTTGGTCGGTTAGACTGAAGGCGTGGTGGTTTGGGGGTTGTTCGTAGAAGCCATAGCCGATTAGGGCGATGCCACTGGTTTGTTAGATTGGATTTGGATGGAAGGGATGGATAGGCCGTACATGATGAATATCCAGTCGACTATGTAGGATAGTAATAAGAGCTTGGAGATGGTGGCGAGACGGGTTACCGTGTCTTTGACGATGGGCATGGCTATATAGGTATGTATGAAATTAAGATGGTAATAAGAACATTTGTGCAATGACGTGGATTTAAAGAGGTGAGGTTAAAGGGATTGTGGCGGAGTATGTGCGCAAGAAGCTTAATATTGACCCCCCTTGATTCCTTGATTCCTACTCCGTACATTCTCTGATTCTATACATTCTTTTCGAAGGTCGAGTTTATATCTCTAAACATAATATTCACGTTCTATACTGTTGACTCCACTTTTCTAATATTGTTTAGAGACAGCACTTATATCCGATAGCAGATGGCATAGCTTAGATAGTCTCAAGCTGCCTAGGTGAAATATTACCTAGTAAGAAGCTTGATCTAATCCACTTGAGCTTTCGAATAATATAGACCAGTCAGAATATCCGAAAATAAAGAAGAGTTCAATGTTCCTTTGAGCTGATCTATATAGATCTCTCCGAGGTTGTATAAGTACACCTCTCTCACATCTTCAAAAAATCAACAACCCCTCGAATGGAATTGACTGGATACAGCTTATAATAGAAAGACTTCGAGAATTTCATTTCCTTCAATGCTAAATGGATTTAAGCTTAGCGGGTGTTACTCCCGCTAGCCTCTACTATGTACTCACCAAACAAACTGTATATGCATTGAGCCGCATTAAGCGATGTTGTATTTTAATCCGGACTGCATTAGGGCAAAAGGGGGGCTTTCACAGATGGAAATGGGTTTGTTGCTTCTATGTACTTCCATATGTTAAGAACAGTTAATTCGTATTTATTCTTACATGCCAAGAATCCTGAGCTCCTACGGAATCAAGAATAGAGTGTGGACGGTTGACAGTCTCATCACATATTCTTTCATACAACCTGCATCCAAGCTGTGTCAAAAGATGTCAACGGTGAGTATGAGGCGTTGGAATTTTTCTACAATTGAAAGCAAAATGTACAGGGATCGCAAACTCAATCGCTGACACACTTTGTGGTGTATCATCATAGTGTAATTCTTGATAATAAACAATGGGGTATCTATATGATCTTCATAAAGATAGTAAGTCAAGCAAGGCGAATAATTGAAAAACCAATCTACCGATAAGGCCATCCATCGTAGTTACCAAATTCAGTATCAACCGAACGCCTGTAACACCCCAGAGCAATAGCCAAAGAACTAGAATCCAGTGATCATCCGGTTGCCCATGATAGCATCGTTCAACTGCCTGTGAACCTGTTGAACCCCGTCGAAGCGAATGAATCCACACGCTTCACTCTCAAGGTGGTTGAACAGACCAGCCAGGGAGTGGAACTCCTTGGGACAGCCACGCTTGAGGCAGTGGTAGACCTTCTCCTTGTGCACAGGCGAGTTTACATGGGATTCTAGCGCCTTCCGCGAGTTGAACCCCTTTTTGCAAAGGTAGCACGCCCAACAGGCGCCATTCCATGCACTGTCAGTGACCGAGTAAGTAACATTCTCCTCGCCATGCCACCCAATCTGTTTCTTGCAGACGTAGCCATTCGGGTCAAGCTGTTGGATAATGCGGTGAATTTTGTCGCGATTCAAGCCTTGAGCTTGAGAGCAGGATCCACTTTCGAGATGATGGGAAACACCGCTAGCCGTGACAAAGCCAGTGCGACAGAACGGGCACGGAATACTAGTACCACGGTGGGTCTTGGAATTCAGATGCTATGAGATAGAGGGGTGAGTGGAACGGGTTCAGAAGGTTTCTCTCAGATCATGTTAGCGTGCCTACCTGGCGTAAACAGTGCTCGTCCCTGAAGGCACGATCGCAATCGTAGCAGTAGGCCCTGTAATGTCTGTTGGCGAGCATATGGTTCTCAGCGGCTTGGTCTGATTGGAACTTCATCGGGCACGTCTGGCATGGAACGGTTGGAAGCCAATGACCCTTCGCATTCATATGGTTGTTGGCGCCATTTTGAGAACTGAAGGTGCTGGTGCATGTTTCACATTCGAAGGTTGGCGCCCAGTGGTCTACGGCGTTCATGTGCTGATTACAAGCATTCTGGGAGCGGAACAATCGAGGGCATGTTTCACACTCAATCCCGTGACGGTAGTCACTCATGTGCTCATCGCAATCCTCCCGATCCCAGAATGATGCGCAACAGGTGCTGCATTGAAACATGATGAAAGACTGAAGTACCTAGTACCTGGGTACCTAGTCTGAGAGAGGGAATATGAAGTTGGAGAAGAGGAGGGATGGGGAAGAGGGAAGGGAAGGAGATGAAGGAGAGAGATCGTCGAATAAATTGACAGATCAACTTTGGGACAGAATCGACCCGAATCACGGAAGGGGGTTGCGGGGGCTTGTCAGCTTATCAGTCGAGCAAACAGTGGATGCACAGTGGCCTGGTCCAGGGGTAGACGGGTATGTACCTAATATATGTTGGATGTGACGACTACTACGTGTCTAAAAATAGAGGCAGAGACTAATACGATCTATCTACTGCCATGAAGCCCTCTAAGTACCTTCATAGCGAGATTTAAAGGGTCAAAGAGAGGCCTGACAAACTACATGTAACGGTAGCCTTATGTTTCTATACAACAGTATGCATGTCTAGAAGGAATGCAATTGTTGATTATGATAGATGTCTCTGAAGCCATTAATCTTCGACTAGCTCTTGAGCAGAGCTGTGCTTTCCCGGCTCCTACTGCAACATCTTCCGTATCAAAAGCAGAAGCTCCACTTTGTCTTGGCGCTCGACAGTAGTTTCTCTCCTCGAATGGAGCATAATTTTTCAATACATCTTGGAATTTATATAGTGATTCATAAAAAAAGGACTTATCGCCCGCTTTATTTATCCAAGTGAAGTCACTGACTATGAAATTCATCTATAGGCCGGATGCAAATCATATAAAAACATCGACATGCTTTTGCTTCTCATTCGTTGCCGGCAAGACCTCGAACATAAGGCTTGTGATTCGCATAACACTGGATTTCCTGTTCCGTAGGAAGGGTCCCGTGTAAAATATAAGCCTTAGCAACTCGATCCGTGCAGTCCGAGCTGTCACGTCTCGAGCTATGCCCATAAGCATGATGAACGATCAACCGGGCATTGTCACCCATCTCCGCTAGCAGTCTTCTTCCATTCCGCAACGGTGTTGCAGGGTCATATGGGGAAGCGATAAGCAGGGCAGGAGTCTTGAGAGTATGGTTGAGATCGCCACGATACACCTCCGAAGGAGGGTCCCAATAGGTATTATAATATCGACAAGGTAGAATTGCGAAAAAGCGGGAGTTTCCAGCTATCCAGCTCTGGGTAGACATATTCTCCCACAACTGGTCCCACCATTCGAGTCCGTCTGGGAGAGGCGCATCGTATGAATCGGCGCAGATCACGAGAAGATCGAGCTCGCTGGAAGATAGGACATGATACGATGGCTTCTCAGAACGGTCGTTCCATATGAGATCTATGGAGTTGGCTGCCAGAGTCGCATTTCCTGCTTCGAGTTCATAGAGCATTTGTGCGGTTCTCGGCCAATCCGTTGGCTTGTACATAGCCGGGTAGAGAGCTCTATCCACGAGCGCTGAGTACGTGACCAAAGAAGGACCGACTGATTCCGAGTATGCGGATTGTGGGCGAGCTTTGAGCGACTCAAGTAGCTGGGTCATACGCGTTTCCAACTGTGCGAGTGTGACGGGCCCGTTCTGGCCAGGAAGAGGATTGGCCAATGCACACCACTTCGGACCGGCGTTAATACACTCCCCTAAGAACCCGTCGCGCCATGCATCTGTCGTGTTGTCGAGAGAAGTCCAGCCAAAGCCGCCTAGGAGACGATGGTCCTTGACATATTCCGTTCCATCGAGAATCAAACGCCCCGCTCGGGTGGGGAACATGTTGACATATGTCTGGCCAATACCTGTACCATAGCTAACTAGATATCCGGTGAGTTCTTCCTCGTTGAGTGCTTTTCGGATCTCATCTAGATCGCGTGCCACCGATGCGGTGCTGACGAAGCGACCGAAATCTCCCAGTCGCTGCTGGCAGGCAAAGAATGTGGCGTTGTTCATGGCATCCGCAGCCTCTAGTTGGGACTTTGGGGCCTCCTCGCGATATTGGTGTGCTAGGAGTGACCATCGGTCCCGGAACCCATATCGAGGGAAACAGGACGCGGCGGGGAGTGAGGAATTCACACCGCGGGGATCCCACCCTAGCACATCAAATTGGCCGTCACTGAAGCGGTTGGTCGTCTCCTCCGCAGTCTCCCAAAGGAAAGATGTCCCGCTCCCTCCTGGGCCTCCTGGGTTTATGACGATAGTGCGCTCGCTCTTGTAGCTCTTGGTTGAAATACTGGGATCGTTCTTATGAGCCAGACCAGCGACCTGGAATTTGGTAACTGCAATGCGGACGATACGAGGGTCTGAAGAGTTGTGATAATCGAGTGGGAGATCTAAGTATCCACACAGGTAGATGCCTCGGCCTGTGCTCCCCCAGCTCCAATGCTCTGGGTTGGGGTCGAAGAGGGCGGCCCATGATTGTCGTGGAGTCGGGTCGTCCAGTGGTGGCAGATGACTTGTATTTGTGCAGGGGAGAAACTGGAATGGGTCGTTCTCTTGTGGGAATAATCCATAGGGCAAGTCTTGGATTTGATCGTCCCGACATGCCCAGCGTGGAGTCGGGATAGGCGATTTACTGAACCCCACCAGGCCCACTATCCCTGCGGCTACTACCGTCCACACGATGTTTCTCCAGGGCCATGTTCGCTGAGGTGTCGCAATGAGTTTTCCTTTCTCCATCACAAAGTTCCTAGGGGTGTTCCTTGTTTAAGCGAGCTTCTGTGGTTAGGAAACCCGACTTAATGCTCAATAATATATTATCGCGACCAGAACGTAAGTATAGCGCGTAATTCATGTGGCTATACAAGAACTGTGAGTAGAAGCCGTAATGTCAAGGAAGAAAAGAGCCCGACGTTCCAATTGTGTTCAGTCAGCATCGTGAACCGAGCGCTAGCTTCAGCCCCATTGGCCCCATTAAGGGGGCTGAAATGCTTAGTGAATCCTTCTGAGGCTAACTAATTATCCGAATAACGGAAAAAAGCATCATCTCCAAGTAATCATTTTTAATAGGGTATAAAATATATTTTAGAATATCTTTTGTCCTACGATATAGTTCATTGGTATCTACGCTGGTAGATTGGAGTATCTGGGCGTGATATATATTCGAGTATAGTCACTATTTCTTCAAATTTTATGCAGATCTCGATTGGATAGGTACTTTAGTTACAGTATAATTCCAATATATCGCATCAGTTTTAGTTTAATAACAATCAATCAAATTATCATCTCGGCGTATTCCAAGGTGACATTGGAAGGAACCCACCCTAGACCTAATGGGAACTTCGGGGCTCCGAGTTTGTCGCTAAATAGTCCAATCTTTGCTCAGAAGTCCCTACATTCATATTTATGTGGGTGGGAGGTACTGTATTCCTAGACTGGGGAGCATCGGGTCTCTGTTTCGCCTACTGCTCCGAGAGTCTCATTCACTGTGCTAGGGATCATTCCTTCCGAGCAATACTCTATTTGGATATTTTCATGGTCGACAAAGCTAGGTTCTTAGCTGGTTCACTTACATCCTCACTATCCACAGATGCCACCAACCTTGCAGGAATGAGTAGCGTAACACTTGGCTGTATCTTCATTATCTCAACAATTTTAGTCGCTGGTATCGCTATATCGATTACGATAGGCTGGAAGCTAGGACTCGTTTATACGGTAACTACTCCTATTATTCTTACTTATTGTCTCGTCCGACTGAAGATCCTTGGGGACATAGCTCGACAGTCAAAAGTAGCGTATACAGCTTCAGCGACATATACGTGTAAAACAAGCTCTACGATTAAGACAGTTGCCTCGCTAAATCTTAAAAGTCATATTTAGGAATAGTATTACAACATATTAGAATTCCAGAGACGAAAATTATTCGTTTTAACGCTCGAGTCATCGACGTTTTATGTAGCTTCACAGTCGGCCAACTTTCTCTATATCGCGTCAGATTTCTAGTATAGAGGCAGACTAATCATGCACGAAGGTTATTCTATAGTGCAGTTCTTCATCGCGTATGTAGGGTGTTGTCGTAAGCGCATTCAGTGCAGGGGCTATTTTCTTCTTCGCACTAGATATGAATAAATCTCGCTAGGCGGCGCGGGATTCAAGACATTTCCAAGTTGAATGTCAAGAGCTACAGGAGTCACCTTGCTCTTGTTAGTCAAGAACCGACTCTATATCAAGGGACTATCAGGAAGAACATCACCTTGGGGACTAACGATGAGGATATTTCCGAGGAGAAAATCACCAAAGTATGCCAGGATGTTAATATCTACGCCTTAATCCAAACTTTGCCGTAAGCTAACCTCCTTTGCACCATCTCTGCCCTTTGCCTTTCTGGATCTCTTGTTTGCAAACAAATATCTACTAACGCTCAGCTCAGTGACGGTATCTCGACGATCATAGGAGCGAGGGGCGCCATGCTCACTGGCGGACAGCAACAGCGAATAGCCATTACGCGAGCACTTCACAATTCACGTATCCTCCTCCTAGATGAGGCAACTTCTGCACAAGATTCCGAGTCTGAAAAGGTCGCCCAGAATGCTCTCAATGCGGCGGCTCAAGGCCGGACGGCGATCGCCGTTGCGCATCGAATAAGCACGGTGCAGAAGGCCGATTGTATTTATGGTGAGAAACAAGTATCTCATTCACCATAATCAGCACCGACTTTTCTTTTAGTGTTACACAAAGGCAATGTTGTGGAACAGGGAACGCATCAAGAGTTGATGGAGCGCAGGGGGAGGTGGTATTTTGAGTTCGTGAAGTTGCAGAGCTAGGAGAGGTCGGACTAGAAAATAAGTCTCGTATAAGAAGAGGCAAGAGTCCAATACATTGTCTTCTCAGTCTGCTAGATGAGGCATTGCATATGTGGCTGTTTCGATTTTATTGCTCTGGGTGTGACATAAGCCGGGTACGGTAGCCGGGTGAACTTCCAATTTTGGAAGTTTACGAGGTCGCTCAACTTATGATTCTTGGCCTTTTGAAGGCTGAGTCAAAGGCTCCTCAAGACGCCCTGGGGCCAAAACCTGAGGCTGACCCCAGACTTTCCACTATTTGAGGGTTTGAGCATCCCGAAATCCGAATATGAACATATACTGTATACCTTTATCATGAGTCTTATATCCCCCGGATACCCTAGGCACTCACATGAGCCAGGCCAGAATAAACGGAGCGACCATCATTATGAAACAATTGCAACCAGTGAAGGGAGCCAAATTCGAGAAGTGTCGCCTGTTTCGCGCGAGCGCTCACGAGAACCCAAACAGAGGCAGCAACAAACCGAGCCACTTACGATAGTCGAGAACATCAAAAATGGGCTGGTACATGAGTCGGCGACGAAATACAAAGATCCGCACTATGTTCCACCAGAAGATCCAACCCGCATCCTCGAATATAGCAAATGGCCCGTACCTGCGACCATGTTCGGCCTTATTTTAGTTGGGATTATCATCGGCATCGGTCATCATCTATGCTACAACTACTTAAATGGGAAACCAGTTGCCAACTATTCCCAAGCCTGGATCCTGCGTGTTGCGACCGGTGCGGCCTTTCTTGTTAAGGTCATTTTTGCGATCTCCGTCGGAATCGCTCTCTCTCTCAGGTCAAATGGTTCACAGTGAGACGACGATACTTCAAGATAGGCTCTTTGGACAAAATGTTTACCCTCGAGTCCAGCTTGCTGTCATTCTTTTCCAGAGATCTGTTGGCGGCTCCCTTAGTCCTACTTATGGCTGCTCTATTGTGGTCATTCGGCATCATTTCAATTCTCACCCCCAGCACTCTTTCGGTCACGTATACAACGCACACATTAGTCCGCCCATGCAAGGTGCCCATGTTTGGAGCCGGATCACCAAGCAGTCTCACCGTTTGGCAGCAAGCTCCCGGGGGCAATCGAACACCGTACGGGGGGCCTGCCCCTTCTATGAGCAAAATTGCGGCGAAAACGATAGTCGGGGGTACTCCTGTAGAGTTCGCGTCCCCTTGTGGCCAGAACTGCTCTTATTCAACCTCATTTATGGGCCCTGCAATGAGCTGCGAGACTCAGTCTTTCAAACTAGGCCAGGCGGTTCTTGGGCCCGGCGTTGTACATGACATTGAACATGGCGATTTCTTTTACTATTATGCTTCTCCCGATGCTGAGTACAAGAGTATGATATGGGTGTTATCAAACCAGAAGCAAAGTCGCGACGGTCGTCCAGATATATTGTTATGCGGTACTTGGAATACCACATACAATGTCGATGTGACCTTCAGTGCTGGGATTCCCACGTTTAAAACGACGATTGGCAATCTCAGCGAAGCAGACAAGGTCGACTGGGGCGAGAGTTTCAATAATGCTTACTACGCAAGTGTTGGTATAGAAAATGCTACCGTGCGGCAAGCGCTTGATATGGCTGCAGTTCGGGACTCACTATATGGCAACCTGGCTGGGATTATCTCCATGCGACTCGATGAGCAAAATGCATTCGAATCCAACACATCTTTTGTCCTCTCTAACCTGGTCGATATGTCGGTGAATGAAATCAAGAGCACTTTCAGTTTAAAGCGCGAAATAAAGACCGGCGTCCCAGAGCTCATGCAGAACATTACTTTATCAGTTATGGGGAGGAATACTCCCACGTCCACTACGGAATGTACATCTTTCCAAACAGAATTGGTGTACCACTATTCGCCGCTCTGGCTCCTGGTCCCGTATTTTGTGGGCTTCGGCTTATCTTTTCTGTGTGCCAGTATAGGGCTATATACCCTTGTTGCCGACGGTGTCCCCGTGGAAGACAATTTCAGCCAGATTCTCGTGACAACTCGAAATCCAGCACTGGATGAGATCTGTGGTGGTCTTTGCCTTACTAGCAACCAGGGAGAATATCTAAAGGAACAGAGGATCCGCTTTGGTGAATTGATCCGTGAGGATGGACTGAGTAGCGGCGTCTGCCATGCTGCGTTCGGACTGGAAGGGCAGACTGTGCCAATCCAAAAAGGGAGGAAATACCATTGATATAGTGGTACTGTTTTGACTTGGCTTTTTCATTTATAAATTAACAAATCGAAGTGATATAGCCTCCAGAGAAAGTAGATCCAGAGTGCCGTCGTCGCGCTCAGGCCACATCGTTGTTCAGCTTTTCTGCTTCTGTAATTTGTGCAAGAGGTCCCCATTATCTGCATCGGAGCTTTGAGCAGAAGGGTGCGCGATTTGTATGATATGTAAAATGAAATGAAGAACGATTTATGACTTCCTCCTTGACTCTAATCCAGTGCTTATAGAAAGAAGAGTAGCCAACCCATCATCCTTCTGGGACTGGGTTGTAGTGTTTGACCGGCATCTCGTGGTATAGCAAGCAGATCACTCTCGGGAGTTCAATGGCAATGGAATCATTCCTGCCATAGACCTTTATGCCATGCCTGTCGTTATAGTCACCGTCGGGTATTTCGAGCTCCAAGGGTCGGGTTTTGTTCAATGAAACCTGGCAGATCAAAGTCAGATGGCAGCTCAATTGCCCCGGACACAAATGGAGGAGTATGTTGAAATAAAAGACACAAACCTGGGCGCGGTGGATACTTAGCTTTGTGCTCTTTTAACAAGCCCTGATCTAGCAGGCTGCTTTCATACCTTTCTTTTGAACCAATCCTCTGCAGTATACCCCACAAGGCCCAACGCAACCTTGAGTTTGTTTCATTGACAGACAGGCACCGGTGCCACTAAGCAAACCCCAGGCCATTGCGCGAAGTTGGCTCTGCGTGGTCCACCTCGCAGGGATGGCGGTTTGGCTTGACCATTCCTTGTTCAAGCGATGGCAGATGCACAATAGGTTGAAGAAACCAAGCACCATCCCAAAGATCTGCATTGCGTAGGAGAGGCAGCATCGTGGCGGTGATTTGAAACGCTTCGGACCTGGTATAAATACTGCGGTTGTGTATCCAAGGCGTCTCACGTCGATGTCGTACCGTAGTCAGACCCGCTGCTCCTTTGGTTGTATGTCTCCGAAATCGCGTCCGGTGGGGGAAGCGAATCTGCAAGTCGGTCTTCAAGTGTCGTAGACGCGTTGGATCTCATCACACATATCTTCTCCAAGCGCCGGGACAAGCCGAGCAGTTGATGAAAAAGTGGTCGCGTACGTCGGGGGCATTGTAAGCCCATAAACAAAGTGAGACTTGGCTATACTAAGTGACTAATGTACAAAATCAATAGGGGTGAAAACACCCCCTATTCATGTATTCCGTGGGATCTGTCAGTGACTACTGAGCTCCAAGAGTTCAGTCACCAACTTATCAGGACTCGCACGAGAACTGTGAGTTTGATTTGTATTCGGACCTTCGAAGGCCTCAGCAACTTGGTGTTGATGTCTTTCGAGGACCACCCTCTGCGCTGCCTCGGGTGGACTACGGTGAGACAGGGAGGATTGGGGGGAGGAAGAAGAGAAGAGGGAGAAAGGTGGGAGGAATCCTTTTATAGTCTCACCTATCTTCCTAAAATGGACTTTCCCCTGCACCTTCCCTATTTGTTCTCTGTCACATGATACCTTCAAAGAGACTTTATAAATGGTTTGAAGAGAAATATTTATAGCTGTGGCAATACTGATTAAAGAGATCTGTAAGATATTATGTAAACTCCAGTTTTCACAAGAAAGTCCATCAATGTAAGGCACAGGGATTGACGCAGTATGTTTTACTCTAATGTCTAGGTACAATTCGATCAAGCTTACTTTTCTTAGTTTAGCACTGGAGTCGTTGCATGTTCTATGGAGTACACTAGATTCAATTGGGTCACAATATACATGAATGTTCGAAACCTCCCAGTCATCACTCACAATCCCCGAATGGCACCAGCAAGATCATCCATATTCTCCAAGAACACATCAAATTCTTTCTTGACCACCTCCATATCTTCATCAATATCATCAGTCCACCGATGAACATACACAGTTCTCAATCCACATTTCTGCGCACCCCGCAGATCATACGCATGAGCCGCAATCAAAACCACCTCCTCGGGACGAAGCTTCACAAGCTCCAGCCCCTTCTGATAAGCCTCAGGACGGGGCTTATAAGCACCCAACAACTGACTAGAAAATAGCATGTTGAATTCCAACCCAGAAGACCGAGTCAAGTCCAACTGTAGCCGTGTCGTACCATTCGCATGGACGAAGACTTCCAACCCGAGATCTTGTCGCAGACTCTTGATTGCATCGGAGACTTCAGGCCATGCCTTCTGCGAATGCCATGCTTCAATGATTTTCTTGTTCGTCTCGGCGTCGAAGTGCGGTTTGTGGTCAGGTGACTGGTCGAGGAGAGCTTCCAGGGTGCGGGCAAGGGTGATATCGATATCTTCTGGGTGAAGATTGTTGCTGACACGCTTGCTGTTCTCTAGGAAATATTGTCTGCGCCATTCTAGGGCAAACTTTGAGGCTTCGTCTTTGGGGATTGCTGCGGGTAGTGCTTGCACTACGCTGCTGTGCCAGTCGAGGCATGTTCCCATGAAGTCGAAAAAGACTGCTTTGATTTTTGGCTGAGACATTGATGTAGCTCTTGTACCTGCTATGAAGGTAGAATCAAAATTTTACGAAGAAATGAGAATTTTGGTAAGCTGACATGTAGATCTGATGCTCTTGGCGGGGAATGTTTGGATTAGAAATCCAAATGCTTCATCCACCAGCTCAGGGATAATACTTATTATCTCTCCTATTTTTCATTCGCCTTTCTGAAAGACTGTAGTACAATACACGGACTGATATTCCCCCAGAAAGATAAACATGTGAAGACGTTTGTGAAATGAACAAAAAACATCAACTACGTAAATATATTAAGAAGACCGTAAAAAATGCACACACAATAAATCATTATTAAACAGGCCAGTGAACATTTTTCGTGGAAGGCCCAAGACTTATAAGATCCCGCGACCTTCTACGCAATATATAACTCCGATTAACGACATATTCTCCCGATTTTACATTCCTATAAAGGCGGTCCACCATCACTTCTGCCACTTCATAAATTGCAGCCTCGTCGGGAAGGTCCCCAGCAACCCGGACTGATATACAGTGAGAGTATCTGTGATGCATGGGTAAATTATTCACTGTAACCTGTTGGTTCACGATGCGGTACATCATACAGCGGAGCAGGTCGAGATCATTAAGCCTGGCCTCATCCGGGTCGAAGTATACTGTGACCCACACAACCTGATTTCCTGTAGGGCCGTCAGGTACAGGCTCATTATCTATGCGATTTATAAACGCGGTTCGTGTAGACATAGTAATGTTTGTTAGGTTTTTTATCAGGGAATGAGCTTGAAAATTGGCTTAATTCGAGTGAGGAATTATTTTTTTTCCCCCTCTGAGTGGTATTTGTACGTGTGTATAGGAGGCGGCGATGAATAAATACCTATCACTAAGACAGGATAATATGCCTCATTATAAGAAAGCTGCTTGGGCTGCTGATAAAAACAAAGAGTTTTGTCGTTTTGTGCCAGATATAGGAATGGAGTCGACAAAGTACATCTTCCTTTCAGGCCTCGATATTAAAGAAATAAGCTCATCGGATAGGTCTTAGGGAACTCTTTGTTCAGATTGGACTTGGAATATACCACAATAATAAAACAAAGACGCTCAATCTTTCACTTTCTTCAAAGAATATACGCACTTGTTCCATTCTTTGTCTACATCCCTCCCGTATCAACAAAAGAACCCAATGAATATCAATGAAACCACTAAAAAGCATCCGACCTCAAATGAAAAAGCCGAAAAAGCCTCACGCGATCAATCTCAATATTCCCCGCCGCACACTCGGCCTGGTAAAAAAGCGCCAATTCCAATGCATCTTTAAGAAAAGCATCAAGATACAAATCCCGAAATCTAGCAAAAGCCCAATAATCCCCACGAGCCGGTAACGATAGACATCCCATGACTCTGTGATGCATAGGCTCGGGGGTAATCGAGACATTGATAGGTGTTTTCTTAGCAATTCTCGCGTGGATAGTGTCTGCCACTAGGTCCATGAACTCCGCGTCTGTTTTGTTGCGGTTTTCTGGAGTCGCGATGAATACGTTTACCCAGACTACGGGTCCGCGGATGCGACATCTCTCGTCTGTGTAGATTCCATTGTGCATGAACATACCTTCTTGTACCATATTTGGTAGACTTCTGGATTTTTACTAGATGGATTGGAGTTTGGCTGAGGGAATGGGGCCTACCATAACAAAGCCATCCTGGTGGCTAAAATGGGAATGTATGAGATATGCTCTTACTATTATAGTAGTTGGGATACTGTTTGCCTTTGTTTGAATTGAAGACCTACCTTTCATTGTCACAATGGCTTTCTCTGCTCAATTTACGATGAGCTAGGAATGACCTTAGGTGGGTTGGTAAGACAAAGGGCTTTAGAGGGCTCGTTCTAGTATGTAGCTGATCAAACAAAGGACCATGGTCATATAGTATCGTACAAGTAGAGTTCTATACCTCTATGTTGTAGGGCTACAACATATACTGGATTTTAATTTATTTAATCAGGTTTTAGTTGACATTTAAATTAATGCATGAAGACCAAATTGGACACGGCTGAACTGTACAGAAAGCCACACTAAATCCAAATAGGCAACACTGAAGCCCCAGTCAATGTTCTCGCTGTTCTGATTGGCGAAGAAATGGTCCCTGAGCCGCCCCCACGGGCCAGAACCATGTGGACCCTGCGGGCGTTAATCCCAGCCCTTTTCCTCTGGACGGAGTATGGCTTTTACCAACTGCAGACTACCTCGGCAGTGTACTTCAGCTAAAAATAACCCCTAATTAACTTGGCAAAATACATGTCAAGTCAGCAAATCTTACCCATGCATTAGCTCGGCGGTCCTGAGGGCTGACACCTGTTTGAGGTGGAGGATGCCCAAATGCTATTCGTCTCAGGCAGGCGGCTAACCAATTTAGTTTACAGTGACCTCGTAAAAGTGGATCTGACGTGAAAGCGCTAATATATCCTGCAGCTCTAAGTCATGGCTGATAGGCTAAGTCAGGGTCAAAACGGATATGCCCGAATCCCAGAAGAATGAAGAATAATAAGAGGTTAATTCCCACCCTTGTCTTCCTCGAGTTTGTGAAGGACTGGCAAAAGGTTTCCAACCGGAATCTGGGGACCCCAGTTACTACACTGTCATTATGTTGGGATTGAACGGTGGCCACACTCAAAACGACCCTGTTCTTGTTCAATCATCCGATCAGACCCACGACCAGAAAGCACCCGACGCAACAACATACGCCTCTCCTCCTAGAGATGGAGTTACTCCGGCAGCATGGGGAACCGGATGGCGGTGTCCGACTATGATGGTCGTATTGGTCTTTAGTGGGGCGATGTTTTCGATGGGCCATCACTTATACTACCAAAGCCTCGACAACACCCGTGTCAACTCCGTCGACCAACAAACCTGGGCAATTCGAATCGGAACCGGGTTTGCTTTCCTGATTAAATCATTTTTTGTGTCGGCGATTGGGATCGCAGGGGTGCAACAGATGTGGGCCACTCTCCGTCGCAAGTTTGTGAAGATTCGCGGGATCGATGGCATGTTTTCCGTCTTGACCAGCCCGCTCGGTTTGCTCACCTTGGACGTTTGGATGTGTGCGAAAACGCTCGTCCTACTTTCAATTATGTCATGGTACGTATAAAGTCTTTTTCTATGGGGAGGCACTTATTCACAGTTTGACCAGGCTTATCCCATTAACGGCCATTGTTACACCTGCTACCTTAACCATCAATCTCCTGACAACCACAAATATTACCAATATACGTGTTCCCACTGTGAACTTCGCCTTGGATGCTTTCTGGCATCCCTGGGCAACCTTCCATGGGGCGGGAATGATTTCATCGCCCGCAGCCACCATCGACCGCTTATTTACAGCTACTTACTCGTCTGCCGAAGTGGTCCCATTCTCTGCACCTTCCCCTAACTCATCATACACTCTAGAATTCTGGGGCCCTTCATACAAGTGCCAAAAGCTGAGTGAAGCTGTCGTGGAGATGAAGGGGATGAACCTTTCAGATTCAGCGAGAAATTATGGTTCCTTGCAGAATGAGTGGAATTACCAGGTTGCCAACAAAAGCCTCAGATTCCCCGTTGTATACTCGACAGCTGTTAGTACAGCCCTTAACAACACCATTTACGTGTTCGCCACAGGATCAAACCCCCTATGGAACGACAATGCCACACAACCAACCGAGCTTGTCTGTCAGCTTTGGAATACCTCATACGTGGTAAACCTAAATTTTACGAACGGTATCCGGACTCTCACGCCTATATCAACGAAGCATGTGGCACGCTCGAATTGGGACGGAAGGTCTGGCGAGCTCACTACAACTGACTTCCCTCTGGAGTCAGATGTCAATGGTGGTTTCTACCTGACTCACTTGCTATTCTCTGATCTCTTGCGAAGTACCATGATCATCAGCTCTATCGGGTCATTGACAACCTTTTTGACGTCCACATTGCGAGCAACCAATTGGGAATCCCCCACGAGGTCAATACAGCAGACCGGTCTTTTCGCATGTCCAGATGTGTGGAACAGTACAGACTACAATTTGCTACGTCTTGCAACTCCGGAATCTGCGCTTTGCCGGAATAAAACATTAGCCCGGGCAATAGAAGATCTCTCGCACAACTTCACCTACAGTCTGCTCAGTCTCAATGGCGCGAACTCCAGCTTGCCTGTGACAATCTCATCGCCCCAGAATTTTTACTCTTATGATAGTAAAAACCTGCTTGCGGCTTATATGACCGCGCTCGGTGTCACTGTTGCCTGTGTGATCGTTGGATTGTTTGCTTTGCGCGAGAATGGCGTTGCCCAGAGTACCTCCTTCTCCAGCATGCTGATGACGACTCGAAACCCAGAATTGGACCATCTGACCAAAGGGCATTGTCTGGGATCCGATGTGGTTCCGGATGCGATTGGTGATATCAAGTTACGATTCGGGGAGGTCGAGGGCTCGGAACAGTACAAGCATGCTGCATTTGGAACTGAAGAGACGGTGGCTCCTATGTCTAAGGGGAAAGAGTATTACTAGCTAGGGCACAAATCCTCGTCATTAATGGCAACGTCATCATTGTTTTCTTATGCTGGCTGTCAAGGATCTTCCTGCTGGCGATGAACTGCCGTCGATCAACCGATTGACTGCATCATCAAGTAGTGCCCCTCCCGCTAAGGGTTCTTGTTCACCAGTTCGATTACCGGAAAGGGCAGCATGTCTTTGTATATATACCCCATGTTTTCAGAGCAAATGACAATTTACGATTACATATAAATCTCATGCGATACCTCCCTGGCTAGGACCAACCTCGAATGATGGCTCTACACTAAGCGCCATCCCCTGTTGACCTACAGATTCCAGACTGTCCAGTTAAATATGTGCATATATGGTCTTCTCATCTAAAGTTATGTACTCCAAAATGCTAATATACTCTTCCAAAATCAAATCACTCACAACTTAATCCACCTCCCCATCCAAGTCTCAACAATCTCCTTAGCCTCATCAACCAAACCAAGATCAAGCAACAACTGCGTCGTCCCCCGCACCGCCGAATCCAACGCCGAGAAAATCCAAGCATGGGTATAACTAGTATGCTCCCCAATAAAGATAGTCTTAAACTCCGTCTGATAATAAGCAGGCAAAAACAACTCCTGCTGCCCAACAAGCGGACTAGCCCAAGCACCCGCCTGATGCTGATCAACCTCCCAACACTGTCGCTCATACACACCGGTAAACTGCTCAGCAGCAATCTCACCATGGGCCTCGACCATCGCACGCTGAACGAGCGCAACATGCTCCTCTTCACTCAACGCCGCCGTCGACCGCGCCGGCGTACCAGAGATATAAGATGCGAGAATCACACCAGGACCCGTCGCATTCATGTTGTACGAGGGATAGCAGACATTCCCGACACCGGCGATATCAACAGATCCACATCCACCAAAGATGGGTTCTTCCATGTGTTCCCAGAACCGCGTCTTATACAGCAACGAGATCTTGCACGAGGGGCTGTAATTCATTGTTGAGATAGCCCGACTCAGAAGCGACGAGTACCGCGGCAGATCCCACAGTCTGACTTTACTGAATGGTGCAGCAACGACGGCGTAGTCGTATTCTTTGGTTTCGGGGACCATCTGGAATAGATCGTCGCGCCATGCGACGGCGACTTTACCCGTTGTCTCGTTGTAGATTAGACCGTCGATTGTGCGGTTGAGGGTTGTCTTTTCCGCGACGTGGGGGTAGAATGCGCGGGGGAGTGATTCCAGACCCTTATCGATTGTGCGCCATTTTGTTGCGGCGAAGTAGACGTCATCATATAAGCCGCCCCAGATCGGGGATGTGTCTGCGCCGGCGACGTAGTCGGTGATGTTGGCGTCGTAGCCCATTGCGTATTTCAGGTATCCGGCTTCGGACCAGTGGAACATGCCGTCGTCGACGGCTTGTTTGTGGGCTTGGTACATATTTGTTGCTAGTTTGCGAATTGTTTCGCGGTCATTTAGTTTTGTGTAGTCGTCGAATGCGGATTCGGCTTCTTCGACGGCAGTTTCGTTTGATGAGGGGGCTTTGTAGACTAGGGATGAGTTGGCGGCGACTTGGGAGACAGTGGGGATTCGACCATTTGGGAGACGATTGCCGCCAGATGCTGCTGGGACGTTGGGGCTGTTCTGGACAAAGGGGATGAAGTTGACTTGAAGATCTGGGTTGTCGTTGTTCATCTTGTTAAGGACGTTGGCTAATTGGAAGACCATGCGGTGATCTTGGATTTCGAGGGTCTCATTTGTGTCGGCATATGTGATGCTTACTGGGAATCGCATTGGTCCCATTTCTTGATATTGATATTGCTCGGGAGTAGTGTTGTTGAGGTATTTCGTACGAATACGACCACCGACTCGCCCGGACGATTCATAGATGTGCCAGTCATGGATACCGACAGATTCGAGCAGCAAACTCGTCATCAAGCCGGACATTCCACCACCAAGAATAGCAACGGAGGTTTTCTTTGCTTTAGAGACAAATGCGTCGCTGTGCTTTTTTGACTTCATGTACGCCACTCCGTCAAACCATGGTCCCGTGGCATCTGCTACATCGGCGATACTCTCACGCTTCTGAACAGGTGATGAGACCATAATGGGGGAAGAACGTCCCAGGAGCGTTGATCCGGAGAAAGCATGAAGACAATTGGAATGGGGCGCGTCAGATGGTGTGGTCCAGACGAATCGCTCTGGGTGTGCTTCGCGTTTCACGAACGTGCTCCCGATCGAATGGTGACTCTGTATCGGATCTCGGAGCCCGCATTCCCCGTACACGAGCTGCAGATGACCTTCGAACTGATCGTCCAGGAATTCGACGTGGATGTTGTGTAGTGAGTCGGTGGTTACACCCCCGGGGCTGTGAAACCGTATCACCTCGATGTTTCTTGCGACCCCGGCTAGGCTTAGGCCTGATAGACCCAACCCTAAGAGGGTATGTTGTAGGTAAACCTTCATTCTTGGCTCGGGCAAGAGTAATGTGTGAATGAACTATGAGCACTTGATGGCCTATTTGTCTTCATACTTGGGGACGCTTTATAGGACTATCTTTTGCTTGTATTCATTATCTTTCGGATACTTCCCAATATCTCGAGCTACTATCTTTGAGGATGTGCTCTAGGTTCCTTATCTGGTCAAATTGAAGCTGGGGGAGATAGTACCTTGGATCGATATCATCCACGGGTAGTATATCCTCCTCTACAGCTTGACTAGTATATCATAACTTCTGTGGGTTTTACGTAAAAGCATAGAATCTCCAGTATACAATTAATAGCTCTCTCTTAGCCAACTAGAAACTCTGGATTGATACAGCTGTTGTATATTTCTCTTATCAAGGCGGCTTGTTCCGCTATACGTTATCTTAGACCGGGGTGTTGCGGCTAAGTCCCGGGGGCGTATTCGATATTAATCGCGGGGAAGATTTCTTGCCAATATAGGATATGAATTTTTGAGTTAGATCGACAATCTCCAGCTTGTTATCTGAATTGGTAATGCACAGAGATCGGAACAGTCGGCAAAAGATAGTCTTGGCACGCCCCGTGTCTGAATAGCTTCTAGAAAGAGAAAGACGAATTAGAACTCTTAGATTGGGTATTCGGTTGATTTGGATTATCATGACTCACTTCCTTGCTATGGCTTGTATCTACTCCGTACTCCAGCGCCCGTTCGATATCTTTTTCAATAGCAAAATGATAGGGCTACTCCCCAAGTATGTAGTCTCTCCATCAGACAAGACTGAGATTTTGATATATTCTCAACATTCTATTCCAACGTGTTAGTCTACGTAAACGTATAATAATTTCCATTCAAACGGAATAGAAGAGATAACAATGAAATAGTCATATCAAACCAAAAAAATTCTCCGTACTCGCATACCAGTACCTAACTAGGCCAAGGCTTAAACGGTTTAGGAATGCAGATGCGGAGACCCGCCATGACCCGCGTCACGTGAATATCAATGCATATCTAACATTGATTCTTTACTACACAAATAATTTCATTCCTAGAGAAGACAGCTCAAATCTATTGAAAACAACTAGAACGGAAGCCTGGCAAGGAGACCTTCCAGCCCTATACAGGCAAGCTGAGCACAATCGTCATGAAAGCACTCGGCCAGAATACCTCGAATATCATCCAACCCAGTCTGCACACCACGACAATCGAACTGGAATTTATAGCCCAGGAAGTAGGATCGAGGTAATCCATGCAGGAAGGCCCGTTGTGGAGTCTCTAATGCCATTTCCGGGCCAATTTCCTCCATATCCCCCAGAAGGGAATCAAGCAGATCGAGTTGGTCGCAGATGTCCCAGCAATTCTCCATGCAGAAGCCATCCTGTCGTAGTGTGTGTAGGATGGTCTTCATGGTGGTTGTGAAGTGTCTATGTGTCTCGTTGAAGCGTTGTTCAAGGTCCTGGGTATCTTCAGATGAATTCATATCTGGGAAAATGGGGTGTTGCTCCCAAAGTCATCAGTAGTACGGAGTATAGGGAACTTCTGTGGTAAGTCAAGGATGTAGAGCTTAATGGATCTAAGGGAACTGTTCCCAAAATGATCGCTCCCAAATGTGGTGGAATTCAGCTTGTTTAAAACCTACTACAACATAGCCAGCTGAAAGAGTCATATTAGAAAGACAGTCATTTAAGAGATGGAAATCAACAGAAGTAGAATCTCATTGTTAAAGATTGCTTTATTCTTTGTAGATAAGTGCGTAAAGGAAGAATTCATTGTTAGGAGTAACAAAGGGAAAATGGTATATAGTAACGGTAACAGAGAAAGAAAAGGATATCAACGCTAAAAAAGAAAGATCAAACATTAATCACAACATATCGTTGTCTCCTCCAATTTCCGTGTCTCATCTTGCACGTCATCTATTCCTACTGTAACAACCATCCAATCACATAAAAACTTGCCCAGCCCCGCACCAATAAAGATGCAAATAATCACATAGACATTAAAATACATGGCTAATAACATGGTGATATAAGCCCCTGCAAAAGTGACTGCATGAATCACAGACCTCGTCAATTGTTGCAATGGCGTTGCGCGAAATGTCACGGCCGTTCTGGCAGATTCAAATTTCTTGGCAAAAGTCCCGTGCGCGGCTTGGCGCTCAAATTGGCGGGTGAGGAAATTGTCGAATTCCCGACCAAGGCGTCGAAAGAACTCGACTAACACAACAAGGAGAATTGTGCCTATGCAGGTCGCTGCAAACATGCCATTATTCTTGATTTGCCATCCAGTGGATAGAAAGCAGGCATCGATGGTATGAAAATTGAAGAGCATCTGGTTTTTTTTTATTAGTGAATCCACTTGGAATCGAATGTCTTGGCACTCACCGAGACCTTACAGCTGGTCTCGCTGCTGCCATGGTCCATGCCTTCCATCTTGACTGGTGGTTTTGGGTATAAGATGATGGAGGTTTAAGGAAATGGTGTAGTCAATATTAAGGCTCGAGGCCATCGGTCTTATAACCTGATGGCCTCTCTCCACCTACGCTAAGGCAAAGTGGAGAAACCCAGCGATGGTGTGGGAGAAATGTGCTCAAATCGACTCAAATGTGAGATGCCACTTTGAACTTGTTACAACGTAAGACATGGACGGTTAAAAATCTGGTCTTCTCCCGTTTTCATTTTGCGCACCATGAAATATTTCAACCAAACGCAGAATTCGGTATATAAGTGAATTGTCGCTCATCGCAAGTGAGCTGAGGCTCATACTCGGTCTTCAACATCAGACTGCATAAGGCAGTTCAAGACAAAATGTCGTCCCCAAAATTGGATGTTCGCCATATCCAAGATATGAGCAAGGCGACAGCATTAGAGCCTCATTGGGGATACTATGATCGCGCCCTCCCTTGCACCAGCGATCCAGGATCATGCGAGTATCTCGACATCGTATATGAATCCCATGACCTGGGAATGTTATATTCAGGCATTATGTGGTGTGTTATTGGCGCAATTTTGCTCCTCTGGGTCATCCTGAACCAGTTCAATACACCAACGATATCACCAGCACTGGCTGCGCCAAAACTCGCTGGGCTATACAAAGTCCGCCGCTCTGTTGCTTCATTAGCCCGGAAATATCTCTTGCCTGACGCAGCTCGGCTGATCTTCGGCCGCACAACACGCCTTCAAGTGCTTACCCTCGCTCTGTTGGCTGGCTATCTCTTGATCTTCAGCTTTGTCGGCATTCTCTACAACACATGGGTCACCCCCGTCAAAAAGATGCCCGGTGTATACAATACCCGCAACAGTATCGGCCCATGGTCAGACCGCATCGGCACCCTGGCCTACGCCCTCACCCCACTCTCCGTGCTCCTAAGCAGCCGGGAGTCCTTCCTCTCTCTCATCACTGGCCTGCCATACCAGAGCTTCAACTTTCTCCATCGCTGGCTGGGCTACATCATCTTCCTGCAAAGCTCCCTGCACACAATCAGCTGGTGTGTCGTCGAACTAAGAATGTACCAACCACAACCCACCGTTGGACTCGAGTGGGTCACTCAGACATACATCGTCTGGGGCCTCGTCGCCATGATCCTCCTACTCCTACTCGTCATTCTGAGCACACCATGGGGAATCAGACTGACCGGCTACGAGACCTTCCGCAAACTCCACTACATCCTCGCCATGGTCTACATCGGCGCCTGCTGGGCCCACTGGAAACAACTCAAATGCTTCATGTGGCCCTCCCTAATCTTCTGGTTCCTCGACCGCGGCGCTCGTCTCGTCCGCACAGCCCTACTACACTATCACCCCGACCACACCGGTACTCTCAATCTGGGCTTCAAGCCCGCCGAAGCAACAATCACCCGCTTCCCAGACACCGACCACGGAGACGTCATCCGTCTCGACCTACACAACAACCAAGACCCCTGGTCCATCGGTCAACACTACTACCTCTCCTTCCCGAAAAGCAGCATCTGGCAATCCCACCCTTTCACACCGCTCAACCTGCCCACCGTCTCAAAAGGCACGGTCCAACACTCCTACATCCTCCGCGCAAAAAGCGGCGAAACAAAAAGGATCGCCGACCTCGCAACCACAACACCCACAACACCCGTCATCCTAACAGGTGCATATGGCGAGTCCATTACATCACACTTAACACCATCCACCAATATAATCTGCGTCGCCGGCGGGACCGGCATCACCTACGTCCTGCCCATTCTCCTCAACCTCGCCCGCGAACAGCCCTCCCCAGACCGAAAGGTCGAGCTCATCTGGGCCGTCCGCCATACGGCGAACACAGCCTGGATAGCAGCCGAGCTGGATCTGCTCCAGAAAGCGCGGAACAAGTTGAATCTCGAGATAAGAATTTTCGCCACCCGAGATGCGGGGAGTAAAACTCCCTCGATTGAGAACTCCGATGAGGAAAATTGTAATCTGGAGATTCCAAAGGTCGAGGAGAAGGTGCAGGTTTCGCCTAAGTCTGTTTCTGCGTGTTGTGGATGTGAGAAACCTCCTGGTATTGAGAAGCTTGGTGGCGCGGCGGATGATGTTAGCAGACATCCTGATCTGCCGCAGTTGGTTAATGGGTTCTTGGATCAGACGGTCCGGGGTCCGACTAGTGTTTTTGCTAGTGGGCCTGGTGGGATGATTACTGATCTGAGGGATATTGTTGCTTCTTGTAATTCTGGTGGGAAGGTTTGGAGGGGAGAGGAGAGGTTTGATGTCAGTCTTGTTTGTGATGATCGTTTGGAGTGGTGAGTGGATTCATTGCAGCTGGCTGCAGTGAGTATATAACTGGAGTTGTGATTCAATGTATATATTTTTGAGTTCTATGGATTATATTCACGGACGATATCTGCGTAATATCCTCTTGCGTGTAGTTTCCTGGCGTCCTGTGGTGTACGGATCTGGTGTTGGCGCCGGCTCTAGATGCTGTACACTTATCACCGGATGAACTCGCCAAGTCGGGGGTAAGTCCAGCTTGTACGCCAGGCGGCCAATTCGCTCGACGACTGTAAAAAGCCCTGTATACTACTGTCCGAGTTTACGTGTGATTGCCTCGTTTACCGGATGTTGTATCCTCGTCCAATTCGAAGGAGGACTTTGTCGCCCACGGCGAAGTGCATCGGTTGATGGCGTCTGTCATAGTAATCCTTCATACACATCGCGGCGTACCTCAGAGATGCAGAACAATATAGGACAATTTATAGGTTAGGTCATCATTTTCCATCTTTAGGGGCCTTAGCAGTTCTCGGTAGGTGTAAACAAGGGCGTTCCGGCCTTCCAGCTCAAGCTTTAGTTGTTTAAGCTTGAGGTGTTTGTTTTTAACCTCTGGAATACCGTTCAGTCGAGGACAATATGGCAGGATAGGATGGGAGTGTAGGAAATAGGATATGTTAGTCTGCTCCTAACAAAGGTTATATATGAAAAATATCTCTCACAAAGCCTTTTGTGGTCTTTTTTTTTGCCGTCGACCCCTGTAAATGACAAATTATATAAAAAGATTCCACTGGAGAGACAACTGAAAAGACCACCGAGAAGACCGTTGAAAAGACATCACAAGCTCCCTTATGCGGCGGACTATTTTTACTATACTTAGATATGCATTTGCTATGAACCCTTAAGACAACCCCTATTAGGCAGTTATTTAATACGTAATAGTATTTGAGATGCTGTTTGCTAGATTTACAGGGGTATAAATACCCCTTCATAGATTCCCTGATATGAACAGCGATGATCCTGTCATTCGATCCCGTGCGGCCGAGCAGCTTACAGTATTATCACCTTTAATGCAACAACTCGCCTTTGCTTGCAAAGAACGTCGCCGGCGTCCATTATGCTGTTAGGGATTTCAAACCCCTTGGAGTGGCCTGCACTATTCTAGATATCACACATAACCCAATGGATCTTGAATTGGCTAGACATCGATAACTCTCCCTCGGCTACCTTGTCTCCTAATGTAGATAGTGTCATTCGCCGACTCCAAATCTCGGAATATTATAGAATCGATAACCCAGAAGCTTCTGTACGCGTCGTTGTCGAGCTACTTATTCTTAACCAGCTCTATTATCCTTCTGATAAAGGGTCGCTCGACCATCTACAGCTCTATCCGGAGGTGGATGTCAATCTTTTACGCGGCAATACGTATGTCACTAGCTGTGCCGACTAGCTACTTTGCTATAATAACCCTCAATATGGCATTGATTCGACGTTGATTGCTATAGAGGCTAAGCGGAGTTGCGAGTTTTCCTATGCCGACCGTCAAATGGCTACATATCTCGCAGCTGTGCAGGACTGTCGGGCCAAAATCCCAAAGATCTGTCACGTCATGGACTATATATATCGGAGCCTGGAATATCTGAGCATAATGCTCAGATATAGTGGTCTTTTTGGCCTAGTGTGTAACTCGCCAGTCCAGGGGCAGGTTGTAACAAGATCCATGCTATTGCTTTCGGAATCACGACAGATAGTACTAGATATCAGTTCTGGTTCTTGGACGAACGGCGGCTTTTGATACAAATCTTTCTTCCTTCCTCATCCCGTATCCGCGGATGCTCAACAGGTCATGAACCCGGACTATATGCACAAACATGCCACATTCCTAAACAGATCTGTTTCGAAACAACTAATTGTGGGTTTTAATTCTACCCCAAACACCCAAGTCTCTTGGCCAAGTACTTCAAAGTGCCTTCTACTAACCGATCCCAGATACAGCCGCAGGCTTGCACACCTCCTATTCGTCCTATACCTAGAGCAGCCAAAGCAGAGCTACTCGAAGACAAAATGTGCCAACCTCTGAGTTGGAACCCTCAGGGTAGTATAGCGCACTGGGGGATTGGCTCACCAGAGGTTTAGTTACCAACAATCTGGATAATGATACGGACGTGCTCACTGAGTTTCCGGACGCGTCACCGACGGATGACGAAAGCGATGATGACGATATAGTTGAGTCCCCGAAATCTACAAAATTCCGTCCCTTCCTCATCTTCTATAATGAGCAACCTTCCAGACGGACACGTCGTCCACCATTTTACGGATTTCAAGTTGCTATGTGCCTGTGCCAAAACTCTCGTCGAGTCGCTTCAATCAAAATCAGAAAACCAGTGGCTTGTCGTTCTCGGCTTGTCCCAATCAGATATACAAAGACTCGATGAAGACCACAATTGTTTGGAGGGGATCGAGTATCGGTTTTCATGGGAAGGACAAACTGGGCTCATCAAGATAGTCCCATCATTCGAGCACGATTCGGTCACGGATGCGCTTACTAGGGCAGTGGATCTTTCTCTTATCAAAATGGGACTTGTATCGACGACCAACAGGAAGTGGGTGGCCACTACAACATACAAGCCAACCGTGAACAAGGGTAAACAAGCCGACCAAGGTTTTCTTCCACCATCTCGCCGCCCACCTATTCCCGGAAGTTCTCCTGGTTGGCCAACTCTTGCTATTGAGACGGGATTATCTGAATCCTTATCTCAACTTAGACATAATGCCCGTTGGTGGTTCTCTAACTCTTCGGGTGAGGTCCGAATCGTCCTAGTTATCTCTATCTCGAAACGAAAGGATAGAGTCTCTATTGAAAAGTGGCAACTGGCATCAACAAACCGCCCACGCTCCCTTACATGCGCGCACGAAGTCGCGATTACGGCTAATGGCGTGACTGGTGCACCGCTCACAATAACATTTGTCGCACTGTATGATAGACCGCCGGCACACGGGGAGGGAGACATTGTTCTTACAGCGCGGGATTTCCTGGATATCACCAGTGATTTATTTTAATGCTATGGCCATTTGCTGCGCTTATCAATACCCCAGTTTATATACTCCCTGACTTGGTCATTCCTATTTTGCATGTAAACCCATTTGAATCTCTCGAAAGGGAAGGTGCGTCCACACGGCGTTGGGATGCCTTAAAAAATATGTATGTATCCATTTCTGCCTAGATAATCTAACAACACCCAAAATATATCTACTTTGCCTGGCCGTTGGCACTGGCATTTAGTCCAAGCTTCCCACCAGGCAAAAGCATCCCAGTCCGATCAATGAACGACCGCGCTCGAATATAAGGGTCCAACTTCCAATAGTTCTCGCGGAACTCATCAATAACAGCATTCCGTCTCGACTTGAGTTCCTGCACTTTCGATACATCTTCCTTCCCATCACTGTGCGAGCTGGCAGATATCCACGCTGCTGTCGCGCTAATCATCCGGATACTGATCATCATGCGGTCGTACATGAGCGAGTCGCGCGTTTCAGTGTCCTTCATGATGGCATTTTCGTCTTTCACGGGCTCGTCATATGTGTAGCTCCAGTCTCCCTCGCCGGCAAACTCTTTGGGGATCGTGTTGCGCGGGATATACTTGTCTAGGTCTGCGACTGAACGTGTGAAATGCACTTTTGATGCGACGACGGGGTCAAGCCAGCCTTGGATGAGTCTCCAGATGCCTGTTTGATGAAAGATGACGCTGTTAGTATACTTTGCAATGAAAAGCGAGGGTTTCCTGGGATGTCTTACCGGAGAAAATCCAGGGTGCGTTATGGATGAGCAGTTGCCCCAGAGACTCCGGGTAGTTTGCCTCGAAGCATTTGGAGATGAACTTGACTGGAGGGTAGTCCTATTTTTAGGATTAGTACAAGGTCACTTCGAACTAGCCGCGCTAGGGTGATTTACCATGTTCGATAACCCGAATCCGGTCATATCGAAGACAATTGTCTGTGCAGGTGTTAGCATGAGTCAATATCTCAACATTCTGGTCCAACATACGCCCGTTTCAACTGGAGGACCAACGATAAGTCGTGCTGCCTCTATCATATGAATAATATACCGCTCGAGAACTTCCTCACTCTGAGCGTCTGGCTTGTGGATTTTTACTCTAATATAGATAACCGGCCGTCCCTCCCTGTCAAAGCCATGAATGAAGCTTTTGCCCGTCCTGAGTTGGTGCATAAATTGGGTACCTTCCTTCTTCTCCGTCGAAGTAGCTGTGGCGCTGCGGGTTTGCTCCAAGGCATATTCCTCTCCCTGGGGCAGAATCTTTTCATCAACCTCCACTTCCTTTCTCCACAGGATGTTTGACGCCATCATTGAGAACGCTTTTCCGACATCCCATTTCCTGGCGCGCAAGAACCGGAGCAATAAGGTGTCTGGATGTTCCGCCTTGATCATCTTCAAAATCGCAAAGCACATTTCTTGAGGTGTCAGCTTAGACAGGATCTGCTCCATAGACTTGATTTCTTCCTCCTGCACTCCGAGCTCTCGAAGTCGTGAGAAAATGGAAGCAAAGTGGGCCGGCGTGACCTTTCGGGTGGCCATTTCCGACATGATAGTGTTTTTGGCATGTCCATTCATAAGCGAGTCCACCTTGTCGAGTGATTTCTGCTCCTTATTGTCGGAGTTGCTTTCCGTGGTGGTTTCTCCATTGGTCTGGTTATTTGATTTCGTTGGTGCGGTGCCGTTTGAAGCTTCTTTGTTGGCATCTTCGCCCTTCAATGCGCTAATAATAGCCTCCACCGTCGGCTCATTGATCTTATCCAAAGCAGCAAACAGCTTGCTGGAGGGGCCATCTGGAATTGGGACATCATACACAGCCGACAGTACACTCGCAATTGAGGTCAAGATGACGGTCCATAATTCGATGACCTTTGCTTCTTGTTCTGGCGTGAGGTGGCCGAGATATCCGGACATTGGGTCGGTAGGAGACATGGTGTGGAGGGTGCGTACAATAAAGAGTCGATTTCAGGGGATCAACTCACATTTTAGTATCAACCCCGCTGGTAATGCGGCCTTCTTCAATTATCCATTGCTTACGGGGCCACATGAACAGAATTTCAGCCTCGGTCAGCTTCCGGATTCACGCGCGAATCAGAATCAATACCTCGGTGTTTGAGATCCGTCGATCGCTTTATTGACGTATGGGCGCTAGGCCCTCTGCTTTCTGGGGATCTTGAAAATGGACAGATGTGAACGGACCTATGAGGGGGAGGGGTGGCGATCCCCCGCATTGCAGAGAAGATCATCGCTCTGAGTTCGTCTAAATTTTGGGCTTGGAATCCACTGAGAGCTGAGATCTTAGCGGATGACTGTATCGCCACTGCATATGGCACTATCCAAACTAGGTATGCAGGTTGCTAAAAGTTTATATTTCCAGGGGTAGAAGCTGCTTATTCTTACCACACTCATTTGGCTACCCTCGGTTATTCCGGATAAAATGGGTATCAAGAACATTCATATGCGTTCTAGACTTGGCAGTAGTTTGCTTTAAGAGATAACATGGAAGGCAACAGGCCAGAAACTGGCACTTTTGCTGCAGGATATGGCTCTAGGCGCTAAACAAGTGGTAAAATACGCGGTATTTTTCCATATACGGCAGTAGTCGCGAGTACGATATAGATTGTTGCCTACAATCATGCCAAGCCCGCCATCATATGGTTTTAAGAGCTGATTTTGAGAGATTTTGCAGAGAATTGGAATTGAACAGGTGGAACGACGGTGAGTTAGCTCAAAATTTACCATAGAGAATTCGTTATGGCACAGCATACCGTAACGAATTGTATTGTTACCCGGCAAAAAAATAGTTTCCCTGGGAATCGAACCCAGAACCTTTCCGGAACATCTGCTAATTGCATTTGTTAACGGAAAATCATAACCGCTAGACCAGGAAACTGTTCGACCACTTGGGCCAATTGATGCCAAGCTCATGCGTAACGTGATCTGTCTCATGATTTCATATTCTAGGTACAAATGGATGCATTGAAATGCATGGAAAAGTCTTGGCATTGACGTTGCGAGACAGGTAGAGCTTGTTACCCCAACTATTTTGTTTGGTCCTTCATGGAAAAGGGAGGGCAGATGCTAGTTGATGTTTTTGATTCAAGAAGAGCAATGTGTTTGTTAATGGGATATTCATTTGCCTTGGATATGAAAATGAGTCGGTTCGGAAAGCTGGAGACAAGCACGAACTTTCAATTCGAGGAGACAAGCATCCTGTAAGACATAACCCCCCAAAAGCTGTTCTTCAGTAGCTCTATTCCAAAGTTCGGATATAGACATACTAGCGGCTTGATCAAACGAAGAAACAAAGAAAGAGCAAACGATCTATCTAGCATGTGATATTATAGACGATGACAATCCCTTATGCAGGCGCGCTGTAGATACCCGTGCCTTTGTGGTTGCCTAGATGGGTTGGATTTCATTATTGACAGCCCGTAACTACAGACACCACCTTCCTCTCTGTCAACTTGCTTGACATCTAACTCTTCGCTCCTTTCTACATATCTCCAGGGTTGCAAGGCTCTCTCCAAAGGCTGCTTACGATATCGGGAGCCCGACGAGCAAACTCCCTTTCTACGGCCGCTACGCAACCCCTCTGAGCAAGGGATCCAAGCAGCCGAGGTGCAGTGGAGTGAATGGCTGGCCATGGAAGATTGGGTGGTTGGCGAGCGAAGTTCGTGGTAGGGCGTCACGACAGAATCCTCGTCGGAACCCGATGCATGATCGAATCAGGAGTCCTTTGTTAGTCCGAGCGTACAAGTTCCGGCTTGGACGGACACTTCACAAGAACATTCCAAATATCAACCGGTATACGGTTGACTGCGTCCAATGCTCCTGATTATGTAGGCTCATACTGTGGCATCATTGCCACTCATGCGTGCCTTTTGGATGGTACGAGACGTCATACTCTATGACCTCAGGAGAGAAGAGGCTTCCAAAATCATGAGCTTTGAAAATATGCGGAATAATCGGCTCCGTGTCTGGAATAGGCAGAGTAATTGACGAGTTCGACAGGTCTGCAGAGACCAAAAGAGCGCGCTTTATGGAATTTCTCCCGGATAATTAACCCGGAAATCAAACCATGTTGCTGACAACAACCATGTTTTATGTAGTGGTGGTGGCTCGGTCAGTCAGTCTACGTCTGGGTGGTCACAATAGCAAAAATTATCCGTCGTACTATATATAAGTTGCAAAGTATCTACGCAAAAACTAGGTCACAGGCAAGGACACATCGAATGTCATACGACAAGGCATTCTAGCTTCCTAGGTCAGTAGATATAGAGGTGCTTCGTTACAATTATTCAGGTAGAGCCAAGACAACGGATTAGTGAAGAGAGATATCCGGAACTAGGACAATTGCTTTATACTAGTCGTCTGCACCGCAGCTAATATTTCTGGAATCTTCAAGCATCATCCTACGTCAGCCGAGGTGGTCTAAATAACTGATTGAATCTGTCATAGTCATTGGTTGACGAGTTCGTTGACGCTGACCCCTCGCTTTGAGCTGGAACTCTAGACTAAGGTACAAGTGTGATGCTTCTTTTCTGCATAGGCGGAAATATGACTACTAATAGGCCAAAGCTACATTGTGCTACGACAATACATTAATTCCGCCAAGCACGTGTTTGGCTTGGGTTTTCACTCCCTGGAGTAATGTCGCCTGGAGTAACACCGCCTGGAGTAATAAGGGTACAAAGAGGAGCAGCTTATCGGTGAAGGAAAAGAGGTTTGGGGAGTTACCGTGTCTGCTAATTTCGTGTAAGAGTCAGTGTGTTTGTGGCTCGTGATGTCTGCCCCAGCCACCCCCTCCGGTCCCCGGGTGACACCAGGGAAATACTTGCAAAAATACACCTGACAGATCTCTACAGCGCCTTATCATAACAACACTTTTGTGTAGCACTAAACATGGAAAGGAATCGGTTACCCCGCATGAAGAGGCGGTGGATTCGCATTCTGGTGTGCTTTGCATGGACAGGGATCTGTTCTCATAGTCGCAGTGAGTGCTCTCAATCTTTGTTAAACGGCCTCTATTGGTACCGCCACAGTGACCTAGGCTCGACCATAGCGTATTTCGAGGTGGGCCCAGACCAAAAACAATATGCTATCCATGCCGGCGTTCTTCGAAGACACTTAACGGGGCTTTCCGCTTCCATTGGTAAAAAGGAAAAATTCGTCATTACAATCCAGAGTGATGTAGAGGATATCTTTGGTCATGTCCTTGAATATATATACGTCGGAATTATTCTATTCTCGCCCCGACATATAATTCGGCATCCGTCACTTGTGAAGCTGAACTCAATGCCGTATATCTGCAACTCAGAGACAAATACCTTCACAATCTCATAAATACCGAAGAGTCTCTGGGAAAATTTGCAGGCGTGTTTTCTCAGAACCTCGGATCATCAATTTCCTAAGGACGAACCCATTTTTGTGAATGTCCAGATGTACTACTAACCCATGCGCGATTGCATATTTTTGCAAAAAGTCAAAGCCTGGACATGCTTAGTCGTTTGAGTTTGTGGAAACTGGTTCATGCTCTTCTTGAACAGCTCGTCGCCCATCCCGGCCAAATGAAAGTGTGGTCAAACTTTTACGCTTCGTCAGCGAACAGCTCACAGTTGATGAGGATCTGATCACTCTGTTGGTTGATTACGTTTCGTCTCGTTTGAAGTTTCTTGTGTCATGCTCCAGTTTTGCCAATTCGATGCAGAAGCAACCTGGGCTGACCTACCGCATCCTAAGCAACATCTGCGATTCTCTTTGAACCGTCTTCCGCAGATGGGGAATAAAGGTTAGTTTTTACATAGAGTGTCCATTAACCATGACTGAACTAATAATATTCAGCTCAGATGGGTGGCGAAGCTGGGAAAATATCTAGCATATACCTAATGAAGGAGTTAAGCATCATTGGTATGTTTTGATTTTCGATTTACAAACTTAGATACGGAAATGATAAAGTATGTCTAAATGAAGCCACAGAGAAGAGAAAAACCTGAGACTTGTTGGCTCGAAATGTTTGTCGACTCTGGTTGCAATTTAAATAGTTGTTGAAGGGCAGTGGAATTTTGAATCAGGGTGGCCCAGGCATGACAGACTAGTGTGACAGATGCGAGGAGCGTTCGAGGATCGACTTGCCATAGAACTGATTCCCACAGCTCCGTTGGCAGCCCTTGAAAACCATTAATTGATTCGGAGGAATCCACTGTGAAGAATGGTGATCGTGAGTGAAAAGTAAGAAGATGAGACGGGGCTTAAGTAACTATAAGAATATTGTTTTCGGCCCCCGTTTTCGGCCCCCGTTATAGGGGCGAAACCGCGCCCCCCCTCCCCTCTTGCGACGTAAGAAGCCTCAGACCGGCGGGCTAAGCCAAAAGGCAACGTTGCCTGGACAGTGTTGTTCTTGCTTGTCTCCAGCTTTCTTTTAAGACAGTCAACTTCTGATTACTACTAGAGAACGTAGAGAACGAAATCATGGACGCTGTGGAGTATTTCCAGCAGCTATTTGTTGAATTTGACTCCGAAAGAATTGCTAAAACAAATCAGAATCTGGTGAAGATGAAGAATTATCGAAATCAACTCACTGTTTCTGCACCTCCACCCAACATTTTGATGTTGAGTAGCCTGGCCAGGAATGGAACTTGGACCTTGGGAAAGACCACCCGGGCTTGCTGATCGGTGTATACAGCATCGTCAATCATGAGGCGTGGAAAGTTTACGTTGAGGACCGCTGGGCGGCCTATACCGACAAGATCGCAGACTCCAGCCTTTAATGCGGACTCAATACCTTTTCGGGTTCGAAATCCTCCAGTGAGCATGAGGATTTGGTCCGGGAACCGCTTCCTTGCTTGCGTTGCAAAGTCCAAAAAGAAGGCTTCCCGAGATTCCTTCTTTAGGCTTTCGGGGCTGTTACTTTCTTCTCGCAATCCGCGGCCCATCATCTAATTATCGGGGTTAGCGCATTCGCATAAGGCCTTCTGCGGGTCAGATGTCGTGGAGCGACACAGGTAGTCATAGCACATCCGGTACTGTCTTAAGCCTCCAGAGTTGATGAAGATCGTATACCATACCGTCGGGTCTTCATAGCTTCCACCAGATATTTCAAGAAAATCCACACCTGCATCGACAAAAAGACCAATTTGGGTCATGGTATCTTCAAACTGTGCCGAGCTGCTATCGGCAGAGTTCAACTTGATCCCAACGCAAAATGTCTTCGGCACAGCCTTTCGAATTTGATAGATTATGTCAAGGATAATACGGGCGCGCCGTGTAGCGTCACCCCCATATTGGTCATCACGAGTGTTACTCTACAGATGAAAGTCCCACATTAGATCGCAAATTTTCTATCCGCCAGTGATGACTTACTTTTTCTGAGAGGAATTGGGCTGCCTCACGATGTCAGATCAGACCTGTCGCTCGAGCAATGGGAAGGAAAAGACTCACACAGAAGGTAACCGTGTGCCGCATGGATCTCAATACCGGAGAAACCAATTTGTGCTAGCACACGCGCACAAGTTACGAATTGTGCAGTCACCAGGTTGATATCAAATTGGTTCATGGCCCGTGGCACCCCGAAAGCGACATTCTGGACGATAGCAGCAGCCCAGCCCTTGCCGATATCAAGGGGAATGGCGCTCGGCGCTATAGGCTTCTCGAAAAGAGCCTTTTCACCTGCACCTCTAGGAGACTGACGACCAGGGTGACAAATCTGAGCGATCGTCGGCGTGCCATGTTGTTGACAGGCGTTGGCGTATTCTCTCCATGCATTCAGTGCCTCCTCATCAGCTAAGTGAGACTCACGCGTTGCCAGATCACCGCCACCACCGAGATGACGAACGTCAACTTGCACATTTCCTTTTCGTGCGTCAGCCACAATGAATTTATTCAATACCCAGTGCTCTTATGAATATGGAGTATCGGTTTACCTGTGAGAAGGGCTCCCCATCCACCCTTTGCCCATTCTCCGTAGACGCGAGAAATCCGCTTACCGGGTAAATGCTTATTTTCTGCCAGGCCTTCGGCCATAGAGGCCTAGAACGAACCAATCAGCTGGTGTTCCAAAATTGGAGCGATATTGCTTCTGCGTTTCCAATGTGTGTTCCTACCTTTACAAGACGGTTGGGCAGAACTAAACCACATGGCAGCTCCAGCGAATTTTTGATATCAGGTCCCATCATGAAAAAATGCAGGCCCCGACTGTGAAGGCTTAATTCTTTGATGTATGGGTCTGGATTAATGATTGACAAAAATAATATCGCACTTTTTATATAAGCTATTCTGGTACTTACTAATAGAGATAAAAAAAACGATTTGGAACTACTTCCCGAGCTGCCGAGGCTCCCCAAATGCCTCGGTGCGAACACCTCTCAAGTCATACTGAGATCGAGATAATCATGCAATTATCTCCATGGACCAGACAAGGCATCGAGATGCAGGGGTGCAAGACCCACTCTAAGTTCGACGTAACAAGCCTTAATCACACACTCGGGGCAACAATCTATCCGCTCGGAAATGCCGTGAATCTAATCTTGTTGCGGAGTCAGTCGTCGGAGGTAATTCATTTGATTACTCTCTGGACCTCGCAGGACATGCAGGCTCCGGTCAAATCGTCGGCAATATCACCTTTTAGATTATCCCCACCCCGGAGAATTACGTCAGCGTGATCAATAACTAAACATTATGAGCCCAAAATATTCTATGAACTTTAGGAGGCACTTATCTAGAGAGCCAAGTCCTCGTTGGCTAGTCAAAAAAAATTCAAACAAAAATAAAAAATTACTACACTAGTCTAGGTATGCAGTCAGTTTCTGTCCAGAATATTTACTATATCTGCATCCCGGACCGCGCGATGGGTTATCTACGATGAAATAAAATAAGTATATTCGAGAATCAATCAGAATACTACAAATGGTACTTTAGAGAGTAAATATATCTCACCCCCTTCCTGAGGAGTGTCTCATCCACTAGTATACACAAAGTTTCCAAAGATACTCAATGAAGAGCCGCCCATGCCTGGAGCATACCCGCTACAGCCGTTAGGATCCCACTCGATTTAACCCCTCTCTTAATATACCAAGCAGAACTAGCCCAAGCAATAAGAACCAGCAAAGCAGCCATGGTACGTTGTAGCGGTTCCATCAAAGTCTCGGGATTCTTCGCCCAGCTGAGATTCTGCAAAGCTAAACAAATCATTACTACCGCAGCACAAAGGGTCATTTTTATCAGAGAACTCGGGGAAAGATTATAAAATACCTGTCAAGACTAAATAGGCACTTCCTTGATACCACCCAACCGTGCTACGTGTGTATGCGATATTTGGCAATTCTCGGAATTGACGAAGACATTGGAATTCTTTTCCTGAGGTCTGATTCAAATTGGGATTAGTTAGTCTTTTTCTTTGAATTCGGGGTTTTTGGCGATTATGGGCACACTAACTGCGTGCTTTATAGCAACGAGGAGAGAGCCGTATCCGGCAACCTTGAGGAGAGTAGAGTCTGGCATAGTTGTTTCAATGGGCACTAGGCTAGTGCCGTTTGACAATCTGCTCAAGACACTTTAAGTTTTTTGCATTTACTCAACACTCGAGCAAGTATGAAAGATCTTCGGGATTTGTATATAAATGAAGTTGAAACCGACGGTTGTGGTCAAAATCTAACCTCGGCATGAAAGTTTCGCATCTTAAATTCATGTTATACAGCTATTTTGCAAGGAAAACCACAGAATATCATCAAGCCGATGTACGGATAGATAATCGGCCCGGTTCATTTCCCATGAAGTCGAATCGCCACTGCTTCAATGCAGATTTGGAACAAGATTTAAGATTTTTGCGCTAAGACGGAAATGGTAAGAACGTCCCGGAATTGGATCTTCGGTTCACCCAGCATATACAGATAACCATTCTCTTGCAAAGAAGGGAAAAAAGAAAAAGAATGAGGAAATATTAGCTAATAGCATATTAATCTCGACAAGGGATTGCATTTGCTTTCGGTCAACAGTCACCTCTAAGCTACTGTATTGATCCCCATGACGCCACTACGGCATGCCGTCTGGTCCGAGGTAGAACTGACATGACCCACCCGGCTACACCGGGTTTGCGATTGCACCGAATACCGTTCGACGAATACCCGTTCGTCGGAATTGAGGAGAGCATAGAACACACAGACGCTCAATTGTAAGTTTTTAGTTTTTTATTCCGATCACCGTGATCTCTCGAGCATTTGCTTTTATCATGTTCTTGTGATACTACTAACAACCTCGGCAGAAATATCAGTTAGAAAAGGGGGATTTTTGGTCAGATTGCCTCCATTCTTCATTTGATTGCCCGGAAGACCTAGTATTAGTCTATTTGCCCGGACAATTCTAGGATGACTACTAGTACCAAACTCGCATACATCCATGCAGTGACATAATCTCAGTTCATTTCAACCTTCGGTAAGATAACTTCGCTATTACTTACAACAAAAAGTCCGAGGAGTTGAGGCGTTATTTGGACAGGTAGTAAGTAAGCGATCCTTATTGAAATTCACGGTCATATTTGAACCATCCTCAGGAATTATTTCAGGTGGATGAACCCTATCTAGTAAATGGCAATGATCTAGCAATTAATTGATTTGATAGTGACTGACTCGAAGTATTCCATACGTGGAAACCCTACTGACATTCTGGTCTATGATAAGATACCCCTGCCGCGGTCCAAGCTTCTGTTTCAAATCGTCACGGCCTGGGAGCAACCCGAAGAATGATGCTGACCTCTACGCCGGCTCCTAGTTCGATTCTATTGGATCTAGGAGATTTCATTGTCGTACCTTTTGTTGGCTCTCTTCAAGATATTTTACCCCCCAAAAATGTCGAATCACGATATTACTGTCACATTAGCCAATAGTAGCGCTGTGCACTCTGCTTGTCTTGTTGCCAAATGTGATTTGATGATCACTTAGCGACCGCCGTATAATTATATCATAAACCCAGATTTTTCGTTTTGGCTTTTCGTTCTTTTATCTCCTTGGTGTCTCTATTCACAAATCTCCTGTCCCGAGCTCATCAACCTCCTTCCATAAACATTAATCTACAGTAAAAAGAAAGACATATATAATTCGATCTCCGATAACCATATCTATGCTATAGAGACCTAATCTTCTTCCGCTTAAAACCACCGTCCAGTATTTGACTGATCCGGCAACTAACCTCAATTCCGTTATGGACACTGCGGAACCTAGTGTTAGAACATGGAATATTAATACGGTTCTCATTTAGATGTAAACCAGCCAAACAGACTTCTAGAATTGCTTGATACTCTAGTTCATAACTGTCAGAACCGAAGTTTCATATCATTTTGGGTTTGAAGGGGTTTTCTGGTTTGGACTCATGGGGCTGTACGTTGGCTTTTGGGTCGGCTTCTCCAACCCAGAATGGGGTCTACCGATGTCTAGTTTGCTTCATCCTAAAGGAGTTGACATATTATTATGGAACTTTCATATTATTGGTAGTTGTTTAAGTATTAGTACTAATAAATAGTTCGACTGTGCCCTTCCAAAGCTATTTCAAACGCATCATTCAAATACAATCACAGATTTCCCAACACCACCTTTCCCATCGTAAACAACCTGACAAGCATCCCTAACCGCCTGAATATCCTTAAAACTCGCCCTTGTCCCCGCGATCGTCTTCAATTTTCCAGCCTCCACCCACTCCCGAATAGAATCCAGATCGGTGGCATTCGGTTCCAAAAAGATAGAAGCATACTTAACGCCATAACGCGATGCCCGCGCTACCCGGATTCGATCCATAATATTCAAAGCTATACGGATGAGGAATGGCACAGTGGCCTTGTCCTGTTTATCCGGGGATCGGCGCATGACGCTAGAATTTTGGAGAACATCTCCCGATGTGAGTATTGAGACCGTGATGATAGCCCCTTTTTCTCGGACCAGAGATAGATAATCCATTGCATTGCCCGTGGTATCGAAAATGAAATCTACAGAGCGCAGCGGAATTACATTCTTCGGATCAGATTTCTTGTAATCGATGACTGCGACAGATGTAAGCTTTAATTTCGAGATTGTTTACCGGGGGAAAAAAAGGGAGTATGCACTTACTCTCGTCCACGACGCCTTCGCCCAGAAGTTCTTTGACCTTGGGCACTTTTGCCGTTGAGACTGTAGTAATCACCTTCCCGGCTTTGAAGATATTCTTCGCTAACTGACATGCGAAAAGACCAGTGCCCCCAACTATCAGAGTCAGCATCCAAGCATCAACTAAAATCGTATACATCAATGTCAACAGAAGATGAACTTACGACCAGCAGGTATAAAAACGGTCTTCCCTTCAAGATCCCCTTCATAACCTCTCAGCGCCTGCAACGCCGTCATAGACGCCAATGGAATCGAGGCCGCTTCTTCCATGGAAAGACCCTTCGGTTTCAGAGCGACAAATTCTTCAGTCGAACGCGCCAGCTCACTCATTGAACCTCGATGACATTCTGGTAATCGAACAAAGACCTCATCACCAACCTTGAAGCGAGTAACCTGGGAACCAGTCTCAATAACTGTACCCGCACAGTCATATCCGATTTTATACGGGAAGCTAAGCACGACGAAATCAGAATCACGGGTCAGAAATAGAGGAACACAAAGCTCTGACCTATCTTTTAGAACAGCCTTGGTTGCTCCCGATGCCTTTTTAACGTCAATCGGATTGATACTCGCGGCCTGGGCCTTGATCAGGATGTCTGTGGGTCGCTCCACGACTAGAGATGGGACTTCGCCCAACTCATACTGATCAGGCGTGGTATGTTTTGGAATATTAATCGAAAGCATTGTTGCCATTAGCCAATAATTAATAACCGGTTCGCTGGCTGATTTGTTACGATCGAGGTTGAAGCAGTTTAATAAGTGACGTCTGGGATTTGCCTCGGAGCTTTCAATTTGCCCGACGGGAGCGGAAGTAGAAAAGTAATCGAAGCGGCGAGAAGCTTAGTTAGACCCACCCACTTGAGTATTGCCCGAGGTATCTATTAGCACAGTATT